AAGTCTTCCATGCGTTTCTTTTGAAATTTGAGCTTAGGCATCACGTATCGCTTTGCCGGCTTCTTCTTTCCTGATTTTGCTGGTAGGGGCGGCTTTTCCTCAGGTACCGCTTCGAAAACTTCGGTGTAAAGGTCATCAGTCATGTAAGAGATGAGGTTTCTCTCTTGACCAAACTCCATGGTTGCCGACTCAAGCATCAACTTCTCAAGCTTGCTAACCTCTTCCATCATCACCATGAGTTTGGCTTGGAGCTTGTTGCGTAATGGAGCCCATCTCTTTCTTGCCTTCTCAATTGTAACCATGTTTGCGCCGGAGTCGTGGATCATGTTCGTGATCTTGTGATGAAGCTGATCTAAGCTCCTACTCAGGGCTGGTTTCATGTTTCTCATACACCCCGTATGCGCGTTGTACCACTTATTGAACCCAGGTGCAAGTAAGTCTGCCAGTTCCTTGTTCCAGTGGCATCCATTCTCAAGGCCTTTGGCTTTAGACGCGCCTTTCAAAACAATGCCCCGGTACTTAAGAATGCGAGTGAAGGCCGCCGATCTGAGGATGAACCATTCGGTGATCATCTTTTCTTCAAGCTGCTCTTTGAAATTCGGTATGTCCTTTTCGATTCTTTGAATGCTCTCGTCAAAACATCCTTGAAACCCTTTTTTCGCTTCTGAGAGAAGCCGGGTCATGTATCCCCTGCGAACCGCGTCGATATCATCAGCTATGGTCCGGAAATCTCCATCACGCTCTCTTTCTGAAACAGTTCTCTTTACTTTCTCGATGAATGCTGGAATCGTTACGTTGATGTGGCGTTCATAATCTCTCAAGTTCTGTTGCGCTGGTAAAGAAAAGAGATATTCGCGAATGGCGGGAATACCAGTCATATCGGGGGATAGCGATGGCTGATTCGAAAACGCCAGCTTAGGTTTACGTATCCAGTCCATGTAGTCAGAGGCAGAGGTGTGAAATATCTGCGGCATGTCCTTGGTGGTTCTGCCCTTGAGCTTCGCCGTGAGCTCTGCGTTGATGATCTCTGCACGTTGCAGTATCTTTTTCTGCTTTCGGATACGTTCCAGATAAATCCGATATTGGCCCAAAGTCCTGCGCTCCTTCGAATTGACCTCCTCTTCTTCTTCGTCATCATCGTCCAGGCCAGCCTCTTGCTCTTCAATTTCCTGCAGCAACTGATTGATGATGTCGAATTCGCCGCCTGCGCATTGAGACAACTGGTTCTTGGAAAGAGACTACAAGAAATCAGTAAAAACACAATCCTTAGAAAGTTTGCGACAACCTACATCGACCTTTGTAGCGACAACTTTGACCTTTGAAGGACCATGATGAGCGACAGCTGCACGTGTACTGTTGATGACTTTGTCGTCGGAGGCAATACGTATGGTATCTGCGAGGATGATTTCAACATCAACAGTGTCTTTGATCTGCTCCGCATGCCGGACTCTAGAAAGATTGATGTCACCCCAGCCTGACGAATGGTTAGCTGAAACTTCAGAGATAGCTCTCCGGTGAGTGAGATGGCATACCTGGGAGATCGATTATCTCTATCCCTCCTTGGAGTAGTTCATGATGAAATCTGATTGCGATGTGGTCAACGAGTGGCCATAAACATCTCTGACCTTTAACGCTAGTTAAGAATGGTCGTAATTTTTCCAGCAGTTCCTTCTGAGTATCTGCCATCTTAGTCGCGATACCTTGAGAGTCAACTTGCTCTTTCTTTAGGGCTTCGTCGCATTTGAGCTGACAGAGGTTGATGAACTCTCCTGATCTGTAATCAGGTACATTCCAATTCTCAAGAAATTCGTCGTACGACCCGAACAATGTTGTGAAGATATCTTCCGCGGTGTCGTTCAGACCGCGGTCCATTTCATCCTGACCAACTGTCTTCGCACGTGGAACGTCCTCATCATCATCATCGTCGTCGACGTTGTGATATACGTAGTACGACCGAGCATGCTCTTTGAGTAGTGCTTCTCGTTCTTCTCTAGTGAAGAACTTGATCTCTGCAAAGAAATGGTCTTGACCAGCTGCGCTCTTAGGATACTGAACGTAACGCGTTATCGAACTGGTACAAGCAGCCCCTTCCGCACCGGTGAGCGAAAGGCCATCACAGTCGAATAGAGCATTGATCGTAAGACTCTTTCCTGCACCTTGGGCTCCAATCAAGGCAACTTTGATTGCAGGGCTCAGCACGACGTGGGAGAGGTCGGTAGCCGTACGTAACAAATGCTGAAGCTCTTTGTCGTTGTCTGGAGAGCCTCTCAATTGTTGAGTGATGAGTTGCGCAAGTTCTTTCATCAACTCATCGACGCTGGCTCTATCGAGTCTCCACCAGGGATCGTCCGGCTTCTTCTCTTGCTTGGCGTCATATCGTGGTAGAGTCCGTTGCCCTTGAAGATATGCCGGAAACTCTTTGAGGGTGAGTATTGGGCCCATTCTTATGTTCTCCAAGTGGTATAGAGAGAGAATTAACGTGTATAGCGTTGTTCAAGTTGAGGTTCGCTTAATGCATCGGTAGATCGGTATATGATAGCCAAGAAGTTGCGATGGAGTGGAGAAGTTGGTGGAGAGGAAACGAGTTAGGAAGAGCAGGTGGGGGGTTAATTATATAGCCATCCAGATCGTAGCGGGAAGCCACGTGGGGGCTGTTGTAAACAGAGTGAGGGAGTCTTAAGATCTGTAGGGTGAGGGACATATCTATGTTTATTGCGGCTACTCGGCAGCAGGTGAGAGGTAACCATGGTGGTAGAATCCCATATGTAGCAGTACATCGAAAACGAGTGTTCTTGCGGGAAAGGTGAGTGATGAGGTTATCATACGAATCAATCGTGACAACTGCTTCGCGAGTAGTCCAGCTCGTCAGCTGTGATCAATTCCTTAATGAGCTTGGTATGACCAAACAGTGACTACCGATATAGACGAAACCAAGTTCTACTTTGATGAGCAAAGTAAAGGTACAGCGAGCAAATACCGTGTAGTCAGATCTGTCCTTCTTGGTCGTCAATACCGCATGTCATTACCTGATCACACGTGCGTCTTCGCAGTAGGGTAAGTTACAAAGCATCTACACGGGTGTTTCGAAGGTCACATGGGATAAGGTGTATTTGTAGCTAGAGAGCTAGAGGCGAGTATAAGACACACGCATCTTACGACGCGTTCGTTGACGAGGCAGCGTTCTCATGACAACGCTAAAGCTATGTTCAGAACGAGGACTCGAATAATCATATGTTTTGTTATAGCAGCTTATGTTCCATGATGTAAATGAATGTAAATACGACATCAGATCGGACCCCCCTTGGGAATGAATTTCAGCCGTGATGATCAGGTAAAGAAGTAGATAAAATGGATGGCCGCAATAGCACGCAATCTCTCAAGCCTGTCTGTTAGGTGTTCCCGTAGACCGTAGCGTGGTAGATGATTAGGTACATAGCTGTTCAGAGTCTCGCGTATATGCAGCAACAAACGTCAAAGTTTGGCTGCAGTGGGGACTTGAGGGGGATACAATAGTGCTCACTAACCAGATCGTGTGTACGTCCTGCATAGAAACCATGAAAGGAGAGTACAAAATCATACAGTATACCAATAGCAATCTCCATCTCCTACTCCTGACCTAGAAAAGAACATCAATATCATATACTCAAAATCCTACTCCCGATAGCCACCAAAGTCATCCGCTCAACGGTCTTGACATGATGCTGCATTGACACAGTAATGCGCCAATCTACGCGCCGTCACCCCACAGTCCAACGACCTGCATGGCAAAAGCCACACCAGCCAGCCCAGTCTTGACCCACTCAACCTTCTGCTTCCTCTCGACCGCCAACCGGACCTGCTCACCATTGACCTCATCACCTTGAGCCTCCAACTCCATTACTTGACGCTTCTCGTCACCGCCTGCCGTCAAGCTAACGGCATAGTCGACACCGGGCCCCGAGACGAATGAGAAGATGGATGTGTAGAGCAGGTAAGGATGGCGGAACCGTCTTGGTGATAGACAATAGGCGGAAAAGAGAGTAAAGGTTGTGATGTGGCGGAGGTATGAGGAGAGGTTCGTGGATTTGGTGGAGAGGTAGTTTAGGGATGTTCGAGCATTGATGGCGGTAGGGAGGGCGAGGAGGGCGGGGAGGGCGACTGTAGAGACAGTTGCTGAGACGCCCTAAGATATGTGTTAGTATCGTCACGTTTTGGTGTACTTCCTCCTGTTGTACAAGGAGTTCGGGTTCCGGCTAGAGCTCTGGCACTTCATGCGGGGAGCTCGAAGCCTGAAGTGGCGGAAATCAACTTACTGTTGCGATTCCCAGGGTGATTGTGCCGACGAATTTACATATTGAGACTGTCTGCGCCGCCATGGTGATGGCAATGGAGATTGCGAGAGCTATGCTGGGCTATCTATGGGGAGTCTCTTGTGGTTGGGTTATCTGCTGGCAATGCACGTTGACGTGCCTGCAGCGACTTGGAAGATTGCGGAGATGGTGCGGAATTCATCCGGAGCAGGCAGTCCATGTTTCGGAGAAATCATCATGGCCCATGCTCCCCCTACCACTCGCGCAATGCGGAGAAGAGCAACACATGTCAACAAGGCGCTGCACGGCACCGCAATACAGAAAGGCATCCGATCCGACGTCTGCTTATTGCCGGGACGCTCCTTGCTTTGTCTACGCCTCTTGCACAGCTATTCAACCCTTGAAATGTACTCGATGCGCGCAATGTGTCGCCCAGAGCGCATCGCAAGCATTAAGAGAGTAATCTTGCCAGTCGTACCTCGGCTTCCAAAAGCACCGCCGCGTATCCTACCATCATCCGCCCCATCTTGCGGCCGTAGCTTTCACTCGACGTGAGCATACTCACTTACTTATACTCTACGCGCTTCACATCTATCCACTTCGCCATTACTCACTGCTGTCATCGCTTGCTCACTCATCAACCCCAGTCCTACACTCTCCCAATCAGACAAGCACGACCACACGGAACCTGCCTGGAAAACACCGCGCACAATGCCTATGGAAAAGTACCAGTTTGTGAGCAACGTCTGGAAAGATGGCATCTTCGGTACGTTTCATGCACAAGAGACAGCGAGTTTGGGTAGTTGGAATGGTCCCAAAACCTGGCAGTAGACAGCGCTACATGTTCATCAAAGGCTGACAGAAAGACCTTAGACAACAAAGTCGTTTTCTGCACAGGAGGCGCAGGGTCAATCTGCTCCGCTCAAGTCCGGGCCATGGTCGCCCTAGGAGCAGACGCCTGCATCATCGGTCGTAACGTGGAGAAGACGGAGAACATGGCCAAGGACATCGCAACTGCACGTTCAGGCGCAAAAGTAATTGGCATCGGCGCAGTCGACGTCAGGAAGCCAGAACTCCTCGAACAAGCCGCACAACGCTGCGCCAAAGAACTCGGCAGCATCGACTTCGTCATCGCAGGCGCAGCAGGAAACTTCCTCGCGTCCATTGACCAGATCTCGCCCAACGCTATGAAGAGCGTCATCGATATCGATGTACTGGGCAGCTACAACACCGTCAAGGCTACACTACCATATCTGAAGGAATCGGCGGCGAAGCATAGGACAGATGGCACTACACAGCCCGCCAATGGAACAGGAGGACGCATCATCTTTGTGAGCGCAACTCTGCATTACCAAGGCACACCTCTGCAGAGTCATGTCTCGGTCGCAAAGGCAGGTGTAGACGCCATGGCAATGTCCGTCGCTATCGAGCAAGGCCCAAGAGGCATTACATCCAACATCATCGCCCCTGGACCCATTGCGGACACCGAAGGCATGTCGCGACTATCAAAGTCCGACTCCAGGAGCAAGGCTGCCAAGACCATTCCAATCGGTCGTTGGGGCACTGTCAAGGAGATTGCTGATGCCACGGTCTATCTGTTCTCTGATGCGGGTAACTTTGTCAACGGAGAGACTCTGGTTGTTGATGGCGGTGCATGGCACACGGCGGGTGTTGTCGGTGGCTTCGAGTATCCAGACTTCTTACTCAGTGGAGAGGCTGTTACGGGTGTAGCAGGAGGAAAGAAGTCGAAATTGTAAGTCAAAAGTGTAGGAATGTACTTGGTCTGAATTAAGACAAGAGAATCTCCCTACATGCTAAAGTCAATTGGAATGAGTGGTATATATCATGTGATTCTGATTGAATGTATGCCAGCAAAGCATTGTGCTGTGCCGTCCACTCGTACAAGCAAGGGGATGAACATGTACTTCGAGCCGACTCCATAATGCCCCTGCCATGCTTGTCCAAGTTGGAGACGGTGTGAAAACATCCTAGCTGCAGTTCACGGTGCGGCTGATTCCACACCTCGGGTCGCTATAACACCAATGTTCGAGCCTCAACGCTTTGGAATAATCAAAACACCCCGATTGTGCCGGTCATTGCGCTCGAACCCTATCGAAAGCGGACCGAGGTGCAAGCTTGACAAAAGGAATGTATAGATGAGCGGGACGACCGGGTCCCAGTGCTGCAATCTCACGGTGTATTGGGAGACGTGCTGATGTGCCTCTATTTACGGCCTTGGGCGCGAACAAGACCGGACGGACATGGCAGATATGCGTATCTCGCATCAGCTTCTCTGGTAAGCATCGTATCCCAACAACGATGGCAACATCCAAGCAACACATCATCGACCCTGAGCGAGATCTCATCTTGTCATCAACAAATCCAACGCAAATCCTTTGTTCCCCGCGGGCTGCCAGCACATCAGCCTTACCCACCCGCGCATCACTTCATCGTCGCCAACCCACTTATTTCCAACTTTCTTCCCGTGATATGACGAAAGTGTTGCTTCACCAGGTTTGAACTGTTGAACATCTTCATCTCGCCCCTTGAGTTGACGCACATGCCAAAAGAAGCTCCAGTTTTAATAATACGACACAGCAACGGCTTCCCTGCTCCCCTGTCGATCGCACTATCGATACCCAGGGGTGCTCCTTTTGGGCTGGCCTTGGTGGTGGCTTACCATGCATGCGTCATAGCCCTTTTTCAGGAGACAAAGGCCTGCGCGGTGCCGTTAGCGAAATTGAAATGGGATTGGCGCCGTCAGGTTGCCGTATTTTGGGGATAGGGTGGGCTAAGACGCGTGGTCGCGCGGTGGCTTGCGGGTGCTTGGCCGGCAAGTTCGCTCTGTGGGTAGTGCCGTGGGTGTTTGGCTAGTTGGTAGTTGCGCGTGTTTGTGTGGTTACTGTGGTGTTGGGTGATTCTCGGAGGGATTCAGGCTGAAGTGTGCGGACATTTAGAGAAATGAGTGAAGGCAGGACAACTGCGCTTCCGAGGTAAGCGACTTCTCATGTCGATGAGAAAGTGTGTGTTGTGTACATTAAAACTGGTTGCCGGGTCGTCGGTGTGCCGTTGACTGACACGTTTCGATTGATCGATGGGCGCGTCGCCGTGGCTTTCGCGCGTCGCTTGAGTGGTGAGGGAGCGATGAGGCTTGACGCCGTTGCTAGACGGCGGCGTGAGGCTTGGGCGTGCCGGCGCTTTTTGTCATGCGCCCAAGCACCCAAGCACCTTGCGCAATTCATGGAACGGGAAGCCTCAACATGGTTTGAGAAGGTCGTGCAGATAAGGCCTTCACTCATCTTAGAGTGTTGTGCAAAGGATACGGGTGCGAAGATACGAAGAAGGGGATGACCCTTCTCGCATCCCCGACCATAGCAGAGGGTCCAATGAACAGGGCTGCAGGTACAGGTACAAGGCGCGGACACCTGCTTCTGCTGTCTGCTCCAAGTATATCGATGTTGGCACTCCAGTTGGGTGTGAGCGACAGGGAGGCTCGCGATACGACGCCACTGAGCTGTCTAGTCTGCCCCGTGCCAGGTGATCAGCACTGCATCAGAAAGACAAAACATGCAGCAAGTCCCGCGTTGTGCACCCAGCCATTCTGTTCTCTCTCTTTTCTTCTCATACACTCGTTGTCGAGATTGCGCCTATACATTCGTTTAACTGGTGCTTGAACCAGAAACCATTCGTTGAAAGAAGCAGCGTGGGTTGCCCAGGACGGTCGCTTTATCGATTCTATCGCGAGAAATCATTTCCGGAAAAAGGTCCGGGTTAGTGACACTGGCTGCGGGAGCACAGCGACAAAACCAGGACAGGTTTGCGAATCACAAGCGGCTTGTGCATCCACCTGAAGCATCAGTGAGGCTGCTATCGTGATCGAAGCAGCGACGATCTGCGAGGTGTGCAAAGTTGAGCACGTCATGACGACGAGATAGGCCGAGCAACTTCACGTTTTGTCACAGGACCCCCATCGTCGAGTTTCAAGCACGACGGCCGACAGCCAGGGCCGAGCACCCAGGGCGCCTCTCAGCAAACCCAGAGTTGGCAGCGAGCAGGGTGTACCGCGGTTCGAGTCAAGTCTAGTGCCAGTGCGGAAGAGGCGGAGAGGCTACTCTTGAACTAACGGCCAAAGCGGGAGAGATCAGTAGCCAGGTAGTGTTCCATTCACCAGCACAGACCTACCGGCCAGTTAGCGTCTGGTAAGTCCTGCAGCTCCACCAGCTCCCATCCTCAACAGCGGCACCGTCTCCATCCAACTTTTCCCTCTCCACAACCAGCTGTGCTACCGGCGACACCCGTCAGACAATCCATCCACGGGCAGCGATGCTGACGATAGTTTGAGGGGATACCAGGAAGACATCGCCGCCTACGACCAATAACCCGTTGCACCGAGCCCGCCCATTCCCACCAGCTGGTACCACCTCACACCACATCCACCCATCCACCCCGCCTGTGCGCCCTCGAGGCCTCCGCAAACCTCACTCACCCACTGCATCGCTCCTTGACGACGTCGGAGGCGTTCAATCGCTAATCCAAGTCTTTGTCGCGGTCAACAATCGCTACAAGCGCCCATTCACTCGCGAGGACAAACGACATTGTCGCTTTCCGCCAACCGACGCGCCTATACAATCACCCTCGACGACTCCACCCACAACCTCACACATCCCACAACATGGAGCACAGATTCGCTTCGACGCTGCTGGGCTTCTTCGCCTTGTTCATATTGCTGGCCTCCATCAAACCAGCAGGCGCAGCAGACTGGACGCAATCATACTGTTCCAGCCTAAACACTGGTAGCGACGATCAAGTCTGTAAGTATCATGTCGATCCATGTGGCTCCACGATCCACATCTAACCTCACCAGATAACTGGCCATGGCAATCCAACGGCAACTGCACCAACCACTGCAAAGAGGAGGGCACATATGCATTCGCCGTCCTACAATACACCGACTGCTGGTGCTCCAACTATGCGCCCGGAGAGACGGCCAACATGAACGACTGTGAGGTCGACTGCCCTGGCTTTCCCGACGAAAAGTGCGGCAACAAGGACAAGGACCTGTTCATGTACATCGAAATGGACGGTCAGGTTTCCGGTACCATCGGAGGCTCACAGCCCACATCCTCCGCAGACGCGCCTTCATCGATGCAAGAAGCTCCCAAGACTGTTAGTACCTCCCTTCCTATCTTGCGCGCACTCCTTCTTTCGTCCTGTTGCAAATCTCTTGGTGTGCTTTGATTCGTATCTGTACTCTCTTCTGTGATCAGTGTTTGACTTCGTGGCAGTCGGCCCCGCCTCCGCCACCAGTCGTCACTGTGAGACCTGATCCAGAGATTATTACCTCTGTAGTCACTGCGACGCCGTCTTCTTCTTCTACATCTTCTTCTTCTTCTACTGTATTTATTTCCAGTCCTGCCTGATGCACAAAGCTAACAGATCACACAGAGCGCAAAACCATCGACTACTCAATCATCCGAGTCCGATGATACTCCAACGTCGGCAGAGGAACCCGTCACAATGCCAACTGTCGTTACCGAGAGCGGCCGTGTCATCACCCGCACGCTTGTCGTAACCCCCACAGCAACAGCAGCTCCTGCTGACACAGGGTCCTCCGATTCTGACAAGAGTTCTACCAACGTAGGCGCTATTGCTGGTGGTGTCGCTGGAGGTGTTATTGCGTTGTTGGCCATCGCTGGTGGCATAATATTTGTCCTATGGCGCAAGAGGAGGCAACAAGCCCAACAACAGGATGGGCACGAGAGTGGCTCAGCAGGCATCTCGCGGAATGTGAGCACCATGAGCAGAGCTGGTTTGCTGGGAGGACGCAGCGAAAAGTCGCCAACTCAACTTGTCACCAACTTTGGCTCGCAACGTAGCCGTCACGACGATGAATCCATCACTCCTGTTACGCCCTCAACCCGCCGATTAAGCCAACCGATTTTGGTCGACTCGCGACTTAACCCAACGGCTGTCTTGACCTTCCACGGCGCGAATGCAAGCCGGGAAAGTTTAGGAAGCATCGATGACAGCCGAGACTATGGACGACAACTGAACGTGCGGAACCCAGACCCGAATTAGGACGAATAGCAGAAACCACCATATGCCAGTTCGATCAAAGGTGCACACACACATCATAGGCTGGAGATCCTACATATCTCTCCAAAGATCATACGTACAAACAGCAAAGTTGGATGTCATAAGCGCGTTACGACTGACGAACCTACACCCATACCATATCCAAAACAACCAGGCGTAATACATAGCATCGACGCACGGCCGTCTAGTTTGTTCCATCACTGTTTTGAGGGTCCTTCGTTATATCTCTGCCCGGGACTCTCTGTCCGGTTCGATCACATCATTAATGGCACCACCTGTGTACAATACTTTCCTTTCTAGCTGGATCTCTGTTATGCGGCAATGTATATACTTATTTAGGGGTGGGGAAGAGGATACCAGAGGGCCTCACGGCAACGGCAGACGGGAGACACCATGCCACACATAATGGCGTTAGGGGAAGTGGAGTCGCAATAGGGTTTGCTGGTAGATAGTTGAAAGAGATGGGACAGCTATGCATGCGTAAATGCAACGTAGCTGCATCACCACTCGATACTTGAATTTAAAAGTTACCTGACATTCCGCAATCTTGTACGCTGTGTGATGGAAGCTTTACGCTGCGCTATTCACGATAAAAGAAATTGAAAAGCCGCAGAAACTTTGTATAAAGTTGTAGTCTGCACCAAGAGTCATGGAGACAATGTTTATAGGAATCCATGTATCCTGCCAAGACGCTAGAGTTTGGGTACAACTTTGAAATGTTACGATCGGTCGCATTCTGCTTGCTCAACTTGACAACTCAAGAACCGAGTTCATCATGTCTGAGGTATCTCCCATTTATTGGCATCTACCCAAAAGCCAACGTGAGCAGCTGCCTAGTGGACACCTCCCCAACGCTGCAGTGTCCGAATGCAATATAGACACCCTTCCAGATGAGCTCCTATTCGAGATAATCAACCAAGTCTTTCTCGATGACGTCGACGACGTTTGGACGATCAGTCTCACCAACAGACGTCTGCATCGGGTTGCCAGAGAAATCTTGTATAGCTCGTACTCGACTAGAGATGCTATTCCAGGGCTATTCATCCGTACGCTTGCGTCCTCTCCAGATCTTGAACGGTGCGTCCAGCAGGTTGAATGGGAGTATGAAGGCCATGCATTTAAGTTTCCCAAACAACTTACAACTGCTGAACTTCGACATATCACCGAGAGAGTAGGCTTTGACAATGTAGGACGAAGGGAAGTTGTGGGGGAAAGTAGGATAAGGAAGCTGAATACGTGGCTCGCGGATCACAGGAGAGAGGATCAATTCAACATATTCATGTTGTTCACTCCGAGAGTGAAAAAGGTCGAGATTATACCTAGTCTCTGGCCGCGCAAGGCCGTGTGGTTCAAGACAGCACTAGAATCCCAGATGTTCTCCAATTTGCAGGAGGCATCTATTATTCTTGAGCAGATACGTCTTGGAAACATCCTTTCGTTGTTCCTGTTGCCGTCCTTGAGAACTCTCATCTTGGGCCATGTGGGAGTACATCGCGACAGAGATGGGATAGGTCCACGCCCCGAATGGGAAGCTGACAAGACGTTTTGGGACCGACTAGAGAAAGACGGTTCCAGTCTCGAGAACTTGATACTGCCTAATGTTGGCGGCGACACGCTGGATCTTACTCGAGCGCTAGAATCATTCCAGGGCCTGAAGAAGTTCAAATTTGCCTTCCATGGGCATGGTATGGGGCCAGATGACGTGAACGTACGAACGCTTCTACGCGCAATCGCGAATCACCATGAATCACTCGCATCACTAGATCTCAACGACTTCCGCATAGACAAGGATCCGAACACTTTCGAAGAATTAAGAATCTTGAATCGTTTGGAACGGCTTCAGATGTGCGGGCAGGTCTTTTATGGGGTAATAAGAGATGAATGGGGACAGCTCGCCGAGGTGTTACCAGGACGTTTCAAGAATCTACCCAGGCACATTAGATATCTCCGCATCTCCGCAATGGAGGATGGTCACAACGTGCCCGAGTCTTTGCTGCAAGTTTTGATCAATATGGCCCCTACGATCCATACCATATTCTCCAATCTGGAGAAAATTACGTTCTTCGATTGGCATCCACAACTCGGTACCTTCCCGTGCCAGAAGTTCTTTGCAGCTTTGCAGAATGGACTGGCAAAAGCTGGGGTCGAGCTGGAGTCGGTACATAATGCGGATGGGTCTAGTGAGGCGTGGTATAACAGGTACCGTGTTGCTACCACGACTTGGATTGAGCCAGATTGGGTTTGGGTAGAACTTGTGGATCCGGTTGATGGGGACGAAGATGACTGGCTTCTGGCTCTTTCACAGACTCTCGCACACCGGAACGATGACGACCTATGGCTGTTGGACGCTATGTAGGGAACAATCGTATTCTAATATTCAGTAGATAGCAATTTAGGTAGCTGAGGTGTTTCTTGCGTGCTCCAGATCATGTGGTTCTATGTACACACGAGCTGCTCACATTCATTTGCGAGAATCTGAAGACGCTTGTTCCTTACAGATTATGCATACGGAAGACAAAAGTGTACTTAGACCTTGATGAAGATAGGCTTCGTGGTAATCTACCTAGGTAGCTTGAGAATACTTGAACCAGCTAATTCCATTCTCTCGAGCAATCACAATATTCTCGTCTCGTTACAAAGCGATGAGGTGAGATAATATTACGCGACAGCATATGCAGTAGCAAGATTCGCGATCAAGTAAACGTGGGTAGCACACAGAGCACGCAGCATCCCTGTTGATGCGAGTTGAGGCTCAACTGCACACACGCGCCACGCGTTCCCACTTAGGCCCACGTACCCTGAATCTCGACCGCAACATCGACCCCAAACACTTCCCCCCAACTTTAGACCAAATACCACCTTTTATTGTTCCACGATCGCGCAGTTTCTCGGTTGCCCATCATGAGTAAAATGTGGGAGGTGGATCCGGAGACGCGCAGCAAGGTACGTTGCACGTTCTACTATCGTATGGAGTGGGGTGCTAGGGGTCAATTGCGGAGAGAAGGCAGCGCAGATGACGGATTGTATATGCCATGTTGACACATGCTAACCAATTGCACACACAGCTGCTGGAGATACAAAAGACCAACGACAACAACAAGTGCGTCGACTGCAATGCGCCGAGTCCGCAATGGGTATGCAACCGCCCTTCCTCCACCTACGCACGCGATCACCGCCTACACCTGCTAAGATGAGACGCATTAGGCTTCGCCCAAACTTGGTATCTTCATGTGTCTCTCCTGCTCTGGTGTACACCGTGGTCTTGGTGTCCACATCTCTTTCATCCGCAGCATCACCATGGACGCTTTCAAGGGCTCAGAACTCGTGCGTATGGCTGCCGGCGGCAATAAGCCATTCCAAGACTTCTTCAATGAGCACCCGTCGAATACGAAAGACGGACGGACATTCGAGGCCTCTTCCATATCAGAGCGATACGATTCAGAGGCGGGCGACGAGTGGAAAGAGAGGCTCAGCTGTAAAGTTGAGGATAGGGAGTTCGACAAGAGCAATTTGCCCAAGCGGTTACCCAAGAAGGACAATGCATCTGCAGCGGGTACGGGAGCGCCATTGAGCGGACGAGCCAGTGCGGCGGGCAGCAGAAGCCAAACACCTCTGGGAAAGACACGAAGCAACGACCCAGGTTTCCAACGGTCTGGCTCGCCTGCGCTCGGCACCAATGCTATGTCGTCGCAGAAAGCCAAGAACGAAGCCTACTTCGCCAAGATGGGACAGGAGAACGCCAACAGACCAGATGGTGTTGCGCCAAACCAGGGAGGCAAATACGGTGGCTTTGGTAGCGAGCCAGATTCCTGGAAGAAGGACGACGAGCCGGGTGCGCCACCTGCACTTGACGACTTCCAGAAAGACCCTCTCGCCGCACTTACCAAGGGCTTCGGATGGTTAGGCGCAAGCGTGAGCAAGGTGGGCAAAACGGGGTATGAAGGCTACGTGAAGCCCGGTATGGCAAAGGTATGCCTAACAATTTCGTCGAAAGCGAATACGACTAATGTGACTAACAACTCTCCAGCTTGCCGAGGCAGACCTCGCATCCCAAGCTCGCACAACCGCTGGCACCCTAGGCCAGACCCTTCAATCAGGCGTCGCAAACGCAAACACGCAGTTCACGCGATTCGTCGAAGGCGATTCCTCAACACATTCCCCTGCTACGTCCGGCCGGCGCGAACCCGAGCGCAAAGACTTCTGGGAGAGCTTCGGTGCGGCCCCCAAGGGCCCAGCGAAGGATAAGCAGGACTTCTGGGATGAGTTTGCTAGCGCGGGTGAAACGAAGACAGGCGGAGGAATGGCGCCGAAGAAGCCCAGCGGCATCGGTACAAGCGCAATGAAGAAGGGCGGCGCTGGAGGTGGGATGAGTGGAGGTGCGAAGAAGGATGATGAGTGGGGGGAGTGGTAGAGGCTTTCACTCAAGTTGTCGTCAGGATAAGACAGGATTCGGATGGAGATGAGGCGTTCAGGCGTTGGATACGTACATTAGGGGTGGGACTGCGTAGATCGTCCGCGCTGTGGGTTAAGAGCGTATACCGGCAAGTATCATCATTCCATGAGCTGTGCCTCGTTTCTTCTCGTTGTGAATCCACCTATATCATTGGACTAGGACATGTTCCTAACTTCTGGTATGCATCCACACCCTGCCATTGTTTGACTTCAGCACGCTCACGCACATCTAGAGATTTGGCGAAGCACACCTGCTCAGCTCTTTCCCGCGTTTGAAAACAAGGTTGTCTTGTCTAAGTGGATTCTCACACCACCTTCCCATTCTGCCAGCTGCGGTCCCGTACCATCTTTCTTGCTTTCATGTTAACGTCACAACACTGCAGCACGAGACGCCTCGTAAGGTATCTGACATGGCCTTCCTTACATAGCTGTCTATGCCATGGGTCACTTTAGTATCTTGAGGGCACTTCGAGACTGGACGTAAGAACAGCCGAAGACCGCCGGAAAAGCGAACGGTTATTACCAGATATGTTGCTACTACAGCGTTTCAGTGGTCCTTCCTTGACTTATTTGCATCTTGATATGTTCTTGCCGCAGCATTGGGTGGGACTACCCTCCAGGCTAACTCCCTGCCCAACTCGATCGTGCAGAACCGTCCCGGCTTCGTTGTTCCGTGGCGAAGAGCGCAACGACCTCACAACATCGACAAGCTGCCTTCCTTGACCCATGCAGAATGCCTTCTTCAACCACAGCTCGGTGACGAAGCCCGGAAACTGACGTTAGCGTCTTCTGGGTCTCATATAAGCTCGCTTCCTCTCCCATCTCTCTGCTTCTTCTTCAGCTCACTACACCACTCGGCCAAGCAACAGTACAATCGGTTGGTCGGTCTACTTGTACTGCCTTCCTACTCAGTTGGTACGTTCCTACATTCTTGTCCGTTCACTGCACTTGACCTACCCATGAATGCACTCCGATGTCCCCGGACTACCTCATCCATATGATGCTGCTTAGACCATTGGTGCTGAACTCTCACAGGGCCTTCTGAACATAGATTCAGCTTCCAGCGAACAAACTTTTCCTCAGCCTACTAGTTGAGTATGTCACTCTGTCTTACTTGACATTCACATACACGTTCTCTCTCATAGTGCTAATGCATTGCAGATCATACTCCTCAGCATTCGCACCTGTCATTGTCGAACTGAGCTCCAGCTGACCCCCCCTGCTGGTATGTTCTCTCACCGGCATTCTCCTCTTTTGCCTTCAATCACAGCAAGAGCATCTACTGACATAAAACGAAGCTCTTCGATCATGGCTCGCTCTGTCATCCTCGCCACAGGCGCATTACTCGCAATCCTCTTTCCGCTAGCTCAGGCTAAGGAAAAGAACGAACTACGCACATATGCCTTCACGAGCGACGACTGCAGTGGAGCAACACAACGCGGCAACATGGATCTCAAGATGGGCAAGTGCCAGAACATCGTCGTCGGCGCCAACAGCATCAAGCCCTTCCACAACAAACATGAGGCCTGGATCGGACGCATAAACGAAGGCGGACCACCCTGCTTCATCAGTACATTCCAGCATCACGGCTGCAAAGGCCCCCCAACGTCCACTGAGGAACTTCCTCAGGCCATCTCCGAATGCATCTCACCAGTTCATGAAGAACCTTTCCTCTCAGTACTGTTCGATTGTTACGAACCTCCGCAAATCACGGTCCCAAATCCCTAGTAAGTTCCCGATTGTTCACCTCCTTCTCAACTGATTCTGACCTTGTCCAGCGTCGTTACCGAGACCACATACTTCGAGTCTTCGGAGTGGGTTCATACTAGCAACACTCTCACGCCCCTCGTATCTACTACTAGCGCGATCTACCTCAGCACTCCACTGACTACAGTGACCGTCTTCCCTCAGAGCACAGTCACTGTGGTTATGCCTCCGCCCGGACCACTCGAAACAGTCACTATTCTCCCTCCTTCTACAAAGACGGTTACCATCTACGGCGGAGACTATGGCCAATCTCGCATGCGTCGCTCTGAGCCGCTTCAGGAACCAGTTGACAAAGCCACCCAGGATCTTGAGCCACGTCGCAAGAGCAAGTGGAAGGGACCTCGCATTGGTGTATGGATGCTACACCCTTGGACAGCGGCAGTCATTTGCTACGAATGCTACGCAAAAAGCCCCGATAACACGTTCAAGTTTGAGTGCCGCTCTGGACCGAAGAATCCCGTCTATTGCAAGGGCCCAGTACCTGATCCGCAAGACCTGATTACCGTCACGCATACACCAGTTGTCACAGTGACAGCCGGTGACCCGGTCACCTCAGTTGTTACAGTGACAGCTACACGACCGCGACCAGTCTCCCCGGTCGCCTCACCAGCTGTTACTGGCCAGACTCTCTACACGATGGTTGGCGGGAAACCAGTCTATACAATCATCGACCAGTCGATCTACACGGCTGAAGTTGGCCAGAAGGAAGGCGATCTTGAACCCCGCAAATCGTTTCATAGGGCTGTCAAATTCGATCACCCATTCCAACCTGGCACGGAGATGTGTGCAGATGGCGAATGGGATGGCAGAGGAAAGGATAGGGGCGAAATTCGGATCCAGAAGCCCAGCAAAGATATGAAGAGGTGCGACAAGGACCATGAGATGCAGCTCATTGATGCCTCTCCACGGACAAGCACTCTCGAACTTCCTACCCGCACTATCGCCATCAGTACCTCCACGGTATATCCCTCGCCTGTCGTCACAGTCTATCCCTCTCCACCTGTGGTCACCATCACTACTGTCGTTGGTTCTGCACCAGTGCCTCCTTTGGTCACCGTCACTACCATCGTCGACCCTGCACCAAGTTACTCTACTATCACTACCATCTTCGATACTGCGCCAGCTTACTCTACTGTCACAACCATTTTCGACACCGACCCACCTTGTTCCACGGTCACTGTCCTACCTAGTGTCGATTCTGTGAGCTACACCACCATCTACCAAGATCGCCGTCGCCACCGCGATCTGTAACTTCGATGGAAGATGGAGAGCCGCCCGGAAATGAGAGTTGTTGAAGCATGATTCGGTTTGTATTGTTTAGCATTGTATAGTCAATTGAATATGATTGTTGGGCCCAAGGCCACCAAACTTCTCGTGCTTCTGTGGATAGCTTGAAGGCATCGGTACGTTCTCTAGAGCCAATGAGCTATACCCAAGAGCCGTCGAAACTGGAGACAGTATTGCGAGCGCATCGCCCAGAGTGCGAACAAAGATCAAGGAGACTTCTGTCTGATAGTGGTCATCTCCTAAGCCGTCCTACAACGTGACTGGGAATATTCGCCGATGCGACATACTCCTCCACCGGCTCTTACCGCAGATTTGAGTGCCTCTCTAGAAAATTAAGACTCAAGATGAACCAAGCTCGGGCATAACTTCAGAAACTCTATGTAGCAGATAGTTTCAGCGGCATCGGTCTAAGGATTGCTATTGAGCAGGATTGTAACAGGTACATAATACGAACCTGAGACTCCACACACTTCTTCGCAGTCTTGCATCCTCGCATGGATCTTTGATTGTCTAGCAAACGATACCTTGTCGGCATGTGCGCACGTCATACCACAGGTTTTACACAAGTCATATGAACAACTACTACCTACCCTGAAGGTACACAGAGTCGTTAGCAAAGACCTCTACAAGCCTAGAAGATAGCAACTACCTTCAAGGTAGGGTTTGGCTTTGCGCGCATAGTGTAAAAATCTAATGTCTTCCTACGCCTGATGAGCTGTATTCGCGTAGAAAGCAGTGCTTTTCGCACGTATGCGATGACTGCCACACTCTATCAGCTAAAAAGGATTGAAGCGTCGCGAGAGCAACTGGCAAGATCAACAAAAGCCCCACAACAGCCCTGCAACATGTCTTCCACTGCATTGTGCCAACCAAAAAAAGATCAACCCAAGAGCTGGGGAAAAATGCAAAAAGATAATCAACTAGCTGCTGCTCGTTTCGATCGAGCGTCCTCCGGGTTATGAGCCCGGCGCGCTTCCGCTGCGCCAAGCAGCTTTGTTGTTGATGGATTGATGAAGAAAAGTCCACTGTGATATAATATCACTTATTAGTTTTGTTCCATAGACTCGCATACATTTGAAATGATTCATCGTGGCAACTTTCCATGTGTTGACTTACGCAGAGTGCGGAATGTAGTGCGCAGATTCTTCAATGAGTCACAAAGAACGAGTGGATGCGGATATCCCTTGCTAATCCTGCCCGAACACCATCTTTACCCAACCAAAATTCAGGACCTAACTGACCAGACGCCGCGCTAACCCATGCACCACCACCATGACAACAGTAACAACATACGCGTACATCATCTTGAGAATGCACCTTCAGCATCATCACCCAAGCCCCTAAATGCAATCCGACCATTACTCCGCAGCACTTCACAGACTGTCTCCGCACTTAATTCATAACCGCTCTTCCGCCATCGTGCATTCAGCCAATCTGCAAGTGCGTCCGCACTGCAGCTAAATCTCCGTGTATCCCACTCATGCAATATTAGATCGATGATTGGCTGATCTGGCAAAGGTTCTGGATTTGGATCTTGCAAAGGCACGGATGAGAGAGGCATGGGTAGTGCGCGTGGAGGGAAGATATTCTCGTATGCTGTCAGAAAGTGAAGAAGTGTATGTTCGGTGTGCGGGCGCGAAGCCAAGGTTATGCCAAAAGGCTGACCGTTGAGCTTCAGGGCGGAGAGTGGGCATGCGGCAGTCGGATAGCCAGCTGCTGCTGCAAGGGTAGAGAGAGGTGCGTCGCCGGGAGCAACGATCAGGTCAAGTTGTTTTGTAGCAAAGATAAAATCCAGGCCTTCAGGTCCGCCGGCAGTTTGAAGATGTTGCCGCGCGGCATTCACCTCTTCACGCTTGGTGCTCGACTGCAGCGCAGCCATCAGATCGTTCTGGTCCGGACATGCTGATTGGAATTAGTAAGAAATAGAGGTTTGGCAGTCTGCATCGACCTACTTGGTGGCAGACACAGCTCGGGGTGATCTAGGTTGAAGTTGATAATCTCAGCCAAAGAGTGCATCTTCGTGACTCTAAAATCGCGGATAAACTCTGCTAAACAATCCTTGAACTCAGAGTCTGCATCATGTCAGCATACATACAATGCAAATCAGAGAGCCGAATACTAACACACGACAGGCTCAAAGCAGTTCTTTCCGTCTATAGTCAAGCTTGATTGGTTCGGCAATTCCACTGGATACACGACATCGACTCCCATCTCGATCATACTCTGAACAATCATATCGTACTTTTGTGTCTGCATCATGTCAGCATTCTATGCATCAACACAGCACGAACCCCTGCAAAATAACGTGTGTTCGTTGCACCCACGTAAGCAGAAGTCCACCAACATACCATGAATCGTTCAGCGTCAGCATTGATCCGCCCACTTTTTCGCCACACTTTCCAGATGGTCGGCTCACATATGCCGATACGGAGCGATCCGAAGTCCGGCTTGATTTTGAACGATCTATGTGGGCTCCTTGTGTGTTCTTCGCGGTTGGTTGGAACCATCATGGCGTCCATCAGCGCTACAAGATCTTTTGCAGATTTGGCCTATAGCACACGGTCAGTGTTTCTGGTACGAGCTGACAGATATGCATATGCTTACCATGCCTCCGACGGCGTCAAAGGTTTTACTCAGATTGAAGATACCGTCCATTGGCACCACACCAGCTGTAGGCTTTAGAGCGTAAAGGGCTGCGCGGTTTGCAGGCGTAATTAGAGACCCGATAGTGTCTGTTCCGATGGCAAGAGTACTGAAACCTGAAGCCACTGCGACAGCGGATCCAGTCGAAGATCCCCCTGGCGCTGAAAGTTCCCAATGTAGCTTTCGTTTCTCGATGTGTCTTGACACGTACGGCGACTGACATTGTCCACCCACCGCGGACCACCCTGGAGGCATAGAAGGATTTTTGAGGCCACAGAACTCTGTCAAATTGGATTTGCCGATAACGATCATACCTCGTTTGATCAACCGTTGAACGATGGTTGCACTTTTCTTCGGTATGCAGCCAACAAAAGCGTACGATCCTAAGCCAAGTAAGTTACCGATCATAATTGCCGTTATCTGCCAGCCACATACCCACTGTGGTGTCCATGCCCAGTTTCTCATCGGTCATGATGTTGTCTTTCAGTACTATCGGAATACCGTGTAGCGGACCCCTTATCTTGCCTCTAGCTCGTTCTTCGTCAAGCTTTCTAGCTATTTTTAACACTTCATGTTTCGGCGCCACCGAGATCAACGCGCGCAGCTGTCTTCCTCTCCTGTTATGCTGTTCAATCTCTTTTAGATATAACTGCACGATCTGTACGCTTGTGAGGGCTTGCGCATTCAGGAGTTCCGAGAGCTCGAACGCCGAGATTGTGAGCGGATCAAAGTCTGGAAGCCATGTGTCATCGGCTGAAGAAGTGAATGATGCTTTGCGTGACGAATTGTTGTTATCGACTGACTCTCGTGGCGACACAGGTCCGATACTAGGCGCAAGCGCTGTTTTCAGATATCTGAACACTCTCGGCATGGTTGCGAGAGATCTGCGGCTGTTGGCTTGCTAATGTCGGGTGTACCCCGTGGGGATGGAAGATGGCCGGGATGTCTGCCGATCCGGGACGTTGATTGCAGCGTCTGAGCTCTAAACGTCTTTTGGAGAGAATGTACGTCCGAACTTAAGACTCGAGCGAGGGGACCATCAATGTAAGGGAGCAAGGCAACCAAAGGTGTCTGCAGGGGACGCGGGCTCCGCTAGGTTATGAGTGCTCGCCATGGCTGTCCCCGAGACCCTAGACATCGCAAGTGGCTGCAGGTATGATCCATCTACCCAGGCTGGACCGAACTGAACGTTCGCCTTCGGACATCCCGGCTGAAGGCGTCCATAGGCTACGTGAAGTAATGGGGTTGGTGGTTTCAGTGAAGCCAATGGAGGAAAAGCGTTTCCGATAATTCGTGTCTTTCAGTGATCTTATTCGCAGACTAGGGTACCTCATAAGAACCACCTGATGTGTGATCAGGTTGAAGTCGCACAACACTTTACCCGGAACGCAGGGCCGCACGGAGCTGCTGGCGGTTGACGTCTCGCTTACGGTCAGATGGTGTGGCTGCTCACCCTGCTCCCGTCCAACCCGCCGTGCCGCTGGATATCGACACTCTTGGGCTCTGCGGAGTCGTGTTGACTCTACGTAGTCATGTCGAGGGAGACGTTCTATCAGTGTGAGCCTGCTGAGCTTCTTGTTTACTGTATACAATTTTGCGAATATTCTAGTCTCTCAGTCTGTAAAAGAGTCAAATTGTTGACCACTGTGAAAGGCTCCCCTTCGTGACGATCAACATGCCACCATGTCTAGGATGCTTATCAAGATATTGCTCGATACTACTGTGCACTGGTGGCACAGCGAGCACTCCATCCGTAGGCTGAAAGGATGCTTGCTGGGTATAAATAACACGATGGTCGTCGTCACGGAATAGGCGCGCGTACTCTTCCAAGGTTAGGTGCAATCCTCAACCCTTGTCTCGCGCCCCACAACAGGAAGTGGTCCCAGGATTGTTGTGTCGCATTCTGCGGGGAATCAAGTCTCCGGACGTCTATGACTTTATAGACTACGAAAACGGTCGCTGCTGTCGCAAGACATGGAGCATTTAGGATCAGTTTGATGTGTCTTCCGCCTCTTGTTCAGGCCCCCCAGCTAGGCAAGGCCCAAGAAAAGCCGTGTCGGAGTAGCTGACGCCGTGCAAGAATGGTACAAAACGGCTGGCGCCGTGGCACGGTTCTGGAAGGATGGCACAGACCCAAGTGCGCTTGTCAGTCAGGCGGCATGGGCTCGAAATAGTGTTAGCGCAAAGGACTGCCGCCATCCGTCCAGACGGTCGAAATGCAATATGCAACCCCACACTTTGTAATATCCATTGCCACGCTGTATTGATTGCGGTCCAGGTTGGCACGAAAAGCTCTTTGATCAACTGATGCACTCTGGAACCGTGATTGTCACTAGGATAGTGTGCAGCTGCCACGTCCGCCAATCTGGATTGCAGCCTTCACTGCCGTGGCAGATGTCAAAAGCCGAGGCAGGTCCCGGTAACGGGAGTCAGTCAAGTGCAATATTGCAGCCACGTACTGATGCGGGCGATATGCCCCGATGCATATGTCGTAGATCGGGGCTGCATGATCTTCGAAAAGTCGGAGCAATCCATGTTGAATTGGTTGTGGATGCGCGTGGCTGATGAGTATACGAAAAACGAACGCGCGTGCCCAGAGACTGACAAAGAGTTATGACGATGAGACAAGATGACAAGGACGTTGTGATATAGACAGAACAACGATAATTTATTAGCGCTAGTCCGACGCCGACTCATCGTATCTTTTTACGGAAGGTGCGGCCTCTGGTTTCACGTCCGCGGACGAGCATAGCAGATGCCACGCAACATTGAGAAACAGTTAGAGGTGGGCTCGTATGGGGTGTAATACAAATGTCGAGTGGTATCCTGCAGTCGCTCCTCAAGAATGCGATCCGCCATGCCTTGCCCAATACACTTCAACCTACCAGACGAAGTTGCTCCTAGAACGTCGTAGTGGCCAATCTACTTGCAGCGTTCTTTGCGTCGATGCGATCGTCATCTTCTTCGAGCCCCTTCTGGCTGCCTGCTTTGCTTGTCGCACGCTTCCTGCCGCCCACTGACTCTTCCGCATTCTCATCGACCTCGGGTAACGGAGCAACGATGCTGCCACTCATGCTACGGTTGAGGCCATCACCTGGTCGTCGTGGTACGCCAGACCATGCATCGCCCTTGGGACCTTGCGAACTGGCCATGGAAACACGACGTTGAGCTGGGTGTGCTTCGCGTCCTAGTCGAGAAAGGCCACCACTACCATCGATAGCTCGAATGTCTGGCCGTACAGATTCTAATGTGGCAAGCGTACGGCGCTCAGCCTCAATCTCTCGTACGACGTATTCGCGAATTGCCTGTCTCATGTCTTGTGTGGTTCTGTTGAACCACTTACGCTGCTCTTGGAGGAGGTTGGCGGTAACGCGCTGAGCTTTCGTCGTGAGGTACTGTTCGTGACTTCGTGCTTCATCTAGAGCTGCGATAGCCTCATCGACTTTGTCCCGTTTCACACTAGAGCTGGCTTTCAACCTGTCAGCCGCAGACAGTTTGGACTTTGTCGCGGACTGTGCCTGGAGCAGCTCGCGTAAAAGGATATGTCGATTCGTGAGGGTTTCCTTCGCGATGAAGGCGTCGCTGCTATGGTACTGCAGAGGGTCACCAAGAGTTGTAGCTTCAGCAGTACCCTGAGCTGCGTGGTAATCGCCGGTGGCCTGAATGACTTTTCCAAGCTTCTTGTATGCATGTGAGAGACCAACGTGCGTCTCCTGGACGTGTAGCGCCGCGAACTTGGCACCGAGGTCGGATTCTGCGACACCCAGATCTGGAGTATGTTAGCCCAGCATCCATGAGTCTACTTGTATGTATGCCTACTTCTCCTGTGCTTTACAACCTTCTCCAGCTTCTGCTCAGCCTCCATTGTACCCAGGTAGAAAGCTTTCACAATTGGTCGTGCTGCAGCAAGTTCTGGGGTGTCATCTGGCGGCGGCGCAAATTGCTTGATCATCTTACGGCGCACACCAGTGGCGGGTTGTTTCCTCCGTACGACAGGACTGTATCCGAAATCGCTCTCGACGAAGAAGACCATTTCTTCGTCGCGTATCAGGATGTCATTGCTACACACAATGTTCAACCACCGCTGTAGCGACGTCTTTAAGCGTGCCTCATCTTCGTCAGTGCCTGCGCCGGCCGAGGTGGTCGCTGGCGGTACTGCAGGCACGATGGCTTCGGGACAGGCTGAGATGAGGTGTTCGCCTAGCTTTATGAATTCGGAATGTAGACGCCGGACATCGCGGAATTGGGTCGTTCGAAACTTGGGTAGGTTCGTCTAGAGACAAGTCAGCATGGCATGTGATTTGATAGCCAGGCGCAAGTGGTATGAGCAGGATTGGAGGTAGCTATGCAGTCCGACCAAGACGTCTCGAGACCACATGTCTACCTTGATCCATCCCTCCATGTCCACTATGTCGCGCAACCCTAGCCCGGGTATATCGATGTCATCTAGACGTACGTAAACATCGAACCGCAGTATGGGGTCCTTCTTGCTATTCCTCTCGAGTCCCGTGACCTTGGCCTGAAGCTTGTAGTGTTGCTGCTGTCGCTGTGGCCTATTTCCGTGGTACCTCTGCGGCTGTTGCTGACCTTGCTGTGCATGTGGTGACCTCGGCGCATCCTGACCCGGCTGCTGAGGCTGCTGTAGATGGTCGCCGTTCTCTGGCGCTGTGCCTGGCCGACTTTGCGCATCTTGGTCGCCCATATAGCCATACTGTTCACCACCTTCATGGTACGGGGAAGCCTGCGGAGGCAGCGGGGATGAGGGGATATCGCTGGCTGATGGTTGGCCAAAGGACGTTCGGTTGGCCTGAGGCGAAGATGCCCATGGGTCACGGCCGCCGGGGTGGTCCGGGTCGTGGGCGCTGTAATCCATGGCGTGTGGTGGTTAATTGAAGCTCTGGACAGCTGCAACTAGCTGTCGAGTGATGCGATGATGTCGCTGGGCGAGTGCCCTGGCCAACCCTGGAATTAGCCGAGCTAGGCAAGGCGCGAACGTTGACCTTCTCGACATCACGTGCGCCGGACAAACACCATCGTCTCAGCGCATCAGTATCGCAGCAAGCAGTCTCGGGCATGAGGGTCGGATGGGTTACGTCTACCCGTCGAGTCTTGCGACACCATGTGAAGACTCCACGGCGGCTGCTGTCGACGCAGCCTCAACATGATTTGCTTTCCAAGGCAACCCGCAACATAGGCATCATCGCCCATATCGATGCAGGAAAGACGACTACCACTGAGCGGATGCTCTACTATAGTGGTGTGACGAGGCGAATAGGAAATGTTGACGAAGGCTCAACAGTAACCGACTTCCTCCCGGCTGAACGAGCACGCGGCATCACCATTCAATCTGCAGCGATAACATTCCACTGGCCTCCGCTACCACCAAGTACTCAGACTCCACCACCTCCACCGCAGCTACCAGCTTCGTTCGACAATGTTCCACGATCTTCAACTTCTCACAACATCAATCTGATCGACACACCCGGCCATGCAGATTTTACTTTTGAAGTGTTGCGTTCGCTCCGTGTCTTGGACGGCGCTGTATGTATCCTTGATGGAGTCGCCGGCGTTGAAGCGCAGACGGAGAAGGTATGGACGCAAGCTGGAACGTACCATATTCCCAGAATCATCTTTGTCAATAAGTTGGACCGCGTAGGTGCTGCCTTCTCACGCACTGTCAAAGAAATAGGTGTTAGGTTACATGGATGGCCAGCTGTGTGCCAAATACCATGGTGGAAGAACGGTAACGGCGATTTTGTTGGAGTTGGTGATGCCATCAATCTACGTGGTATGCTCTGGCAAGCGGGTGGCGATGGAAGGGATATCCAAGCTTTTGGGCTAGAGGAGCTGAGCAAGACCGACGAAAAGTTCGCAGAGGAGATCAAGAAGGCGAGAGTAGCACTTGTTGAGATTTTGAGCGAGCATGACGATGTCATGGTTGAGCATTTTCTGGAACACGATGAAGATCATTTGGCTATATCTGGACTACAAATCATGCAGTCATTACGCCGAGTCGTACTACAAGCACCGCAGAAAGTCATACCCGTCTTCGCTGGTGCTTCATTCCGCAACATTGGTGTCCAACCGCTACTTGACTCGGTCGTCGATCTCCTCCCATCTCCACTGGAACGCCCCGATCCTGAGATCAGCATCTCTAATCAAAGCAGCACCCTCGCTACCCTTCTCAATGCTGCCACAGCAGCACCAACGAGAACGACTAAGCCATCAAGGAAACAGCAGAAAAACGATGGCGAACTAGCCGTTGCAGAAGTCAAGAACCTCAACGCATGTGCTCTCGCCTTCAAAGTGGTCAACGACGCGAAACGCGGCGTCTTAGTTTACGTGCGTGTCTACTCAGGCTCTATTGACCGGGGTGCCATCCTCTACAATACGAACCTATCCCTTGCAGAACGTGCGCCCCGGCTCCTTGAGATGTACGCAAATGATGCCGTTGAGGTAGACAGTATTGGTGCCGGCCAAATTGGTGTCATCCCCGGATTGAAACATGCTAGAACGGGAGATACACTAATTGTATACCGTGGTCTTCAGATGAAGGGAACACCGTCGGGCGGTCTGGACACTCTACAACTCCGACCCATCGCCGTCCCACCACCAGTCTTCTTCACGAGTATCGAACCGAACAGTCTCAGTGAACAAAAACATGTCCAGGAGAGCCTCGCCATCCTGCTGCGAGAAGACCCGAGTCTCCATCTGTCCGTCGATGAGGAGTCTGGCCAGACGCATCTAGCAGGCATGGGCGACCTCCATCTCGAAATTGCTCGAGACAGGCTCCTCAATGACTTCAAAGCCAAAGCGCGTATCGGCAAAATTGAAATTGGATACAGAGAAACGATCACAACGATGACAGCCACGGAACCGTTTACATACACTCTTGACAAGCTTGTCGCAGGGAAACAAACAAAAGCCAGCATTACCGCCTCCGTCGAGTCCGCGGAAGACGGTAATCTCATTCCCCTCAGTCCACCCCAGCAACAAGAACGGGAAAAGAAAGTGCAGGACAATCCCTTCGAAACCATCTACAACCTCCCTGATAACAACACCCTCCACATAATTCATCCCGATCTCTCCACCTCCGACTCCGCTAGCCACAAAACACACATCCCACCCCATCTCTCCCTACCAGGTATCCTACACTCTCTCCAAGCCGGTGCAAGCGCAGCTCTCGCCCGTGGCCCTTTCAACGGCTTTCCCGTAGCCAACACCTGCGTAACTCTAACTCTCGACGCGAAATCCCATCTTTTCCCCGAAACATCACCAACAGCGATTTCCATGGCTACCCGCGCTGCGGTATCAACTAGTTTGAGACACGCCTGCGATGCCGCACCAGCAACGCTCATGGAACCTGTTATGAACGTGACCATCTTCGTGAACGAGAACAATATGGGCGCGGTGGTACAAGATATCTCTTCTTCACGTGGTGGTCAGATCTTGTCACTTGATGGGTCGGATGATTCGATGAGTTCCACGACAACAAATGGCGACGAAGAGGCGCTACCGCGTATTGATCCTGCGCTCATCTACACTCCTCCAGATCCTTTTGCATCGGGAACGGGGGAGATGGGAAGCGGATTGAGTGATAGTCAACGGCAAATTGTGGCAAGAGTACCGTTGAAGGAGATGGTTGGTTATTTGAACCAACTTAGGGCTCTGACAGGTGGAAGAGGCACGTTTGTGATGAGTGTGGATGGATTCGAGAAGATGGGAACGCAGAGGCAGAAGGAGGTGCTTGATGCTTTGCGCGAGTTTTAAAGAGATATGTACTGTATGATTAGATGATGTAACATATATTGTATACGTTCACTCCAAACTGATAGATCTCAATGCTACGCAAATAAGATACGTTCTTCGTCTACAGAGTCACTGCCAACACTTTGGTGTCGAAATGCAAAACCATGTATGTCTACGCCGTGAGTGCACTGCTCAGTCCCAAGATCCCCATACCCGCAAATGCAGAAACAAAGCATAAACGCCGAGAATTTGTCATATCTAGACTCTCTCCCAAGAGTTGCAGTGATACCATAGCCATGATGCCTGCCGTGACAGCAAACATGCATCCATAAATAGTGTCCATTCCCTCATCTGTACCATCTTGTCGGCCTCTGCCTTGAATCTTGAACCATAGCGCTGCTACACCTGCGCCTAGCGGTTGACTGACGCCTCCCAGGACAGCCGAGATCAGCATCGCTTTCCAGCGCGATCCGATCGCCAGGTAGAGAGGTAGTGCTAGCGCAAATCCTTCGGTGATGTTATGAATAAATAATGCGAGGAAGATGGAGAAGCCCAATGTCGGGTTGGCGTGGTTTGTAGCGTACGTGATGAAGCCTTCTGGAATTTTGTGCAGAGCAATTGCTGTGCTTGTTTGCAGACCGAGAGAGAGGAAAGCGTTCGTTGGGACGTGGTGATGGTGTTGTTGCGCCTCATTGTCATGCTCGTCGTGGTCGTGATGATGATGGTGATCAGTGTGTGATGAGGTGGTCGAGGATGAGCGGCTGTGTTTTTGTAGTGGTTGAATTTCGTGTGTTAGACTGGGTGTTGCGTGACCATTAGAAGGCGGCAGACTTGCAAAGGAGCTTTCCATTGTAGCTGGCCCAGACCGTGCAGGTACCAAGGGTGTTGTTTCGTCAACATCTTCCAAGATTGCTCGACGTTCATGCGGTCCTTGTGATGTTTGGCTCCTGCTCATTCCTGATGGCCGTGCAGTTGTCAAGCTCCCCAAGGACTTTCTCGATTGCAAGCGTGCAGGCCGAACTTCACACAGGTCGCCATAACATTGTCCACTATCCGTATCGTCACATGGCTTCTCGGCGCCAATGACTAGTTGAGATACTTTGGATGACAGCGACTTGTGCAGCGATGGTCTCCGGGATAGAGCGGCTTTCGAGTTATCGCTGTGAGTTCCGTATGAGGGTTGCTCGTCATGTCTATGGGCTTGCGGAAGACTGGACTGTTGCTCCTGCATTGGTGGATGAGAATGCGAGTGGTAGTCATGACCTTTCCCTTGCTCTTCGTCACCATGCTTGTCGTCACAGTCCACAACGGAGTGTGGAATATACTGGTGCAGTATTCCGGAAAGAACTGAGATGCCAAGAGCACCAATCAGGAAGCAACCGATTAATGTTAATATCGCATTTCGTGGTGACATGCCTCCCTTCTTTAAATAGTCTTTTGCCGAGGGAAGCATGCTATATAGTGACGAGAATATCTTGAAATTAGGTCAGCAACTGCTGGAAACTGTACGACGATGGTGGTACGCACCATGACACCAAAGGACAGACTCAATCCCGTCGACAAGAATGCATTACTTTCTTCAATCTTGAAGTTCTTCTTGCCGGGGAAATATCGTACGATGAGGTCGACGCATACTATCGAAGCTAGCCGTCTTTAGTTTCTAGACTTGGTGAAGTTCTCCGAAACCGGCAGATTCAGTCTACCGTAGGGATAATCTTACCTCCAAATGTACATGCTGTTTACGCGTTAGCCCGCCCGCTTCATCTGAGTCTTATGCAGTTGCCCGCGCAAACATACCTATGCCGCTGACCGCGGTCATTATCCACCCACGCGTGTCATTATCGAGAACCATATCTGCCTGCAGGTACGTTCCTTTGATGACGTCGTTGTGCCAAGCTTCCTGTCTTCGCGAGCAGGGGATAGTCGCGGAAATGCAAAGGCGATCAAATTGTTCTAGAGAGCGGGCGGCAGGCGATAAGAGATGATGAAGTTTGTATATACAATAAGGACCCGGTCAGATGAGGCGTCTTCTTCGCACCGTGTTGTCCCCCTAGCGCGTATCTTGCATTCAAGGAAATCTTCGGGTTTAGCGGCTTGGCGATCAGGCTAACTGATACACACGTGTCGTCATTGGCCGAAACTCAGGTGGCAAGGCCTCGCGGCTCGCCTCACGTCGGATGGCAGTCACAATATCAGACGTCAAGAGGAAATGGGAGCACTTCAAAGCATCGTCTGGGAATGTCAAAAAGAATCTCAATGCGACCAAGAGACCGTTCGTCTTTTGATTTTTGAGGAGAGAGGGCACATGAGCAGTGTCACTAGTGCCAAGACACGGAGGCGGTGAAAGGAAGACAAGACACTTGAAGGGTGACATCTGACATTGTATGACTGATGAATCTCGAGGCTACTCTGGCTCTCATATCAAAGTTGAAACTAGATGAAAGAAGATAACACCGGCAACTTGTCGACGGACACGCATTAAACTGGTAGTCCCAAAAATAACTCCTCAAGTGTCCCTAATGTACCTGCGCTGTGAAGTAGAGGGCAATGCTCCTCAATCGAGGCTTGTTGATGACCATGATGTAGAAATTCTAGAAAAGCTCAAAGAGCTAGAAACGCCGTATTTCCGAAACATCCCGCTATGCATTACAAAGAAGAATTTTGAGGTTCCAAAGTATGAGTCAAAGAAAAGTCGTCGTCAGTAGTCGTGTGTCGAGCAATCAGTACTTGGGGGGTCTCGGAACAAAGATCTTGCTCCACGCACCAGAGCCGTGTTCGGGCTTCTCATTGATGACCAGGAGGTTGGGCGATGAACAGTAACCACCAGGTGCCGCTCTCCGTGTTTGCTCCTCGTAGTGACCTTCAAGATCGGCTTCGGTGGCGTTTTGTGCAAAAGCTGCAGCCGGATGGTCGTAGATCCAGACCTTCTCTGTTACGAGCTCACCAGGCTCTTCAGCGAAGCGCGCCTTCTTCTCAGGAAAGCCAACGAAGTAGTTGAGAATGTCGTGGATTGGAGCGTAGAGCTTCTCCGGGCGACGAATAAAAGAGAGCCAGCTCAGGGTCTTCTCGTCATATGCTACCCGCACGAACGGGTTCATGTATATCCTAGATTCCGCAGGCCGACCTTTCCCAGACATTCGGTACTGGAGATCTGCGTTGATCAGACAGCACTCGGACGCTTCCCAGAACGTTTCGTTGTCGTGTCTAAACCGAAGTGGGAAGATGCTGTGATTAGGCGTCCCGTTCTGTGGGTTTGCGGGTTCTGGCTGTGCTCCGGTCCCCTCCTGGAACCACTTGGCTTCAAAAGCTACCATTCCGCCCCAGCAACTCCTCACGCGCACCGCATCTTTCCCTGCGAGCACATCGGCCCTGCTGGTCCCTGTTCCCGCGCTGGTGAACCACGGGAAGAAGGGCAAGCCAGTTATCATGCCATCGAAATCGCGCGTGGCGAAGCGGTCGTAGAACTTGAAGGGCATGATATGGTCGACAGCGCATGCCGCTGCATAGTCGGCCCGCCCGGTCGAGTCGATGTTGGTTGCGAAGAGGAGTTGGGCAGCTTCAACGGGGTCGAAGTTGACGTCGTTCAGGTACAGGACCTTGTCAAACTTGACGCCGTGTTTGTCGATTGGGGCGAGGGCTCGGTTACGCACCTCGGCAAGGAAGGCGATGCGCTTGAGGCGTTTGTCGCCGTTGGGTAGCGTAATGTGGGGAAGGGTAGCGAGATCAAGATCTTCGGATACAATGGTGGAGTTGCCTGGCTGGGTGGTTAGTCGTCTTCAGTCTCGGACAGGGGGCGGAGCTCCTCACATTTGACCTGTTCGCGGAAGGAGATTAACGACTGTTTCGTCACTGGATCGGGGTTGTCTTCATATATGCTCAGGTGCACATTCTCCTGTCCCAGCAGCTCTACCAGCTGCAGGACCTCCCTTCCCCATGCGCCAGACGTCAAGTCGCCCTTGGTCTCGGCAAGCGAGGCGGCTATGAAGACCTTCTCGTTGTAGGGGTTTGCGCGCCCCGTGGTAGTGGCTCGCTTGCGCAGTTCCTCGTAGTGTGGAGGCCTGACTGTGTAACTCGGGAAGAAGATGCCGGCGACCAGCACTAGGACTATGAGGATGTAAGGCACAGAGAACAGAGTCCAGTAGACCAGCCGCAATATAGACCGTTTCCGGCGGCGCGGTGTGACGTAGTGAGCGTATACAGCGCGATCAGAGAGCTTGTTGACAGCATTGAAGCGGCTGGTCAGGCGGTGCAGCCACGAGTGTCGCGACGAAGCTGAGGCGCCTGGTTCCTGGCCGACAAGCTGTTCGTCGTCGCCATCGAGAGATTCGCGTGGAACCAGCTCATACTCGTGTATGGGCCGGCGGGATTGTTTAAGCATCGGAAGGATTCCTTGGTGAGTGAAAGGGGCCTAGTTACTCGGGTCCGCCATCAAGCGAGAGCGAGCGAGTACAGGCGTTGGGTGGAGGCGTGCAGCAATGTTAAGTACAACCGCAGAAAGGAGTGTGGTATTGTAGCTCGCAGAGTCACAAGGTGGGAAGGCGGGAGGGTGGTGGGTGTACGGCGCAGTGTTGTCCAGCAGCTGCCATGCTCCGATCTTGGGGACGCACGCACGACGCGCAATTCACGGCCTGGTTGGGGTCTCCCTCATGCCAGGGTCCAGCACCCAGCCGAGTGGAGCAGCGTGAACGTGCACCCCTCGCCGCCGACGAACCTAGTTGTGGATGACCTTTTAACCTTTGACATAGCCCCGGCATCCACACAATAGTCGCGAATAGCACGTCGCGACAGCGGGATAGCCGTTTCGAATGCCTCGTTGGAGCCACGGCGGGCTGATCTGACAAGGCGCTGTTTCCCAACGCTCCAGACTGCCCACTCGCACCACGCCCCCTAAACAGAGCATCGCGCGCGCCCAACTTCTTCCCGCTCCCAGCTGACCTCACCTCGGGACCGAGATGCATCCTTCGCCAGTAACGCCTCAACTTCGCACCATGAGCCATCAGAATCTGCACATGGGTCCTTGGCCTGTATCTCGGCCTCTTGGTCTTCGGTCATTGCATTGGCAATCGATTCAGTAAGCGAAGACACATCTACCGAGATCGCGCGGAGTTTTCCATCGCTCTAGGACGCGTACTTGGCGTATCCCATATACGAACGCGTATCTACACCTGCACTGCCTGACATTACTCCACACACCTCAAACCACTGGCTTATGCCATTCCCAGGTTACGCGGACTTGTCATGCTAACAATAGCTTCTATCGTAATCTTTGGGGCTTGCAAACAGTATTCAGGTCACATCTCATCACAGCCTCGTCAAGCTACGCATTTGATTACAACACTTCCAACTATTGGTTATTCCATGCCGTCCTGCAGCAGGCCAATGCCCGCACAACAACCCTTGCTGTGATCCTTTACGCACGTTTCCCTCGCAAGACTATCCTCAGTTCCCTCGTTGCATCTGCCACTACTCGCCCTTGTTCAGACTTGATACGGATGATCTAGGCAACTTGAGTGGATTTCGGATTTGTGAAATAGGAGAGTGTGGCGCTGAGCTAGTTCTCGGTCGAGCAGCGTTGCCGGAAGCCGACGGTACCTTCGGTATACTTGTGTGGCCTACCGACGTTGGCGTAGATGGTTCTTCGACCACTGGAATAGGCATCGGAGAGTAGCGTGGAACCTCTTGTGTTGTTGATGAACGTTCCTTGCCTGGCTTCTGCTCGGGCTGTCGATCGTACCGTCCACCGAACTCATCTCGGACACTAGTAACGACCCGTTCCCTCTCGTTCCCCTGGCGTGTGTCTTCGTTTGGCTTCGTGTTCGTTCTTCTCACAGCATGTGCTTCTCCTCCAGGTTGGTCCTTCCTTGGTCCGCTGTCTCTCGGACTTGTCGTCCGCTGTCTCCACCGCTCGTACGAGCGAGACCTCGCAACGCTAGACTCTACAACAAATGTCAGCATACATTCCATGAACAGTAACCTCCAGTCTACCAACGAGCAGCGGAATAAGGGTGAGCATTACTCGGTGCTGAATGCCTCCTACTCGTGTACAACTCCAATGGCCTCGCTGCATACCCGCTCATCGGCGTAAAGGGTGCGTACCTGACTGAAGTATCCGGCCCATCAACCCCCATCGTGTCGCGATTCCATTGTCGAGGATACGATCTAGGAGTGTTCCAAGCTCTCGTTGCCGTATGTGAATATTGCGGGAACTCGAACGGCAACGTGTCCGTGAAACCAGGCGTCGCTCGCGGTATCGATACCCGTGGAACTTCTTGCGTGGTGCCTGATGTGTCACTGGAGCTTGATGAGGACGATGACGATGACGATGACTGAGGGGCTGCCTTCTTCAGCGCCTCCAACACGATAGGTGGATACTCGTCGCAAATGTGGATAAAATCTACTCTCTCGACTCGACGCGCACGACTAGCGGCAGACTTCGGCTTCACTGGAGGGGTCTGGTGCTGGCTGGCTTTGGGTATATCCGAACTCATCGTCTCCGTGTAGGTCTGTCGATAATTAGGTTGCTCTCGGGGTTGATACTGAGGCAGATACTGAGTTGGGTGCTGAGGTTCAGGCATCCTTGCCGCCATTTGTGGAAACAGTTGTTGCGGTACCGCTGTAGGCATAGCGAAAGGTGGCGTATAAGCCCACCCTTGAGTCTGCCATGGCATTGAAATCCGCTGCTGTATTTGTGACGGGTAGTCGACTCGGTTCGCGCTAGGCCACTGTTTCTGTTCGAGCGAAGGATGGTATAACTGTCCATATGACTGTTGCTGCTGTGGCTGCGTAGAGCTATTGAATTGTAGCATCGGCCTCGCCCAGCCTGCATTCGCATTACGAGCAGCGTGGCTCTCTCCATCTCGGTGCTCGTAGTACTTCCTGGTCTGCGACCCCTCAGGTCTTTCTCTCTCCCTCTTCGTGGATCTCGACTGGTGCCTCGGCGGCTCTCGCTGCTCCCCTTTTCCGATGTATACACATGGCGGTGGCCTTGCTTGGCTTGAAAAGAGGGTGTGACACCAATGCTCAATTTCACAGCAGCTTTGATGGATGTAGCGATGAATGAACCAAAGGGCGACGTAGATCAAGGCTGCGCCGAAGACGCCTGCGAAAACAAGCGCGATGATGAGGTTGGTTGTTGCCATGACGGGCAATAAAGGAACAGGATTGAAGCAGGGCAAGAGCATTCAAATGACAACAAAGGTGAGGAGTAGGAAGACAGTTGTATTGGAGCAACCGTCAACCAGATAGATATCTGCTGTCGTTTAGCTAGGCTGTAGTAAGTTTGTCGAGGACTAACGATGCAGCAAACATCCGGTACGTTGTGCAATATGGCATCCAACCATCGAACACACCAACGCAGTAGCAACACACGCCAAAACAAATGAGTTTGGTAAGTTAAGTTTCGATGGCTCGGTACTCAGCGCTTGTTTTCTTATCTAGCATCGAGGGACAAAGGCTCCCGAGAACTTAATATCAATTGCGGTACATGCTCGAGGGACAAACTTGTACAACGTCTTCTAGACGCTCGTGCTCTCATTAGACGTTACACGGTGCACGACTTGCCCAGGCGCCTCGATCATATCATGGTTATGATAGTATACAGGCAGTATCGCGGAGTCGTCTTCCGTCTCCGTAATTGTTTTCCATTTCCATATCTCCAAACTACTTATGAATATGCTTCCTTTCGTCTCCGCCATTTTTACCATTTGACACCACTGTCTCCCGCAGGCGTGGCGTCCCACGGAGCTTCTCCACCTCCACCTCCGTCCCATCCTGCAACATGACCACCGGCGTTGCTCTTCGCTGCTCCACCTCCACTACCAGCACTCTTCGTCGCTTTACTGCCTTGTCCGTTTTCGCTCTTTGCTCCTCCGCTCTTACTCCTCGTCTTACTACCATCCTTACTCCTCGCTCCTACACTAACGCTTCCTCCAGCCTGCGCCTCAACATCTCTCATGTAATTTATTTCCTGAAACTCCAGATCAACAGCCCTCCGACAGCTCCTCATCAGACAGTAGCCGAAGAAACAGCAGAAGAAGGTGACGAGGATGAGGGTGAGTATGATGGCGTGAATATACTTCATCGTGGGTAGTTGATTATGCCCGCAGCTTATGGGCGGGTCGATGGATGGTTCCTCTTGTTGTACAGGCGTGCGCAGACGTTGTGATGATGTATTGAAGTGCCAGATCGATCGATTGTGAGTGTTCTGATTTGAGGGGAACGCCTTTGCTGAAGATGGACGAGCTTTAGATGATGAGGCCAGCGCCGTGTATATCTATCGTGACGGCGAGTCTAGATGTAAGCGCATAAAGTTAGTACATGTTCCACTTACGGTTCGTACAGGGACACTCACAGTGTACATTCAGAATTGTGGTTCTGGGGTAAGCAGTCCGTAGCGTAGTATTCAGTGAAGAAATGGTACTGGTGTCGCTCTCCGATCTAACCGGGAAACCGCCTTCACTTTCACTATTCACCTCTACTTCTAGTTCGTTGGCAGTATGCTGTAAGCAGTTGAACATAATCGGAGCTGATTCGATGATAGTTAATATGTCCTGAAGGTCGGTAAGAAAAGCGTTATCAGTAACATTGTAGACAATACCGCTAGGATTTCCAGCGTTTCTGAGCAGTGACTTCAACAATCTCTTGGGAAGACCTTGATAAGTGGTTTTGTAACGCGATGGATACCAGGATTGTCAGAATGATATTATTGATGTTATATGGATATCGTGCGTGTGGTTACAGAGAAGAGTGGTATCTACGGATCCAGCTTTCACGACCCAGCAGCAGTCTCCGCCTTGACAGGCGCAGAACTTTGTTTCCCACCCACAGACGGTGTAGCAACAACAATAGTATCTCCATGTGTTTGTCCCACCGGCGTTGGCTGTTCTACACGCTGCACTTGTTCCTGGACTGGCGTCTGCAGCTTTGTTGGTGGAGTAGGCGTGGGTGGGGGTGGCGCCATGACCTTCCTTGATGGACTTGACATTTCCCAGAATCGTCTCGGCACGTTTTTTGCTGGTGGCATACCCAAAAACCCTTTGCCTCCCATACTTTCTAGGGGTCTCGCCCGACCTCCTACGTAGCATCCCAAATCGCCACTCCACACGAAACCGCCTCCTACCACACCTCGTAATACACCGAAAGCGCGTGCATCACGATACGCAATACCTGTCTCTGGGTCGCGGTATCTGGCGATTGTGTTGGTAATGGGACAGAGCTTTTGTCCTGGTTTGAGCACGATTTCTGGTTCGGCTTTTGGCGCAGCGTTCTTCCGTGGTGGCTTCGGTGGCGCAATGAGCGTCTTTTGTATATAGTCTGTAGCTTCGGCAGGAGTCCAGTTGAACAGCGCAGCATAGAGTTGCACCAAGGCTGACCTGTCCTTTTCCTTGAGGAGTGAGGCTGCTGTTCTGGCTCGCGATGATGTTGTTTGTGGGGCGTCAAGGTTGGGAAAGTTTGACAGGATTAGTAGATTGCGGAGAGCTCGACGTATGACTTTGCGTCGTGGTGGCTGAGGAGGCAAGGCTGGTTTTTGGAATTGTGCAATGAGGGCCTGGGTCCCTGTTGCTGGATCGCCGTTCTGCTGAAGTAGAGAATGGTCGCTGAGAGATGGGTGTAGTTGTTGGGAGAGAGTTGCTTGTGAGGTCGCATATTGGTTCTGGAAGGGAGAAGCTTCCGTAAAGGGAAAAGGAGGAAGTTCGTCGCCATGCATGGACTGGGATTGCGGGTTCTGAGCGTATTGGTCGATGCCAAAGAGAAACGAATCTTGATTCGGAGGTGCGAACATGACAGTGCTAGGGTGTTGCATGCCAAATGAGCCCATGAAAACGTCACCGCCTTGTGATGCTGCTGCTGACCATGGTTGATGTGAACTGTCTTGTTGTGGTGGCATCGTTGCTGGTATCGAAGGTATCTGTGATGAGCTACTGAACGGATTCAAAGAGGGAAATGATGGTTGCTCATCCGCATGATTTTCAGGCGCTTGTACCGGAAAGTTTGTCGACTCTGGCTGTGTTGTTGGCGCCTCCACAGCCGTAATTTCCTTGTTGAGCTTTTCTTCGAGATGCTCCAGACTTGGCGCATCCTTGCCTGTGTACTTGAGCTTGTCATCGACCCAGATGCCCGGACCGCTGTAGTATCGGTAAAAGGGCCCATCGATTTGCCGGTTCTTCAGGGCGTCGATCTTCGCCTGCCTCTCTGCTGCTCTGGCTTCCTCTGCCTCTTCCCATCTGTGTAGAGTCTTCTTGTTGATGCGCTCATTACGGGCAGCCTCAGCAAGCCGTTCGGCCTGCGTCAATGGCTTCTCTTTGGACTTCTCCTTCCGCGCCTCTGCGGCCTTCATCATAGCCAGGGTATCATCGCGCCTCCGGTCCTTTTCCTTCAGTTTGGCTAGTGTGGCGTCCTTGTTCGCTACCGTCTGTTTTCGCATCGACATGCGCACCGGGCCATCCTCTTCGGTAGGCAGCCATGATGCCCTCTCAGACTTCTTCTTGGGGCGCGGAGGGGCGAGCGTGGGTGATTGTGCACGCGGGAGATCGAGTTTGACTTTCTTGCGTGTCACGGCGGCGACTCGTGCAGTGAAGGGGTTTGTGGCGGCTTTGCGCTTCTTGTTCCGCTCTTGTCGCTCTGCCTTGCGCAATTCCTTTTCGCCAGCATCGTCGTCGTCGGCGCCATCGTCATCCTCGTCTGATGATGACGAATCCATGTTGTAGTCTTCCTGCTCATTGACAGCATCGCCCTGAAACTCCTCCTCGTTTGGAGCCTCCTCCCACTCCTCACCCCATTCCTCCTCCTCCTCGGCCGCATTGGCGAGCAGGTTGGCCATGCGGTTGCCGGCATTGGATCGCCGGGCTCTGGTCTTGACCATGAGCTCTGCGGGCGCTTCCTCTTCGCTCTCATCTTGGGATGCCTCGGACTCGCCATCGTGACGAGAGGGCGGGGCATCTTCCATGACTATCTGAGGTGGCTCCTCGGACATGGTGGTCGAGAGAGATTGGAGGGCAGGCGCGGAGGCAGGCGCGGAGGGTGCAGACGAGGCGGATGGAGCCTGAGGCAAAGCGAGTCGGACGGCAGCGATCAAGGGTGTGGTGCGGATTTCCAGAAGACTTCCATGAGACACGGATTATACGCTCCAACTGTGGGGTGAACGACTATCCAGCATGGACTGCAGGGCGGCGGGGCCGTCTGGCGTTGCGGTATTATGCGGGTTTGGTGGGTTGTTTCAAGCGACGTGATTGTACTGTGTCTTGAATTGCCTGCAGTCGTTGGCGATGGATCGAGAGCACGCGCCTGCGAATGACGCGACGGGCGATTGAGAAGTCGCCAAGTCAGCGGGAAAGACTTGGCATGATCCATGGGACCTGAAACATAGCGTGCTTATGATTGATAAACGTTGTTCCAAGGTACCGCACCATGTCATGTCAACGCCTCACTAAAGCTCTTTGGGTCTGCATGGCCTGTCAGGCTGTCTACTTGCAGGACATGCAGGACAAAGGCATATCCGTAGTGGTCTGACGTGCTTGTTTTCTAGAAGAGAGCTTGTTTCGATTGCGTGGACATGCATTGCAGGCTATAGTGATGTGATGTATTCCATACTCTAGTTGCAATTGAGCGGGCGCAATGCAGATTGCTGTGTAGAGAGGGTAGAGAGAGAGGGCACTGCTGCAGCTTGGTCGAGGACAAAGTTTGATAGGCCGTCGGTGGGCATGCAGGACCCCAGGTGCACGTTAATCCATGTTTAGCAGCGGCAGGCCAATCACAGCCCCAAAGCAGCCAAAGGCACACAGTGTCCACGTCAGATTCTGGAGTAACGGACTTTCTCGACGCGCCTCTGTGTTTCAGACGGTAGCGGACATGCGCTGCCCTCGTCCCGCGGCCACCGACCCAGGACACAATTGCAGGACTGGCAGTCGACGAGTTGGGAGCCCCTGAATCTCTACAAAAGCAATGCGCAGCTGCCGTGCAATAGAAACCCTCACTCGACGTTGGACAGCCCGCCCGCAACCGTAGCCGACCGCGTAGATCGTGCCCGTAGCCTGTAACGTGCTTGTTCTGGCAGCCCTCCCAATTGAGCTAGTTTCCCTCGTGTTCCTGGTGGCTCCCCATTTCTATCAAGCGAACCTCACCACTCCCTCTGTTCTGTTGCGCATCGCTCCATCGCTCCATCGCCCTCTCCCCCTCCCCTCCTGCGACAACTAGCTGTATCGGCCTCGTCCCGAGCTCGGATGCTTAATCGGCCATCGTCCGCTTAATCCTATTACTTCTGTTCTCCAGGCACTCCGGTGATCTGTCTATTCCGCCCGCCTGCCGCTGTACAGGTCCATAATCGACCACCGCCAATCCTCCGTCACTCCTTGTCGGCAAACAGCCCGCCGTCTGAAGCTCCACCATCGCATCCGGACTGGATCCAACGGGTGTCGTCGTCTCCACCGTACACACAGGCTGCGCTACGCTGAGCCCGGTCTTGCTGGCAATAATCCTCTCCGCCTCACATTCCTTTGGCCGGCACCAACCCTCCTTCGCACCATTACCCTGGCTTTGGTAACCGAGTCACCACGACTGTTCTTCCCGTATAGACTACCCAGGTCACCACAGGGTCTGTAATCCATAATGGCTCCCACCAACCGCCCCGAACACCACATCAACCTCAACTACATCCCCCAGCTGCCCCAGCCGCCACACTCGGGCTCCTCGACCGGCAACACCTCGCCTGTCGAGCCCCCCAACAGCGGCTCTCTCCGCTCCTATGGCAATGCCGCCAACCCACTGGGTGCCGCCGCTGCGGGTGCGAGGCTCGGCAATGGCTCCCCCTCGCATGACTATGGCGGCCGACTATTTTCCAAACGGTATGTCGCATCCTGAAACAAGTCTCGACTCGAGCTAACACCCTGACAGTGCACGCGAGATTCAGGCACAGGAGGGCCTAACTCCGCAAATGTGGGGACCTCCTACCAGCGGTAACTCGACACCGCTGCGTGAGACTATCCCAGAATCCCCCAACAGCGAGAACTTGAGCTTCCCAGATTTCAACAACGCCATGCCAGAGACGACACAAGCTGCACCCGCCTCGGGTCGCCGTGCCCGCGCTGGCACTCTGCCCTCACGCTTCTCCCCCTCCGCTGCCCCTCCCGGCCTCATGTCCGGCACCTCTCTGCTCCCCAAAAGCTCGCGACCAACGCCCTCCACAAGCCCTTTCAAACCCGGCCCGGGTACACCGACCGACAGCTCGAGCTTCAGTGCTCTCGGATCCACAAACGCTGCTGCCAAGTCCGCACTGCTCTCGCGTCTCCGCGCTGGCTCAATGCCCCAACGACCGGGTGCTTACTTGCCTCCCTCCAACTCTGCCTTTGGTAATCCCATCTTCTCCAATGGCTGGTCAAGCGGCCGTGACCGCAGCAGCACACTTCACAGCATTGCCTCTGTACCCTCCAACGGGCCTGGCTCGCCTAGGTCTTCCTTCTCGCGTGATTCGCTTGCCGACACTGATGTCAAAACTCTTGATTACCTTGGTTTGGTCGATACGCCCCAGCCTGCGCGAGCAACCTTGGCTCCGTCCGATATTGAGCTCCTCCTCGAGAGCCAGAGGAACGCCAACAGCCAGAACTCGAACAGCGCAAACCGCTTCCGATCCTACTCTGTCAATGCCAAGGAGAAGTATGCCGAGGACGAGGAGGACCAGTATGGCGGGTACAGCGGTGCCATAACCCCTGCAGAGGCCAATGCTCTTCTCATCCATGAAGCTGTCCGCCAGCACAACCTTGAAGTGCAAGCATTCGCGAATCTCGCTTCCAACGCGCGCCCGCGAGCCCGTACTGCTGGTGTGCTAGATGCTCCTTCGCGGGGCATGATGCGTAACTACCTGCCCGCTATGGGACGGTTCGACAATGGCATGGGATCTGGTGACCTAACTGAGGATGCCGAGTACAATCTTACTGAAGCTGTCAAAAAGCTTCACTTGCCAGGTAACAACTTGGGTGATGACGGAACTTTGGAAGGACCTACTCGATCTCTGTGGCTTGGCAACATCCCTTCATCAACCACGGTTTCATCGCTCCAAGTTATCTTCGCCCAGTACGGTGGTATCGAGTCTACCCGAGTGCTTACCCACAAGAACTGCGGTTTTGTCAACTACGAGAACCTCGAGAGCGCCATTCAAGCGAAGTCGACTTTGAACGGAAAGGAGATCTTCCCAGGTGCTGGTCCCGTCCGCATTGGCTACGCTAAGATCCCAAGTGCAGCGGCCACCCCTGGTCACAACGGTCTGTTCCCTTCACCGAGCCCTGACCCAATGTCAAAGGCTCAGGCTGAGGGCGCGGCTGGCTCTGCCACTGCTACCAAGATGAATAGCATCCCCGCAAACGTTCCTTTGACAACCCCGGAGCTCAGCGACATCCGCACGGACATTATCCAGATCGTGAAGGAGTTGGGCGCCACGGACGATGAACAGTCACGGATCACTAACAAGGTTGAGAAGGCTGTACAATTCAACAACTATGTTGACGAGATCCCGTCTGTTGAGGAGCCAAGCCACACTCGCATCCACGATGCTCCCAGACTGCGAGAGATCCGCAAGCGCATCGATAACGGGTCCTGTTCAAAGGAGGACATTGAGAACATCGCCATGGCCATGCTCCCCGAAATCGCTGAGCTATCCTCCGACTACCTCGGTAACACTGTGGTGCAGAAGCTGTTCGAGTTCTGCGAGGAGCCTACCAAGGAAGCCATGCTTCGCGAGATCGCTCCCCATCTTGCTAAGATTGGTGTGCACAAGAACGGAACATGGGCTGCCCAGAAGATCATCGATGTCTCCAAGTCTGAGACTATGCAGAAGATGGTTGTGGATGCTGTTCAGCCATATGCCATGGCGCTCTTCCTCGACCAGTTCGGTAACTACGTTATGCAAGGCTGTCTTAAGTACCAGAAGTTCAACGACTTCATCTTTGAGGTCATGTTGGGCAGACTTTGGGATCTCGCTCAGGGCCGATTCGGTGCCCGTGCCATGCGAGCTTGCTTGGAGAGCCACTATGCCACCAAGGATCAGCAGCGCATGGTAGCTGCTGCGATTGCTCTCCACAGCGTCCAGCTTGCGACCAACGCGAACGGTGCTTTGCTCCTGACTTGGTTCCTCGACACTTGCACCTTCCCAAGGAGACGTACCGTGTTGGCTCCCCGTTTGGTCCCACACATTGTTCACCTCTGCACACACAAGGTTGCATATCTCACCGTGTTGAAGATAATCAACCAACGCAACGAACCAGAGGCCCGCGATACTATTCTGCAAGCATTGTTCTTCTCTCCCAATGACCAGGTGTTGGAAAGCATCTTGGCCGACCAGAACTGCGGTGCCACTTTGATCTTCAAGGTGCTGACCACTCCGTTCTTCGATGAGCAGATTCGGGCGGATGTGGTACAGAATGTGCGCAATGTGCTGCTGCGTATCAAGGCGCAGCCCCAACAAGGCTACAAGCGACTTATGGATGAGGTTGGTCTCTCCACTCGTGGCGGCCCTGGTCATCGTGAACATTCCGCAACTCGACCAGCATCTAAGGATAGCATTGCGTCTGGACCTCCGAACCCTGGAAACTTCTATCAAGGAGCGGCTCCTGGCTACGACCCTGTCGCACTTCAGCGCACAGCAAGCATGGAGTCCAACGGTTTCGAGCAGTACCCAATGGGTGGTGGACCCATGTACATGCCAAACATGCAGGCTATGAACAACCAGCAGCAGATGCAATACCAGCAGCTCTTGGCCCGACAGGGTCAGTTCTATCCTCAGATGAACGGCTTCCAGGGCCCAGTCCCGGGTATGGATGCTTATCGCAACGCCTCGCCCGTTGCAGGTCCCGGCAGCTTCAACGGATCACCGATGATGCAGCCCGCCAACCTTGCCGGTCAGGGCATGCCAGGCATGTACCCACCATATGGCATGTATATGCCACCCCAGCACCAACAGGCCGCTGGAGGCAATCAGCGACGTGGCAGAGTAAGCAGAAATGCGTCCCCTGCGAACAGCGTTCGCCGTTAACATCTCTTTAGAGATAAATGCCTCGCCTGAGGGTTTAGATTCTCATCTTTTCTTAGATTCTGTGGTGTTGCCAGGAAAAGCAGCACTATCTTCTTGTATATGATTCGGATCTTCACCTACACGCATCTGCTAGCGAGCATTATGCAAAGAGACAGACACCATCCTTCCCAATGTTTCTCCTTGCGTCTTAGGACTTTACGAATTTCATCTCTATGTACTCAATCAGACATGTTACTATTGGCCCCATGTCGTTTGTCTTGTCACTCGCTTAGCCATTGCTTGGTGTTTTGGGGAGTACTTTGAGCAACGTTCTTGTATGTCGGTTTCGAGTGGAGGGCTCACCTTATGGGCTCTGTCGATCGATCGGATGATCATTGTATCGATATAAACGCGCATATGAGTGTTCAGGTGGAATGATATATGCGATGCAAAAGTACCACTACATGGCATGATCTGGGAATGGGATATTGGACACCTCTTTTCTTCCGTGTCCTGTATGGAAAACAGACCGAGCTCGAGCCTGCGAGCTAGATAGAATTGAGGTCTTTTTACTATATCAGCCATCATCTCAATACTGCAACAATCTACGAGCATGACCGAATACCACTCAAAGATGAGTCGATTCACCCTGTCCTTGACTCCTAATTAAGGTTGGTATGCGCCGCGAGATGTCAGACGCTTGTGGCGGAAGGAGACCAAGGAAAGTAGTAATAGGAGCAACAAAAGTCGATTTGAGCCGCCCCATCTATATCAATTGAGCGTGGGTATCATATACTGCCTGAACGCGCCGGAACCCCGTGATAAACGCCTATATCGAAATAACGACGATACGCTAATGGCACACCACCAAGCCTCGTGGTTACGAATTAAAAAGAAACTCCATCTATCATTGGCCGTTCAAGCCTGAGTCGCTATATTTCCGCTTCTTGGCCTCGCGCTCACCGTCCTGGGGAGGTCGGTATTGGTCCAGCTTGCCTTGCAGGCGGTAAGTTTCCCGCTTGATGTTTTCTGCGTTGGCCAATAAATCCATCTCGGTTACAGGAGCCTCGATACTAGCCAGCACGCTATTAACTGTACTGATATGGTTCGCGTCCTTTTTGTCGTCTCGCCAGCGTGGTGTACCATCAGCCTCCGCCTTGTATTTCCATTGCCCGCGTTCTGTACGGTAACATTCTATGATACGACCGTCGAGACGTTGATTGAGTGATTTGAGGGTCTCCCACTCGGCTGGAGTGAGAGAGAGGGTGGCGAACACCTCATAGTGGTTTGAGTTGTGCTGGACGAGCAATTGAATGGGGCTGGGCATTGCTTCGTAGTCGGTAATGAGGCCGTCTTCGCCGTCTTGTGGGTCCATGGATGGGAATTCGCCAAGGCGGAGCTTGAAGTCGATGGTGTTCTCGTGGGGAGGCTTCCACTTGAGGATATGCCTATCGGTACCAAACTGGTAGGGCGTGGACACGCAGGTGAAGATCAGGCCGTCATTGCCGTGTCTGAGGTTTGGAAGGATATTGCTGAACATGTCCTCGAGCTTGTACGCAGAGTAGGTCTTCTTTCCCTTAAGAGCGAACGGCTTGAGGTCGGCTGGCGTGATGTTCTTTCCAAAGGTCCTCGTCAAGTTGGCCTCGTATGGCTTGATGACCCAATCGTGCAATCGACCCAACCGCTTGTCCAGTGTCCTGCCCGTCACGTTTGTGCCATCCACCGCCAGACAATCGAAAACGTAGAAGTTGAGGCGCGGCGCAGGCTCGCCCGGGTATTGATCGTGAACCAGCTCGCCATCGAGGATAGTGCCGAACAAGAAGGGCTCGGGTTCGTTGGGGTGCAGATAATGACGTATCCGAAAGGGAGGCTCGACGTTGTAGTAGTTGTTCTTCCTGTCGATCAGAAAGGTCAAAGGCTCGAAAGCGCCAGTTGGTCCTTCCCGCCAGTGTAAGAAGAGGAGGCAGCGCAAGCCATCCGTCTTCTCGCACATGAAGTATTCGTTGCGCTGAAGCTCAGTAACATGTTCGCGTGCGAATGAGACAGGCTGCGCTCCGGGAAAGCGCAGGTTGTCGCGTTCGAGGAGTTCGGCAACAGTTTGTTTGAGTGAATGCGCCTCGTCGTTCGGGATCTGGAAGCCTGGGATCTGCGGTGGCGGCGCGTGCGATGGTTGGACCGTGGCCGGCATCTTGGGAAAGCGGAGCCAAAGTTGTTCGCGGCTTACGACAAAGCAGGAGGTCGGGCGCGAGAAAGTATGTGAATGGCAAGGCTACAAGAGTGATGGTAGCTGTATAACCATCGCGCAACACGACTATGAGCTCCACGCGCTAGTCTACAGGGTCCACTTACGTAATAGCTACAGAATAATACACTCTGGTCTTGCTCACCTCCACTAAATACATGATATATTGCAACCGATAAAGTTGTTCCCTTTCACTTTCATGAATTGTATCATGTGCGCTTACTGTAGTGTTTCCGGTATATTGACTGTTTCGTTGACTTTACTGTAACTATGCTACTGTAGCCATGCACGACACCATCAGTCTTTTCCAACAATAAAATAGTTTTGAAATACGATTAAGGCCCGGAGCTCTGAATGAAATTCTCGCTCTCTCCATATATCACAACTAAGCCACCAAGACTATCGCCACGTTGCCCGCAAAGGATCTCTGCCCTATTCTAAACATACGATGGGTTACCTACCCCCAGAAATATGGGCTGCTATCTTCTCATACTCCAAGGACCCACACCATCTCTGGAATGACTGCTGTCGCGTCTCTCGTTCTTTAGAACCGGCGTCGAGATCTACATCAGAATCACCTTTATCTCGACCCACCTACGCTTGTCTATCGAGTATCGGAACAGAAATATAGACTGTCATCGTGCCACCTTCATGAGATATCCGCCAGATCACCAACGTGTCTATTTTGACATAACTTGCGTTCAATGGTCATCTATGAAATCTTTACCTACGGACCAAATGCAGCTCTATATCATTCGGTATCATGTTCGACAATTACTGAAGCAATCCGAAGAGCAGTGGCTGTGCGATGGCCCCAACACGCAAATGGAGGTATATGCAACCTATCGAGGTGAGAGTGAGAGTGAGAGTTGTCTGAAACTGTTGTTCTGCATGAGGCTTGCAGACGGTGTCGATACTAGTCTTGCGGTTAACAGTGAGAGGGGATTCCTGTTTGAGCTCGACTTGAAGAACATGGTTGTTTCTTTCGGTTGGAAGGAGCTAGTGATGAGGGCTCTCGCGAAGAGTACCGGTTCAGACGGGAGACGGCTATATGGCTTCTCATTATCACATTGTAGTTTATATTGAGCTCTGGATGCAACTAGTATGCAGAGGATGGGTCAAACATCATGAAGGCAACCTATACAATCTACGACGCGTTTCTTTATGGAACCTCAGAGTATCCGTAGCTGTATAAAAGGTCCTGCCTGTAATGAATGCCAATCAAAGGGTATGTGGTCTAAACGGTCAAGACGCCGCCCTGTTCAAGGGCCTTCCGAAAGGAATCGCAGGTGGGGTGAGAGCTTCGCCTGCGTGGAGATGCGGGTTCGAGCCTCGCCATATCCAGAATCTTTTTGCTATTTGTATGATGTTTATTCTTCCCACTCATTCTTCTTGTATGACTGTCAGTCCTTTATATCTCTGATACTTCTCAAGGGAGAACATACACATATCAGGCATCTGCTCTGACACATGATCTCGAATCGATTGAACAAGATTCAGTTCTTTCCAAATTAGCATCCCAATGATTGAGTCGGAAAAAGTTGCTGGCTGACATGTCCTGGTCTTTTCGTAAATTGTGTTTGCTAGGCTAGACTAACATTTCGTTGGACGGTGTGACTAAGTGGCCAGGAAAGGATCCGTTTGCATGAATGGAACTAAAGTGTTAGATGACGTTACGAGTCTTTGTGACATACAGTAAGTAGCAGTCGGGGATGGATCACACCTGAGATCGTCGTCTAGGCAGCCCAGCACGGTCCGCTATGTTATCACCTGGAATGGTTGCCTTACCTTTCCCATTATGTATATATATCTTCTACACCTACTAGCCCTTGCAAAAATACCCTCCACATCATTGACTGTTACTATAATGTTTTGGTCAGCATTTCTTGTCTTTTCGGCGTCAGCCGCAGCTTGTCCACCGCCCCTTAACAGCTTCAAGTATCTAGCCAATGACACCCACACAACATCACAGATGATCTCCAGTCTGCTCTTACCTCGTGATGAATCCTCGTCACTGAATCGTAGATGGACTGAGATCGTGACCATGGTATATTTGGATCGACACCAATATGCGTTGCCTAGCTAAACGTCGTGTCAGACTGGACGGCCTCGAACGACATGGCCCAACGGCCTTATAACATACTGTTTCGAAGACGTGAACGCCCGCGCTCATTTTGCCGACGATATTAATGCAGCTTGGAAACTCTGGACTGACAAGATTGGGAATGCTGGCGGTGAGAGCGGCCACTCACTTGAGTTCCATGAGTACAAAGTCCAACACGATCAGTGGCCCCACTGCTACAACCAACGCAAAAGGGATTCCGATCCTTGGATCTGGAATGATGCTTATCCGCATGATGTTGCCGTTATCCAGGAGTCCACAAGCCTCGATGTCCAGGCTTCTTCGGTCACGGGTTACATACCAGCGGAATGGAGTGATTCACCGGGTCGCCATGGTACGCATCTCAGTATCAACTTCAAGAACAAGTACCCGGCGGAGTATTGGCACACGACTGTTGCCCATGAACTGGGTCATATCTTCGGTTTCTGGCATGAGCATCAGCGTTATGATCGTGATGACTACGTTCACTTTGACTGTTCTAAAGTTCGGGGTTATGCCGCGGCCAAAGCCAAAGTCGACGCAGCGAAGAAGCACCGGATGGAGCAAGTTTGCAACGACTATCGTTTAGCTCTTCTCTACGATTTCACGGCTATCCAGGATTTTGATACAATCGACCATGTTGACCCCGTTCACAAAGATGGAAAAGCCTGGCCCTTGTTCATCAAGCACGATCTGGAGTTTGATGATGAGTCTATCATGTTGTATAGCTCTACAGAGTTTGCCAACGACGGAGCAGATGTAGACGATGTAACGCAAGTGCCGTTGGCGTTCTGGAAGGACCGCGGTATTGGGTTCGGTCCACCGAGTAGAGTCGGGAAAGACAATCTGGAGATTATTGACGTACGGTGGAAAGTTAGCGATGGGGATTTGGAGGGTGTAAAGCATCTCTATCCTTACCTGGGAAAGGATGAAGATAGCCAGGACTAGACATGGAAAATAAAAGCTGTGACAGGTCAAAGGTCTGAGCACCGTGATCTTGTATGGCCGGCCAGTGGTCCATAGATGGCAAATGAGATAAAGCCGGGTGACCGGAAAGAAGCATTATAGATTACAAGTGTATGTAAATGGCGTATTCGTCCGTTCGATCAACGAACAAAGCCACATTCGTGAGGAGTGAAAGATCTTGAGTGGGGTATATAGCGAACCGAATCAAACCGGCCCAGTACGTCGCCGCGCAAGATCGTTTCGTCATCCTTAACGCCAGTAACAAAAATCCAAATAGCGCATGATCCTACATATCTTACAACAAAGTCGAGCAAGGGCTCGCAGAAGGATCCAAACGCCTCGCTGAAAAATGATGCCGGTCCCCGGTAATGTTACATATATTACAGTGGCGTGTTCTCATAAACACGTCTCGGTTGCGTCGGTACGTTGACGCGTCGGATCGTTCGTCAAAAGTTTAGAAAAAACCCTTGGTCTTCCCAGTCTTTGGGCTCATTGGTCCAAAAAGCTTCATATCCGTATTCATCTTCTTAACGAACACCAAATAGGCCTCTAACGCTTCGTCCTGCGTCTTGAATGTCTTGTCGCGATTCATCCACATCTTCAAATATTTATCCGCGCCGACATCTTTCAGCGCCGCATACCAACCACCAGAGGATCGCTGTCGCAACGATATTGCCAGGTTCTTTCCCTTGAGACCGGTAACGTTGGATACTTCTCGAAGGCAGGCAGCGCGGAGATCACCGTATTCGTCGTCGTCTTCGAGGGAAGAGGACGACGAGCTTCGCTCCATTTTTGGACGAGACGAGGTGCGGGTATCGAGCTTAGGGCGCGAGGTCTTTTTAGGTTCGAGTGCAGGTTTTGGCTCGACCTTCTTCTTCACAGGCGTAGCAGTCTTAGCTGCGCCCCCAAAGAAAGACCCAGAAGGCTTGGGAGTCGGAGGAGTCTTCGGTCGCAAACTTGACTTCTTGTCAGACTTGGAAGATTTTTCAGCCTTTGCAACCTTCTCAGCTTTGTCAGACTTCGACGATTTCTCGGTTTTCTCAGATTTTGACGTCTTTTCCGACTTTTCTGCCTTGGAAGGCTTCTCTGACTTTGAAGGTGCAACTGGTTTCGATGCGGTAGCTGTCTTGGACGACGATTTCGATTTCGATGGCGTTGGCGGCGTGGTGGTCGCTGGCGGCGATGTTCTCGTGCTGAGTGAAGCAAAAGGACTTGGCCATGCGCCTATGGCTTTTGGTGTTTCTTCGACCACCGGTGCGGCATCTTTCTTTGACCTTGCGTCGGCTCTGGATGTTTTCGCAGGCGTCTTGGGTTCTGGGGTCGCCTTCGTAGCTGCAGCCGCCTTCAGCGGCGCGCCTCTCCTTCCTGTCGCGACCGGAGGTGGTGGTGCGGTATCGGGTATGGCAGCTTCTCCAAACAACTGCCGCGCTCGGTCCTTCACACTGGGAAACATGGTATGGGAAAATCTGGGGTTGTATGACTCGGGCCGAATATACGCTTGCTGGAATACAACGTGCTAAATGCGCGAGTACGATTAAGATATACTAAAAATACAGGAAACACAGCGCGCGTCAACAGTATGCGAAATGGAAGAGGTAAACACGATGTGGAAGAGACAGACACATTACTGGGGCCTCGGATGGATACCGATTATTCTGGTGCCTAGCTGTGCAACCATGACACGCCCCTTCTCGCATCGGCCAGCATGCGAACAGGCGTTCACATCCAAGATGTGCGGAAATGAGCTAGTCGCCGCTTCTAGAACGCCTGAGAGCATATCGGAATGCGGGTGGCAAGCGGGTCCAACAGGCGCAAGTTGTTGTTTTCGTGTACTCGTCGATTGACTCCACTGGAGACAATCTCTGCAACGCGCATGATATGTAGGGACCCATTGTTTTGAGGACCTTCGCAAGCGCTGCCAGACAATTGATAACAGAGTCGTATCATCACAAAAGGACGTACATTACAATGACCGTTAGGGTTATTCGCATTACGAGCCACAGTGGCCCCTTTTCCGGAGCGCCGGGCTATGCGGGAGATTGGAAACGGGAGGCAGGATGGCGCGGCAAACATCAGCCGGATGAGCACAATGGCCACAACACAGAGCAAGCGGGTGTTTGTAGAAACTGCTCCATTGTTGTCAGACGTTCCACGATGGATATGAGATGAGTGACGATAAGGCGAGTTATCTTGGGATGCATGGTGCATGATGCACGTCAGTTCAACGTGCAGCGAAATGGGGATCGGAATGTGGTATAGCGGGCTCCACCTCCCTAGCGTACCCTATTTGCAGCCACACCTCTCATCCCCCGTACTTGTCCGTCACTTACCCAGTCGTTCGCGATCACTAAATTTGTTCCGACAACTTACGAATCAGTCTCCTGACATTTGATATTCGGAAATGCTACAGTGTCATAATAGATGAAAAGACTCTTTTGACCACTTTCATCGCTAATCAAGGCCATTTGCGGATCCCCGCAAACTCCATGAATCCCAACGGATCTGCTTTTCAGTCTTTATTACAATGTTCACTCAGAATCCCGGGGTCATAGTTGCTGACCAGTGACCTGATCAGCAAATTCAATAGACTAGCCAGTAAATTGTACGTAAGGCTTGAGAGATTAAACATACGGGCCAACAATTTCCTGTGTTTTGATCCAAACCTTGTCCTGAGCGCTGACCCTTAACTTCTTCAACTTTTCCTCATTCAGCGTCGTCTCACAAGTATGATGTACCAGAAACAGACTCCCTTCCCTACTTCCCTCTGTATTCTTCCCTGCAACAACGCCTGCACCCAATGGTATACCCTTTCCTCCAAAAGCCGCACTCGTAATTTGATAGAGGTACCTCTCGGCGGCTTCCTCCTCCCTATACGCCATGAGCCATATAACCGGATCCATGAAAGTCGCAGCCAACCATGAACCCCAGGACCCTTCCTGAAATCCACGGAAGAGGTTTCCCGTCCGCACGCCACCTGGATGACAATGCATAAAAACGATGTTTCTGTTCTCTGGCATCTGAGCGATACGTTCCAGTGCGAGCGTATTCATGTTGCTCATATGTCTTACCGAAGCCATGGCCCCAAATGCACCTGGGGCTTCGAGTAGGAGATCGTCTGCATTGAAGAAGTAGTCACCTTCCATCCCACCTGAGCGTATACTCATCACGCGCGCGCGACCTGAAGAGCGCAACAGAGGAAGGAGATTTTGCGTGAAGCAGATTCGCGAGTAGAACTCCAGTGCGTGGCTTATCTCCAAGCCTTCGGATGTATCTGGAGATATAAGTCTTCGACACATCATTGCTAGGGGTAAAATACGTGGGAGCAACGTACTGCGCCTTCCGCTGAAATTCACATACCCCGCGGTCATGAAGAGGAGGTCAATACTGCTCTCGAATTTCTTGATGTAATCGCAAATCCGCTGTACTTCGGACAGCAACGAGATCTGCCCTTCAACCCATATGATGCTCGCATTCGTATTCGCCAGATGTAGTTCCTCGATGAATGGTTTGAATGCTGCCTCACTCTCTTGCCTCCCAATGACATAAGCTTTAAAGTGTGTTCCGAGCCTAGTCATCGCATTGAGCGTAAGTTTTCCTATGCCCGATGTTCCGCCAACGAACACTGCAACACGAGGTGCCGACTTCTCATCAATCTGGGCGTTATTCTCTTTGATCTGGGAAATGTGAACCATGTTGATGTTTGGATTATGTAGATTTGAAGTCGTGTCCTGAGGATATACGGTCTTTGTATACTATGTAAGCACTGTGGGTGTCTGCATACATAGGTGCGGAGGCCTGAATACGCCTTATGGACGAAACCCGGACCATATTTCAAAACAGGCGCGTCGTTATTTCTGTACACATTTTAGGCAACGGGCTGTCACACAATATGCATATGGCGCAACCGAGGTTTATATGTCGTTACTGTTTGCAATTTCCCGTTAGTTGCTCGATAGCTTTCCCTTTCAGATAAGCATAATATGTCCCGTTACATTGTACCTTGATCTTTGGCGACGCTATCGTGTCCAATAGATGCGCGGTATGTAAGCCTACAGTCTAATTGTGTAAAATGATAATCGCTGTCATGTACCTGTACCTAAACGCCTGCGTAGACTCTTGTCTATAAATGCTTATGCTTGCGCACTGACCGGCTTGATGCCCACTTCAGCCATCTTTGTGGCCTCCACTTCTTCTACCGGACTGTCTGCCCTCTCCACAATATCCGTGAGACCAAGGTACTTCAAGTTCGCCGACCAGCCTAGGTCCTCACCAAAGTATCCCTTCATGACCTCAACACCGTATTTAATGCCATTCTTTGGGTCGTAGGTTAGACATTGCTTGCCAACCGCTAGACCAATGACGGCGTCCCATGCAGGTAGCTCTGTCTTGATATACTGTTCGGATGAGGGAGCAAGTTCGGAGTTGAGTATGTCGGAGTAAATATTCTGTGCGGCGGCTTGGCCCATGACTGTCGCGCTGCCTGCGCGCTTGATGCCTGACCATGCGATTACATCGCCAACGCCGAAGTGGGATGATGAGTTCGCGATAGTATCCGTGAACATTAGGGATTGGTGTACCATAATCTCTTTGTCCTTGTTCAGGCACTCCGTAGGTAGGACATCGGTGGTTGGTGTGCCCTTCTTCGTTGAGTCAATGACGAAGTCTGCTGTTATTGTCTCGCTGTTCGCGAGTGTGACGGTGAACTGGCCATTTGGTAGCTCTGTGATGGTTGCCCGGTTACCCAAAGCCAGCTTGACACCCTCTTCTTCGAGCAAGATCTTCGCGCGTTCTTTGACATCTGATGGTAGTGGCTCTGAAGAGAGAACTTCGCTTCGTGAGTGCACTAGTGTGACATCAATCTGTGGGTAGTATTGCTTGATCTCAGCGGCAAATTCGACACCGACAGCACCAGCGCCAATCACTACAACTCTCCTGCCTTCACATTTCGATGGGTCACCACCGGTGATCTTCGCGATGAAGGCTTTGCTGTCTGTTTGGTACTCTTCAAAGCTTCCAGACTTTGGCACCGCAGGGAAATGTCTCTTCAGGCCGGTGGCCATGACAAGGTAGTCATATGCCTGCTGTTGGGTCTTGCCATTTCGGTCGCACCATTCGGCGACCTTGGCTTCAGGATTGATGTTCTTGACACTGCCGTGCTTGAAGTGCAGATTCGGGTGCTTTAGCTCGTTGAGGTGGCTAAACCTCTTCCACATATGGGTTGTGTACTTTGGTGTAACATGGGCGAGCGGTGCGCCAACCGAGTGGACTGTAAGACACAAGCATTAGTAGAAGCTCTCATAGCACGAGGTGACGAGGTGGAGACAGGGAAGATGTTAAGCCTCGGCTAGTGGGGCAGAGTGACGCACAATAACCATCGCGCTCATCGATGACAGTAATTTCAACCCCTCTTCTACTTCGCACACCCTGGAAATCTGGACCTGGGTATACGCTCTGTCGGGCCTTTCCTTGGGAATAGTCGAGGAGGTTGATGGCAGCAGAGATACCACCGTATGCGCAGCCGACAATGAGTACGCGATGGGGGTTTGATAGGCTAAGGTTGCCCAGTGTGTCTGTAACGCCTTGAAGCCTCATTGTGAAGATTTGATCTGATAAAGGAGGGGTCGTGGGGGTGTAAGAGAGATGGGTGTGTGGGATAAGAAGAAGATGATCTGATTAGATTGCGGAATCATGTGGCAGAACGCCCACTTCTATATGGCGCCAGCGCACCACACAGACATCACACCGACATCGGAAATCGACTAACAATCAACTCGCCGGTTGCTAAGCTATGCACGAATTCACGAGCGATCCACTGTCGTCGCGGACGCGGTGTCTCTGGATGCGATTGGCGGGAAGCTGTGCATCTTATCAGATCCGAGCATCATCCGGTGCAAATTTTTATCTGATGCCCCACCACGCCTGCACTTCCCATCCTTCGCGTCCTGCCAAGGTGACCATTTAGGACACAATCGCTCAACGGTATTCCGAAACAGCCTAATATTGGTTACCTATGCACTGGAACCCCAAACTGACCTCGTTGACTTTACTCCGACGTCAGGCCTCCTGCCAGTGAGCACACATCCATGGATAAACACTCACCAAAGCTCTCACGTGATACCTGAGTACAATCACGATGGTCTCTAACGATCATAGAAAAGTATGCTCATACAGCGGCTGTAGAGCTTTCGGGCATACTACAACTCTTCATCATTACTTTCGCACGTAACAGCATCAGTGTGAAGTAGCTAAAAGTGAGAAAGTCTATATTCAATCTTCGTCTTCATCGTCAGATCTATTAGTGTCGAATCCAAGTAATTCGTCAATTTCTCCTCCCTCCTCTTCCCCTATGCGCTCGCTAAACCCGCGCATCTGTCATTCCCCCTTGTATCCATCCACAAGGACGACTGGGCCCTTGTATTGCTTACGTCCTCTAACGAGATAATCGATCAAACTTACAAAGGCTACGCCAACAAACATGACGGAAGCCCAGTTGAAGAACTCCAGGGTTGTAGGTGTGGAATCAGGCCAGAAGCACCAGAAGAAAGCGTGTGTGGAGTACAGGACACCACCGATGTTGACGGGGACGCCCCACTTTCCAAGGGACCAGCGGCAGTTGGGAAGGAGTTCGGGATGGCGGATACGTCGGTAGAGGACAGCGCCGATAGAGAACATGTAGGTTATCATAAGAGCGACGACATTAAGAGAGATAACTGGAGTGTGTTAGTTATCGTGGAATAACGCGTAGGATCATGGGAAAACATACTAGCGTTGAAAGCGGTATCCGAGCCGATGTTGATGAGCGAAAGCAAAACCGTGATGGCACAGGTAACGGTTACAGCGTTGGCGGGAACCTCCAACTTGGGGTTTACCTTGCTGATCCAGTCGCTGAATGGCAGTCCCCTATCTCTGGCAAATGCCCAGGTCTGACGCGATGTCGACAAGTTAAAGGTCACAGTACCAGCGAAGATCAGGACTGTAGGAATAGCGTTAAGGGCTACCACACCACCAGATGATACGGCTTGCGCAAAGACCCACATATGGGGATAGTCGCCCTCAAGCGCAGCTTCGACGTCTGTAACCATGAACATGTAGCTGATGAGGAAGATTATGCCAAGAGAGCCATTCATGAGGTAAGCGCCGATCATTGCGCGCGGAACAGTCTTGCCAGCATCTTTGATCTCCTCGGCCATATGGGCTGCGGAGTCAGAGCCTGCGATCGCTCATTAATACAATCTCAGTGAGAGTTCTTGGCGGAGAGATACACTTACAGATGCAAGCATAGATGGCAGACACTTGGCCTACCATGAGCGCCAAACCATTCGAGTTCCAGCCTCCTCCGTTGTAAAACTGGGTGAAGGTTGCTTCAGCAGTAGCCCGTGGTGACAAAACCCAGAAGACGATGATGATGGCCAGGAAACCAAAAACGTGAACGATCAACATGATGTTCTGGAAGATAGGCATGCCCTTTGCGCCCCAGATATTAAGGACCCATACCAAGAAGGTTACGGCGATAACCATGAGTGTACCCTGCCACTTGGTAGCCACATACTCTGGGTACATTACGGTGGCAGAAGACTGGATCAAGGTACCGACAAGGAAAGGTCCAGATGCAGTACCGGCCTGCCATGATAACGTTGACATCCAGCCGATGAAGTAGCTGAATGGCTTCTGGACACTGGGAGGCGAGAATTCGGAAACCCAGTGGTATTGTCCACCGGCGGTCGGTGCCATCGACGCCATCTCTGCGAGTGACAGCATGACGGTGCTGAAACCGAACCAGGTCCAGACGAAACTCCAAATAAGACCTGCTGGACCTCCATCTTGGAGACCTTGGTAGGTTGCACTATGGCGTTATTAGTTCTCGTTGCCTGTGAGTCGCCTCAAGGTTGCTTACGTCAAAAGAACTTCCCATGTTCCTTGTAGAATAACGGTGAAGGCCAATGCTGACAACGGTCGATAATTTCTTTTCAGCTCTTGCACCTTGCCCATACGCTCCATGTCAGCATGATCGGCTCTGGTGTAACCCCTGAGAGAATCATGGTACTCTTCGCTCTCGTCTCCGTCGATAGATCTCGTCGCACGCGCTCGCGACTCCAAAGTAGCCTGCTTGTCCATACTCCCAAGCGGCTGGCTCTCGTAAGCGGCCATACCCAAAGCACAACAAAAAGGAAGCGAATATGCAGGAACGCAGCGCCACGGATAAACTTAAAAAGGACCCAAGTAACAGGTAAAGATGGAACAAGCGAAACGCTGCGGTAGAAGTAAAGAAAGGGATTTCCCACGCGGACACGAATGCATGCACATGCTGGGAGATGGACTGGCCCAGCTGGTGCCAAATGCCCTGTCTGCCGCTTCCACGGGTGGGACCACTAATCACAGACTCCATCGTACTCCCGGCATATTCTTCTCAAGCGGATCAGGGTTCAATGGGTGCAGGTGTGCTCGGGTGCACATGTCAGCCAACGAGATCGTCGCGGTGCTGATGGTGTCCACTCCGGCTGCGTCGTATGGTTGGCGTGGAGTCTGCCCAGGCCCCACTACCCTGCCGCTAGCGCGACACTATGCGGCCCGCTTCCTCTTATGGGGGTTTGGTGCGGCTGGACCCTAGTCTAGAGAGGCAGGAGTCGTGGATTGATTGCATGCAGCCACATCTGCCGCGGCTCGTGTAAAGAGCAAAAGGCGCCGAGATGACAAGCCGTGAGAGGCGGAAGTCACGTAAGAGCTTCGGAAGAATTCGTTCTGGACCTTCTGCCGCCTCGCGTGGTGATGAAACAGGATCGACTCCAGATTGGCGAGTTGCCGATCATCGAATGATTTGTTGCTTCTGTAACCGTTTTCATGCTAAGACGGACATTACTATTCAAATCCGTCTGTGGCAGCCGAGCGGAAAATCCGTGGGAGCGGTAAAGTTTGAGAATTTTTACTTGTTCAACCGTTCAGTAAACCGTGAACGCAAAGCTAGGTATCCGCAAGCTATCCGCAAGCTATTCCACCCCTTATCAGCGTATTGTAGGTTGCGGCTGACATTCCGCAAAACGCCGCGCCTTCGTATGCGACACGGTGGCGCTGACGCCAGCAAAGTCCAATCGACTTTTATGCGTTAGAGGTCTTGGTTATGCCTCGCTTAGGATCATGAGCCTTCTTCAACAGATCCGTCCCGAGGTCGTGAACCGTGTACATGGGTTACAATCGGTCCTCCTATTAGCGATGAGAATGAGGAAGCACGCAAGGAGGGTAATGGGCAGGAAGATCCGCGCCCGCTCTTATTGGTGTTAGGCATTCAACCACAGGAGAAATAGGTCATGTCAGACGCGGCTTCAGCTGTATAGAGCCCGAAGGGTCCTCCGACTGTGCGTCAGACGTTGCTCACATCTTATGGCCTCCTTTCTGTTGTACTTTTGCCCATTATTCTTCTCCCTTGTACTCCATGGCAGGAGAGGTGATCCCTCCGCCGTACGTTATAACAGCGGATGACAAGCGCGGCCTGATCGTTGTGACCGGTGCAGCTGTCTTGGCCTTTGTCTGGTCTTGTTTTCTGATCCGAGTATGGTTGCGCTGGCAATCAAGAGAATGGCGATCCGATGGTAAGTCTTCCTTACATTGCACTGCCTGCACAAGTCGGAACGATATGCTTATCTTGTGTGCGCAGACTGGTGGCTCACAGCGGCAACCCTGCTGGACACCGTTCAATCAGGCATCATCTTCCACCTGGTAGAGCTTGGATTAGGTGCCTCACAGGCCGGTGTACCAATATCGCAACTCCAGCAGCTTGGGAATGTAAGTGACGTTGAGTTTAAGTGATTCAGTGATCTCCCTAGATCCGCGCCTAGGTGTCGGCTCCTTGCATCCTTCTGGCGTTTACGCAGGGCAGCCGCCCGAGCAAAAAGCCGAACAGCTAGGAACACCATGGCTGACACTCGCAACAGGAAGGTTTCGCGTCGCAAATAATTTATATTTTTGTGATACTCGCCTCGAAGTTATCGGTGCTGTTCCTGTACCTACGACTATCGCCTGGTGGAGCGCATCGCATCGCATCATGGTCACTCGTAGCCTTGTCCTGTGTATGGGCACTGGTGTCGGTCATATTGGTTGCCATACCATGTAACCCTGCGCAAACCTACACAGATGCTGATAACTGTACAAACAGGGTAAGCGATACAAAGTCCCGAGAGCTATCATTCGTCTTTGCTGACGACCAAACAGTGGCCAAAATGGCTGAGTATAGGCACCTTCGACATCATAACCGAATTCTTCATCTTCCTCGCAGCAGTCCACTTAATCTACTCGCTCCAAATGCGTCTTCGCACCAAGCTGCTCGTAATACTGGCCTTCGGCGCACGACTACCTGTCATCGCAATTGCAGGAGTACGCCTATATTACCTTGACCAACGCCTGCGCGGGGTCACTTTCACCTTTGACTACGTCGTAGCCACGCAATGGCAAATGGGCTACGCAATCATGTCATCCACAATTACAGGCATGGGTCCCTTTCTCAAGCCTTTCGACAAGGAGTATGTGTCTAGTACGTATAAGCACTATGGACCGGGACATAGCTCGAGTGGTGGGACGTCGGGGATGAGAATGGAAAGTGGACTTAGCACGACTACGAGTACCGGTTTACCACCAAGGAGACAAGGAATTGGGCATCATCATCACAGGGGATCAACGGATAACATCTCTGAATCCTATTTGATGGACACGCTGCCCAGTCGGCGAACGAGTAAACAGTCCATGGGAAACGAAGATCGCGCCAACTCCCTGGAACCGATGCAGTCGAGTAGTCCGTCGTCTCGAGCATCTCCATCTGCACCAAATGATATCTTGATGACGGCAGATGAGCACTTTCGTCCTGCGCACATGTATCGTGGACATGAAGCGGAAGTCTGGGTCGGAGATAGGAGCCTGAGCATTACGAGGGAGGAGATGGAAAGAGCTGCCGCTTCCGGGAGAAGCGCACCAAAGTCTGGAAATAAGCTGGTGATCGGGGAAAAGAAGGAATTCAAGATCGAGGTTGATCGTGTTAGTCGTGTGATCTGAGTCTCGCTATCTTTTGGGCGGACTTTTTTTGCGTTAAACTGAGTTAGAATACCCCTCCGTACTCTGCGTTGTTTTAGTCGAGATCCAGCAACGGACGGAGCATACTTTAGATAGACGAACTCATGAAGATAGATATCTACAAATCAAGAGCCCGTCAAAAATACATTTGTGGTCAACGAGAAGAGTCATGTTACTGGAATCTGCTTCTGCTGTGACGAAGGAAGGGGTAAAGACAGGAATATCATATCTGTTTGCTGTCCTCCTGTTATGTGCTAGAGCCTCAGTCATTTTCGGGTTCCATCATTGCACGGTAATACGGCAAAGGTTGTTACAAATACGGGTTGTCAAAACTCCTCATTCCGATGCGAACCTATAATACAGCAAGCAAAACTAGCAGTCCCTGACCATACGAGCTTCCCACTGTCCCGCCCGGGTCAACAGTCAAGGTGAATATCCTGGTAAATAGCTTTTCCGGTTCGTTCCATGCTCTCTATACTTGTGCCCATGGCCGGGAACAATTGCTAAGGAAAAGAACACGGGTAATCGCAAATCGAGGTGTAGAGAAATGTTGTGGTCGCCGCAACAGAGGGCCAACCTCAACGTGGGGGAATCGGTCAAATATTGTGAAAAGGTTCATCTAGCGATGCGTCTATGCGGAGAATCGGCGCATGACCTTGGCGATGACTAGTGAGAGTTAGTATGATACTGGTCAGCGAGGATTGAATGTACATACCGTGCAGAGCGACGACGCTGAAGATGAAGACAACGGACAGGGTCATGACCACAACAGGGTCGACCTTCAGACCGGGAGACTCATCAGTGTATAGCCCTATAAGCAAACGTTAGTCAAATTCCTCCATTGTAATCTCTGCTAATCGTATTTCGTTATATCTTCTACTGTCATCCTCAAAACGGCTCGCTCTTTGCAGCTTCCATCTCCTCTCGTGATCAGTCCGCCTCGGGGCACACTTACTCAGCATGGTGCTTGAGCTACCACCGGCACCAGCCGCCCTTGTGCTGCTTGGACGCAGGTTTGCGGTCTTCTCGGCGCGGTCAGCAGCAGCCTTCCTTCGCATAACAGTCGCAGGGCCACCCGGGGGCTTTGGCGACGCAGGACGCGCGGTTGTCGAGCCTGAGGAGGCCGTGTTGGAGGGGGAGGTAGCGCGTGGGGCAGACTGTTGGCCATGTTAGCGATGATGTTATGTGTTCATGTTCAGCCAGCCTATGTAGCCTATGGACGGAACTTGTTAGACGCATCGACGAAACCCTGCGAGACGAGCGAATGATACACAACTCGAGGAGTAGCAGGGCGTCAATTTATGTCAACAATTATGCCGGCGAGTGCTCGTACTGCTGCTCTCCTGTCGCATGCTTCGTGTCGCGAGCCAGGTGTCTTCATGCGTCCAATGGCTTCCTTCATTATCAAAAAGGGCGGTACTAACCATGGTAAGAGTTGTTGACGGTGACCGGTGGAGAATAGACGGAGTGGGTTGTGATGGGAGATGTCGTGGAAGCAGCTGGTGATAGTCGCTCGGCGAACCTCAAAGGCCACGATTCTGGAGCTGGGGTTGCCGCGCCGCGCTAACCCTGACCCTCGACAACTTCGCTTACAAGGCCGCTAGCAAGGGTCACGTGTTAGTTCACTCACCACGGTTGCAATTTCCCCGAATAGGCAGGAAGATAATCACTATGCTAAATGGTGAAAGCCCACCTGGGAGTGTTGCGTGCGCATATTCACTACAAGGCGTTCTGATCCCAAACCACTTTTCCCATTAGACCGTTAGATGTACCAGGCCAAATAGCGTCCCAGAATCATCCGTGTAGGACCAAGCCTATCCTCTGATGATGCAGATGCCCTCAGCCGGACCCGAAAAGCTAGCAACCGGTAATAGCAAGTCATCCCTAAGCAAACTCCCGCAAGCCCCGTAAACCCATATTGACCCTAAACCTGCCTAGCAAAACCCCGTGTAACCGCCCGTGAAAAGGTATATTATCTTCAGCAGACCCAGAGATGTGGAATGTAGACGGGTGTGCCCAACAGCACCGCCAAACCCACAGAAAATATTCGCCAACCACCAATTGACCGGGTCCACCCATGGTTGTGTGTGTAAGTGTGTGTGAAAGACCGACACAGAATGCCCGAGACACCTGAAATGCAGTAACTCCGGATGTGCATCATATCTCCCAAATCAAAACTCCGTTTTCTAACCCCAAACAGACGCCTGCACTCCCTGTGTGGGCGTGTTGCTCCAGGGTCCGTTGTTCCAAATACCAACGCCCTTGTCAGTGACAGTAGACGAAGGGTTCATAGACGCAGATGTCGTAGACATGTTGTTCTGCTCGCTCGCGTTGTACGAGTTGTAGCCGAGAGGCGACGGCAGAGGTGAGTTTGTGCGCTTGCCCATGGCGCCACCTGGTTGCTGCAGGTTCTGGTTCTGGGGACGAGTGCCAATGGGGGCAACGCCAGAGCCGTTGGACTTCTGACCAGGCACAGGAGGAGAGCCTCCAGGCGACGAGTTGGAGGTACGGTTCGCCTGCTGAGCATCGAAAAGGTTGAATGCTGGGTTCTGGCTACCAGAAGGTGACGAGGTGCTGTTGGCACGCGCATCTTGAGCATTACCAGCAACGTCCTTGTCGCGAGGAGGCATCTGGACGGAACCCTCACCGGAAACGTTCTGGGCCTGCATGCCGAAGGGATCAAAGGCGAGGGGAGACGGACCCCGACCAGCTTGCGACGTCTGAACGCGAACATCCTGGCTCGAGGTCGGGTTGCTGTTGTACAGGGTGGAGGTCTCGCCATACAAAGCACGGTGCTGGCGGGCGATGAGTTCGCGGCGCTCCTCTTCATTCATGGCATTGGGGCTCATGGAGCGGTCGGACTTGGAGGCTGAGCCTGAAACGTCTGTATTACCCTAGTCAACCAACTGTCCTGCTTCTATTGTTGCCCAGATTCCGAGTCCTTACTTCTGTGGTATTGCTGCTCCTGGTGATAGTTGCGCAGCTCACGCTCACGCTGAGCCGCCATCCGTCGCTTCGCCTGTGCCATCTGGTCTGCGTCGTTGGGTCGCGGCGCATAGCGCTGGTTCTGGTAGAAGCCCTGGACGTTGGACGCCGAGTGGGAGCGGGAGCCGTCGTACTCGCTGACCGAGTGGTGGCGCTGGGGGCCGCCCATGCGCTGTTGCTCTGTATCACATGTCAGTCATGCGGGGACGATTATGAGCAAGACTGCATACCGAAGTCGGGGTATGGGCGGGGGCCACCTCCCATCATGGGCATGGACTCGCGGCGGTTGGCACCCATGGGTGTAGGAGGGAAGCCGGGACCGAAGGGCTTGCCGCTCTTGGCAAGGTTCTCGATGGCGCGGTCGACCTCTGTGGTGTTGTTGTTAGCACTCGGCTACGGGGCTCGTCTATGGCTACCATGGGGCCTGTCACTGCCACGTATTGTCGCATTGGCACTGGCAGCCCCCACTATAAGAAGCAACGTACCCTCAAACTGCGAGGCAAAGGCATTGGCGACCTCGCTGTTGACCGTGGAGCTTGTGCCTATATCCATGTGAATCGCTGCACCTGCACCGTTGAATCCCATTTGGCCGGTACCTGATCGCGAGGGTGGTTGGGGTTGCTCCCACGATGACTGCCGGCCGGGAGCAGGCGTGTTCCACGACGCGTCGTTGTAGTAGGACATGTTGGGTAGGAAGAAGTCGGGTAGGTTGTTCGGAGTCGGGGTAGTCGCGCAACGCCAAAGGGTTGGTGGGTGGGTGATACTAGAAACTGAATCTGGGAGCAATTGATTAGTACGACTAGTCCTTGTCAACAAGTGCAAGCATCAATCGGCACAAGAGGTTCGAGCGATTGTCGGCGGTCGGACGCAGGCAAGTGTTGGCGATATGGGGGCGGGAAATGAGGTCGAGGCGGGCAGCGGAAAATTTTGGTGGAGAGCGGAGATGTTTTGGAGAACAGGGTCGTGCCGCGTACCGAGAAAGGCAAACGGTGTACTCACCTTTCACCGCGAAAAAGGAGCGACAGCTGTTCACTTAGCAGGCAGCAAGTGAAGTCACCGAGAAAAGCACACAACTGAGCGGGTAGGGGTCAGGGAGGCACTTCGGGAGATATCGCGGGAATGCTGAGGATTATGTCGAAAGGGGATGCTGGATTCGTTGCGCTAAGCAGGCCGAGCAACGACCTATCCACTTAATTCATCTCCGCTTCTCAGACACGGGCCTCACCAGCTGCATCCAATTAGTCTGATATCCCATTCGATCCCGTCCGCAACCAACCGCTTACTCTTCGTATCGCGACAGACGCGCCGCAGCCTTGCCTTGGGGGACCTTCCACTGTCTCCCGAGACCTGGCTCTGCGACTCTACCAGCAGTCGGCCAAGTGGAAGAGCAGGCAGATGACGTCCGAGAGGGGCAGCTGCATATCCAAGTCGAGTACTGCGGGATATGCAGTGGGAGAGCAGTGGGCGCGTTTAGCGAACAACGGTTCGGGCTCTCACCACCATGGTCTGTCGTCGGCTATTCATGAGAAAGCCCCGCGCGCCTCCTTTACACGTGGTTTTCCCAGACCCTCCCTGCTTGACTCTGTTTTGACCCTGACATTTTCCCGACTCAGGGTCTGCATCATGTCTGTCGTGCTGTTAGACACTGCGTCGTCGCCATCACCTGCGAACTCAACGTTCGCAGTGCCCCGCCAACGCGCCCGGGACGGTAGCGATGCCAAACCGACGCATGCCACACCGCATTGCCAGCATGATCACTTACACTACACCATGACAAGATATGTGGGAGTGCTTGGGCTCTAATGCGGGGCATCCAACGACCATTGCGGCCTGGCTTCCAATAAGCTCCCACCAAAGCCAGGCATTTGTGAAATTATCGACATGTGGCTTGCTTCTCCGTCGTAGCACATGCACATGAACCGAGAGAGATAATACCATCAGTGTGGTTATCGCCTGCGTCTATTGTGTATCTTGCGCAGAGGGTACCGACATGGCCAGCTTCGGTGCCGGCTTTGTTTCCAGATGAGGTTTAACGATATTGAGATAGTAACGCCCTGCACGCCGAGCTTCGCATGCTGATACGCGACGTCAGTCTTGCAAGATGTGGGGGTTCGGAGTACGTTGCCGGTCGCTAGACAAGACAGTCATTATACAACGACGGCATCATCTTTTTTAGAGACACCTCACGGCGTAAGCAATATCACCATGGCTCGTGCGGAGAGCAAACGAACCCAGACAGGGGCACGACCCATTCGGCTAAACATGCGCTCCCGCCTCTACCCCAGCTTTTTGTAGTTCGCCAACTTGGCTTACGTCCCGCCGTTGCGCCATCGCCTTCAAAAGTAAGCCTGGCATATGTCATCCGTGCTGTGGTCAGGGTGTTCTCACTTCTCCGTCTGTCCAGTCGTTCCTTTGCTTTCCATTTTCGTCTCCATGACATTGTCATCACACCGTTCGCGTCGAATGCTCTTTCCTCTTTTGCTTGCATAGCATCACGCGCCACAAATCGCGGGTGTTGGTATCACTTACGACATCAGCCACACTGTCGACATGACCACCTATTCTATATTCCAACAGATACGCCCGACAAGCCCATCACGCATGACGAGGCGCAAGGGGCCTCTCACGCATAGAGTATGAGACACGCTCCTTCGAAAGGAGGCGGGATTATGGATGCCTATTAGCACCGATTCCGCAGGCCTGATGAACGAACGCTGTTTTCTTTCACAGTAGGACGTGAATTCCCACAACGCTGACAAGACCGATTGAATGTCATCAATATGGCTACGCGAATGGATCTCGCCATGTGCGCGAGTGCGTTACATCAACCTCTTCCTACGCTTCTTTTCTACCAGCAAAACGCAGATGCGAAAACCTACAGTGCATCAACAGACACCTGTGACGAAGTCTCAAGCTGCCGTGGCTCCAAATACCGCATGTCTTGCGAGCCTGCCGACTGAACTTATCCTCGAGATCACCGATCGCCTTGCGCTCGACGCCATACTGGCCCTCAAATTGACTCAACGACGATTCAACGATATCCTGACTCTCGATCAGAGACATTGGCAGGCTCCTCGGTCAAGGTGTGCCCAGCGCGCTATCCAGGTTTATTTGACCCCATCGTCATCTAAACCCAGTCATCGACATTGCATCGTGTGTAACGCTGAGTATCCCATCAGCCAGTTCAAGTCATCAAACAGTCCGGCTTGCGCGCTTGTGGAGCATACCAACGTCCCCCACGACATCATCAAATTACCACCACGAGTCTGCTTCTGGCATGTTGGAAGGTTTATAAGAACTATCAGTCACAGGGCCGGGAACAAAAATGGATGGGTTGGCCACGCAGACAAGATGTGCATGCACTGTGGAGATATCCAGGGGTGGGACAAGTGCGAATGCAGGTGTGACAGCTGTTTTTTCTGGGAAGTAACAGTCTACGATCGACATATCAACGATGGTCAAAAATGTCGAAACTCGGTCTTCTGGAGAGACGCTTCCAGCTCACGCGTTAGAGGGGAGAATCAACTTTGGGTTCGGGAAGAACTTTGGGACGCGAACGGGAAACAATTTGTTGACTTGCCTGTTCGATTCGAGTCAGCCTAACCGATGGATGGGTGCGTTTGGCATTGAGCTCCAGTCAGCTTTTCTTCGTTCTTGTATGCTTCACTTCTAACAAGAGCTCGTTTCCCTGGTTTTGTTTGTAATCTTTAATTCGTTATATCATTTAAATTCCAGTCTTTTCGTCATAGATCATGCCACCCTCCTTTTGTACAAGGCCAGCTTTCTCCACATCCATCTCTTTAGTCTCCCATTGGCATCCCAACTCTTGTCCCCATCTCCGCACGCTGACCAAAGCCCACCATTGGGCGATCATCAAAACCAACCCCACACAGGCGCCCCCAAACTTGACAACAGCAAATGTTGTCGAGCACTTTTCCAACCACTCATCGTCCCATCCAAAACCAGCATCAATGTCGCGGCATATCGACGATCCGTCGACGGCGTAGCTCGGAATTACCGGATTTAGCAACCGGAAGTCGAAGGGAAGAACCAGGTTTACGAGAGCGATGGTTACAAAGGACAACGTGGTCGCGTGGATGATTGTGTAAGCTGACACGAGGCTTGGTAATAACTGCAACATCGGGTGTTAGCGGATACATGTGACGAATAGACTTGAGACTGCGACTCCGAGCGAAGCCGGCTGGACACAGCCAAGTAGACAGCTAGCAGACAGTCGCACAGGTCGCGGGGAAGAGCTTGGCTTACCCTTACGGCGCCTAGGAGGCCCAGTATGCTTGCGCCGCCGGCAAGTACGTTGTATGAGATGGAGAACGATGCGCGGTCGAGGTCGGAGCCGGGTAGTAAGAAGGACAGCGCGAGTAATGTATGCGTGCAGAGAGTGAGGGAAGGAAGTACGATGGCTAAGAATCTGGAGACCATGTCAGTACCCGTCGCGTGTCGCAAACCTTGGGCAAGCGCGACATACCTCATCTGGTTCTGCTCTGTCGACAACGCCATGTCTTCCCACCGGATTCAGTAATCAAGATTCAAGGTAAACGTAAATGCGCTTGCTGGAGACTCAAAGTAACAATGCAAAGCGGAAACGGCCGTGTAAAAAGCAGATCAAATCAAGTAAGTCAGGTCAGGTTCCGGGGGTATCAATATGCAGTCGGGACCAAGACAGAGGGTAGGAGACAGAGGAGAAGCAGCAGGCCGGCACGCTTATTCTTGTATGTATAGAGCCGTAGCAGCTAACTAGCAGAGTAGAGAGGAAGGTTTTGTGAGCAGAAAGCTGCGACGCGTGAGTAGTAAGGTGATGAGTGAGGTCAGTTGCCTGGATTCGCCGAAGACGGATTGTTAATCGCGTTGGTTGTTCAGAGTTTAGCAGTGTTTTTTAGTACTAGCTCCGGGATCCGCGGATGCACCAAGAGATCGTGTTGTGATGTCACGTCTGTGATCGATTTGATCATCGAAAGACACAGACCACGCAGTGCACACTGTTTTTACTTGAAACGGAGGGTCGGGCTTCGGGCCTCGACGTGACTTTGATGCGGTTTCCTCAAGTCATCATGGAGACGTGTTGCAATTATTCGTGTGCGTGTGTGCGTGCCTGTTATCATGGGATCTAGCACTAATTGTACATGCAGCACACATGCAGTCTAGCCCTTGCTATGCCAATGCGGATCATGCGGCATGCGGCTGTTCCAGTGGAGCATCTTCCGGAGCTTAGCGGAAACAAGAGAGAAGCAGAAACGGCAAGACCTAGATCACAAGCGCGTCATTCCATGGCCTTTGTACAAACGTTATCTCGGTCTCTTGGACATGTCAAGCCGCACTTGTACGGCTATCGGCAGTGCAGTCGTAGTGCACTTGATGGGCTTTTGCCCATGGCATTGTTGAAATGTGCATCTGCAGCTGACGGTAGATAGCCGGATGTGCGCACTTCCTTATTCCGTGGCGAATCACGTCGCGCTGCGAACGAGCACCCTGGTCGTCGATACAGAAGATTCCAGCTTGCGGACCATGGGTTGTTTCACGCATATGAACTGTACAAGAGATCAGGATAAATGCACAAAGCGGGTAGAGCATCTGGATTTTCCCCGTCACCGTCGAGTGGATACGTTAGTCGCATATGCCCTAAGCTTAGTTGACAGCTATGACAATAATTTGACGTGCTAAATGCGAATGTCACTGCCCGCCTACGGGTAAGAGTTCCTTGAATCGACGCAGACGAAAGCATGTAATGGCGCGCTTACTTGATGCGCGAAAGACAAATCGGTGAGGGCAGCTGGCTCATCGCACCGACATCGTTGGCTAAAGGCCCGACATGGTGTTCAACAACCGCCAAAACGAATACATACACCACACAATGGCAAGCGATAAGAACTGAACTTTCTTGTTTTTAATTACTTAGCTATCAGCGTAAGACGCCGTGCCTTTATCTATTCATGTCGTCGTTTTCAATCGTTCCTCGTCTCTCGCAGACACCGTTTATGCGAAGACGTAGCAAGGAATACCGTACTGCACGTCGATATTAGCGCTCATCCTTCTCCATACGGACACAGGTTTTTTACTTACGTTGGTAGGAGCGTTGAACTTCAAGTTCTTGTCCAAGCCCGAAATCTCCTCAATCTCGCTGTCCTTGAGATCGAAGCTCGTCACATCCAAGTTCTGCTGCAGACGGTTCGCCGAGTTGGACTTGGGGATAACGCTAAGACCACGCTGTGTCGACCAGCGGAGCAGGACCTGTGCGGGGGTCTTGCCGTGTGCCTCGGAGATCTTCTTGATGACCGGGTGGTCGAACAGGAGGGGTGTGTCAGCCGCAATCTTCATGTCGCACTCAATGAAGCTCTGAGGCCCGAAGGATGAGTATGCGGTGACCTTGATGTCGTGCTGCTTAGCCAGCTCAATCAGGTAGGGCTGAACGTAGTAGGGGTGGTGTTCGATCTGGAGAGTGGCGGGCTTGATCTTTGCGTAGGTGAACATGTCCAAAAGCAGCGCTCCTGAGTAGTTGCTCACACCGATGCTCTTAGCCAGGCCCTTGTTCTTGAGCTCCTCAAATGCCTCCCATGTGCTTTGTAGGCTGGCATTGCTGTGTTCGATCTTGCTCTTACCGTCGACGAACCAGCCAGGTGGGTAGCGCTCCTTGGGGTCGACATACTTGAGGGCGACGGGGAAGTGGATAACGTAGAGGTCGAAGTAGTCAATACCCCAGTCGGCCAATTGCTTGCGGCAGATGGGCTCGACTTGCTCACGCTCGTGGAAAGTTTGCCAGAGCTTGCTGACGATGAAGAGATCTTCGCGCTTTACGAGGCCTTCCTTGATAGCGCGAGCTACACCTTGACCGCACTCAACTTCGTTGCCGTAGTCTGTGGAATTTGGTGTCAGCCATGATCACGCGCGCTTTCATTCCGAAGAATGACGCTAGCATTCCGAGGCAAGGCAAGGAGGCAGAAACGACGGGTAAATCGGGGTCATGAGCCCGTCCTGTATCACAAACATCCATTTCGGTAGATCTTTGTACTACACGGTTTACGGGCCGATGGAGCGTCTCGTAGTAATAGAGACCGACCTCCCCACATCCGCTAATGATGGGTTTGGGAATGGAGACTCGAGATTTACTTACCACAAGCACCGTCGAACAATCTGTATCCAGCCTTGATGGCATTGTAGACAGTATCCGCACATGTAGCATTGTCGACCTTCCACAGTCCAAAGCCAACCTGAGGCATCTTGTTGCCATCGTTCAGCGTAACGTAGGGAGTGTTGATAGCCATGGTAGCGTAGAAGTTGCGATTGGCAAAAGTATTCCGTTGTAATAATGTTGGCGTTCGTCGTTCAATGCAAGGTCTTGAAGAATGTAGAAAAGATGATGCAAGAGGTCTGGAAGTCGGAACAGCAGAAGAACAGGCGGCACGCAGGGTATTAATACTGCTAGCACGGCAATGGAAGCGCCCAGTAATCATGTCCCCAGAATGTATACGTGTATTTTGCAGACGGAATAAGATAATTTGGCGCCAGGTACAACAGCCTACCGTCTATATACGCCGTGTTAGAGGCTAACATGAACATATGACCCTGCGTCTTCAACCGGACGACTGGGTTAGTATGATCAGTTTGCCTCTTTACCCTGATAGGCGATGGTTCCGCCTGGCTTTTATCCTTGTTGCGCCGCATGCTTGTGGCGGATGCTGACCATATTGGTCGGCCTTGGTATTTGATGTCGATTGGAAGCTGGGATTGCACCGCCACTTCCTCTTCCTCTTGCCCGGCGACTGTCGATAAATGGATAAATAGCGGTTGGTTTCAACAGTATCAACAAGAAACTTCTTCGTGATGAAACCGCATGTCTGTGCTGTGTTGCTGGCAAAAGAGCGCTCACAACCGCCGTAGTGACGATAGTGGGGTAACAGGTGCCCCTCCGTACCCACATTTTGGCTCTGCCACCACGCGGTGGACGGGTAAAGAGCTATTAGTCTCAAGGCACCGGATAATTAGTACGCGCCATAGTCGTGATTTACCGTTCGTCCATTGCATTGGATAAGCGATGAGCCGGCGTGGGATTTCTGACGTTGCATGAAAATGTTAGAGGCACGTGAAGCTGCTCTAAGTTTGCGATAGGAAGCTGCGATCAGTGCGCAAGACATTTGGGATGGAATTAGCTCCGCACTGAAGACACAACAAAATGTTGAACGCAATTTGTAAGTGCAGAGGAAGTAATGAACACAGAAGGGACCTTTGGAAATGTGCAACTAGAAGTCCTCGTTGATTGACGCTCATATCAATAACACACTGCACTATTCACATCACAGACATCATACCTACTGGAAACGCAGTCGTACAAGAACATCATACCGCCCACTTTCCATACGCCGAACAAACTCCGATGAGTAAAATGCGTTCCCCTTATCAGGTCCAAATGCCTAGGGTTATTTCCGCGAACTCGCCATCTCTCCGAACCGCCCTCTTTGCTGTGTAGTATCATAGGCCTGTAGCACCCGAGCTTGTGATTCGTCTGTTTGTGAAAACGCATACCCACGCTGTTTGCGCATACGCTGCACTTGTCGGACTTTTCGGATCGCTTTTTGGAATTGCTCCATACTATTGCAAAGTCAGTGAATCGTGGCGAGCAAGTATAAAATTTGGGGAAAACATACCGTGGCCTGTAATCTTGTATATTATACTTCTGAATCTCTTGAACGTGATGGTAGCTCTGCGGAAAGTACATTCTCTTCGCGTACTTCCATGCAAAGTCTCTGATGAGACAGAGTGGTGGCAGTACCAATACCATTGCCCAGAAGCGTGGGTCAGGAAAGAGGCGCTCGATTACGCCAACATATTCGTTGGATATGTTGATCTTGGGGGCTACGACGGCGTAGATGGGCATCAAGATGAACCAAAGCAGCATGGAGCCCGGAATAGCTAGCACGGTATACTTTGTCCAGATGTTGGTGATGAGGGAGGCTTTGAGAAGGACGGTCGCCAGATTGGCAGTGTAAGCGGCGGTTCCCCAAACCCAATGGCCTGCATTTCGGCCATCCCACTGTGGCCAGTCCCAGAGAATAAATGCTTGGGCACCGAAATACAAAATCAGCGAGTGGTAGAAGCCATTTCCAACCCAAGACCAGAAAGAGTGCATACGGAAGAAGACACCAGACTGACTGAGGCGGTAGAGCTGCGGATACCTGTCCAAAAGCCTCGCGCTTACGAATTGATCAAAGATACCCAGGACGAAAGGCGGCGCCGCTGTGAAGAACACGTTGTAGAATGTCAGCGTCCACGACTCATAGATAATCTGACCCGAGAACCCATTCTGGAAAGAGTACCAGAACTGTGTCATGAACATGGCAATGTTCTTGTAGAAAGAGTACAAGATAACCTTGCTGACACGCTGATAACTCCAGGCGCCGTGGACAAGGAGAAGTTTGCGCAGGTAGCGGAATTGGCCAATCGCAATATCTGCGCTACGTGCTGCCTGCAACCCCTCAACACCACTGATACCAACACCAACGTGAGCAGCCTGGATCATGGAAACATCGTTTGCGCCGTCACCGATGGCCAAAAGGATAGCCTTGAGGTGGCGTTTGACAAGCTTGACGACAAGGGCTTTCTGTAGAGGGGAGACACGGCAACAGATGACAGCCTTGCACCTGACAGCCAGGTCCAAGAACTCCTTCTCAAGGTCACGCTCAAGGGCATAGGTAAGCGACTTGCCGTCGATAACTAGAGCGAGAACATCCATCTCAGCCCCACCTTGGCTCTGACTAGTAACTGCTTGGTACTTTTTGCGAATGTTGTCTCGCGTATCTTCCTTGTTTTCTTCGTTAACAATGAGTAGACTCATGTCCTCGCTGATCAACTTGCAACTCATGCCGATGTTGATGGCAGTTTCTTGGCGATCTCCAGTAAGGACCCAGACCTTGATACCAGCGGATTGCAGGGTAGCGATAGTGTCTGGTACACCCTCTTGCAGTTTGTCTTCGATAGCAGTCGCTCCAAGCAGAGTCATGTCATGCTCAATGAGCTCAGCAGCCTTGTCTAACTCTTCGGCACGATTACCGCTAACAGTTGTTTGTGCAGTATTGAAGACCGACCACCATTGCTGGAACTCGCTCTCTGAGATCTCTCGCATCGCAAGACACAACGTGCGCAGTCCCTCGGAAGCGTACTCCTCAAGATGCGTCAACGTCGTTTCCACATGAGGGTTGTCTTTGCCAAGCCTCTCCAATATGACGGTGTCAGCTCCCTTGGTGTAACAGACAATCTTGCCCTCAGGAGTACGGAAAATCGTAGACATCCTTTTCCTGGTGGAATTGAATTCGCAAACGGCTAGGAGTTCATATTCAAGCTCGCGACCATCGACTTCGATAATCACCGCGCGCGGCTTCCTCGCGACGAACTTGTAGCCGAGAGTCACTGCGCCTTCCACCAAGGCGCCCTCATCGGGCGATGCAGCTTGGTACTTGATGGCGGCCTTTTCGCCTTTTCTTTCGGGGATGACTGTATGGCAAGTTGCGAGTAGAGTAAGGAACTGGTCAATAATGTACTTGTTGTGGTGCGTTTTGCGATTGTGCTCAAGTTGCTTGAAGTCATGGATTCCGACCTCAACACCGTCTTCAAAGGTCGCACGTCTGTCCTCGGGGACCTCATCGGCATATTGAATGCCGGCAATCGTAGACTGCTTGAACTCCATCATGTTGCATGTCAGAGTACCTGTTTTGTCCGAGAAGATGTATTCAATCTGACCTAGTTCCTCGACCAAAGACGAAGTTCGGCATTTCGCCGGTGTGTCTGTCGGTTCATAGTAAATATCGAGATCAGAGTCGATGAGACTACCAGTGTAGTATTTGACGATTTCAATCGTTACGAAAAGCGAAATGGGAACCAAGTTGGAGTAGAGTACCCAATATGTTAGGAGGTCGCGGAAGAATTGTTTGGCGCCGTTGAAAGCATCAAGTCTGAGATACTCGAGGCTGTCTCTCTCCTTGGACTGTATAATCACATCGCCTATAGAGCTGACGATGCTTAGCGCTATGAGAATGACTACAAGCATGAGAATCTGCTTGTTGACCAGTCTCTCCACTGCAGTGGTCTTGATAGGTGTAGCCGTGGCATTTCTCATCAGCTTCGTTTCGTGTCCGGTAAATACGACGACACCGTGTATCCAAGGTGTGTTTCGCAGTGTCGCTCCACGCAACAGCAGCTGATCGGGTGCTAGTGGTAGTTCCCTTTCCCCACCACCAGCTGCCATGGTCAAAGTTGCTTCATAGGTGTATAGACTGCTGTTAGGCTGTTCTGACCGTATACGGCCTCCTAGTCGTGCCAGCTCAGCAGGACTGACAAAGTCAGCCGTCTCAGGTATCGCTTGCTTGATCTTCAGATTTGTCTCCCCGTCCAAGTTGGCCGTCTCAATGTAGCACAAACCCTCGGGCTCGGACGAAGCAAGCAGGACCAAATCGGTGGGAAAGGATTGTTCGGATTCGACGCGTACGATGTCGCCAACTGCCACATTAACCCATTTTGTATCTGTAAAGGTAGAGCCTTTGAGGACTTGGGCTTTTGAGTTGTTGAGGTCAGAGTCAGATTGTTTCCGCCGGTAGTCCTCAATGTATTCCTTGACGGCCGAGACCAGCAAGACTATACCAAGCGGCACAATGGTAGTGTATCGCGAGGTGGGGGAGATACCGGGGATCTGTTGTAGAATGGCCGTGAACAAGAAGAAGAGATTGGCGTATTTGGAGAACTGTTCGTAGAGGAACTTGGGAAGGAAGGTGGCGATGTTGTATTTCGAGGTTGAGATGTGGTTGTCGACGTATTTGTTGGCGGCATTGGCGGGCGGGTTGTTCAGGTGGATGATTCTTGGCCCCAACGTTGAGGGATCCGGCGCGCCCCTGCCGAAGCCAAACTTGAATGAGCCCATCCCCTTTTTCGTCTTGGAGGACTGGCCATCGTCGCGTGCGCTTGCGGTCGTATTCGCACTGGGCTGCCGTTGGTGTGCTGCGTTCTCGGTCAATGGCAGATCCATCTCGGAATACTCGTTGCCCTTCCCGAACATGTTCTTGACTTTTCCAGTCAGGCCACCTCCAAGACTCAGGATACTATTCCTGTTGTGCGCCTTTTTGGATGCCCCGCGCTGTATGCCTGGTGAAGGCTGGTCATACGCTCCTCCCGCGGCGTAGTAGCCCTGTGCTGAAGCATCGTCGTCTGCCGGTATGTCTGCATCCGAGTAGCGCTGGTAGTTGTGCAGGTCCGAGGTTTGCGAGTAGGCTCTGCTGTTGTTTGCTCCTCCCAGATAGGGCGAGTCACCCGCGGGTGCGCCAGGCCCGCCCGGCAGGCCTGCCGTCGCCCTCCCACCCCCGACAAAGTCATCGTACGAAACCGAGGGCCGACCTTGTGGCGCTGCATCGGAGCTGTCTATGTCGTACCGGTGGAGGAGGTCATGGTCATTGGCAGGTGGCGGTGCACCCGAGTAATATGTGGGTTGATGGTCGTCGAAGTCGATCAGGTTCTCGCTATGAGGCGGTCCACCGGGCGGCCTGCTGGCCATAGCGGCCGAATGTTGCGATGGGCGTCTTTCTCCGAAGAGGGTGGTTTGCCTACCACTTCATGTGATAGCTGCCGGTGTGTCGTCGTTTCTGCAATGTGTTGTCGCGTCGCGGACGGATACGGACGTCTTGCGGAGCTTCGTCGTAAGCCACCCTGGCTATAGTAACGCAGCTTGGCGGGCGTCTCCGAGTTGAGTTTCTACCGAATGCGCGCAATGTGTCGTGATCGCGTTTGTATCGTGAAGAAAGCGAAGGTCAACTTCCACCAGCGCCGGGAATGTTTGCGGATCCTGTTGCAAGGTTTCGCTGACTGCCGGTCGTTGAAAGATGTAGGCACGGACCAGAGTGCTGAGGCAGTGCCTACCACTACCCTGGGCCTTCTGCTGCAACCGCGCCCCTGGGGCCTCGTTATGTCGACGAATAAGATCGATTCACCTTGGCCGCACGTCTCAAATTGCACCAAGCTGACATTGACGCGCGATGCTGCAAACTACCCAGCTTGCAGTGCCATTACGCGGCGCCACGCTGTGGGGAGAGATTTGGTGGAGACCCTGACGTTGCGCCAAGTCCGCACCCTGATACTAACCTTCGGGATGCTTTTGCTTCCGAGTAAATCCTTCTTGACAGGAACATGAATACAACGTCTTGCCTATCATTCGATAGCTAACATTGCTGCCGTTGCGTTGGAACGAACGCCCATTGCATTTGGTTAGAACACGCCAAGTACCAACACGGCTTGTGAGGCGGGCATACTACAATTTCCCTCCAGCCCGGTTCGTGCTGCGGCGTCTTGCTTGACAGCATGGAAGAGAGATGACCCAATCAATACTATGCGATTGGATCGTGTATTTTGTATCATTTCGTAGAATGCTGTCTTATACGGGCTGCACAGTGGCTAGAGCATTGATATTGTGGCATCGTTTCAACATTCCTTCGCCCCTAACTTGTCGGCGACGGTGTTCAAATAGATTACTTTTACTAGCTGCTCGCGTTGCGAGTTCTGAGGCTGTCGCCTCGTAACGTCGCACTGAAGGCGGAGTCGTCACGCTTAAAATAGCACCACGTTTGCGCAGTTTAAGAATGCTACGCATTGATCCAACGACCATGCAGTTAGTTGATCATGCTGCTCTGACATTGCTTTTGTTATATGTGAACTGGAAGATAGGTGAACGATCTTGATATACCTCACTGTCGCAACAAACCCTGATTGCAACAAGTCTCTCATTCATACCACGACTATCTTGTGACTATGTGTACAATATAATGATGGCCAATAAACACGTATTGCGGTTGTGCTTTAGCGAGCATGCGGATGGTTTTTGGTGTTGCGCTAATGAAATTTTCGACCGTCCCGCCGAATTCCCCCCACCCTACCAACATTGATCCCGGCCATATGAGGTTCACCCAGTTTTTTGCTGGATCTCCCTGCTTTTTTTAAACGCTGAAGTCTATGAGATGAATAAAATTTGAGCCTTCCATCGAACAACAGAAATAGCCCGGCTAGCTCAATCGGTAGAGCGTGAGACTCTTAGTCTTTCACGGTCTAACAGACACGATTACTCAGTACATCTCAAGGTTGTGGGTTCGACCCCCACGTCGGGCTTGTACGTCTGTTCGTTTTTGTTGGATGGTTGTAGAGGTGTTAAGGTGTTGAGGGTGAAGGTACTACGGTACCTCTATGATCACCCCCTTTTTTGCTACCACAACCCACTACGGTCCATCTAGCTGCTGAACCTGCGCAGTCCCAGTTCTGGTTAGAGCCTTTACTCTTTTTACCGGTCGTTTTATGAAATATCAGTTGCCTCGAGTTTTGCTTGACGTAGACAGCTAAACGGCGTTTCGCGGGCCAACGACCTTAGAAATGTGATCCTCCACAAGAAGAACAATGTTTCCAACTATCTCTTATCTATTTGAGTTGATCTGATGTCCGTATGGGTCTTCACTGTTGTGGTTTCGTGCACCGTCAATTGACAGACGCATTTCACTATCGATGTGCTTCGGGAGCCTGGACCTCATACTTTATCTCATCCCTCCAGCGCAATAGATTACTGTCTTCTTTCCAAAAGTTTCTCTTCCTAAAATCAACAGCTTCTCCCGATACACTGTCATGTCGGTCTACAACACCATAGCCCTCACCCCTTTATGAGAAAGCCACCTTCTGCAGCGTGATTGAACACGACAAGCTCGCCCGACATTGCCCTCTCGATAACGGTCGTCATGCTCTCGAACTCCACTACGCTACCACATCTGATCTAGGATCACTATCGAGACTGCCAGCTGAGTTGATGGAACAAGTTGTTCTGGAACTGGATGTCGCAAGTCCGTTGGTGTGGAGGAGAGTTAGCAAACGGGCAATCGCCTTCGTGGCTCGTATGATCGAGTGGAAAAAGGTAATAGAAGCGTCAGAATTTGTGCTGATATCGCGATTCTAGGTCACTTCCATAGCTCCAAATACCGTGAGAATGCCTATTGGCCTCCATTCGCACTCTACATTCAGCCTCGCTGAACTTTATGATGCTCTTTACCAACGTACCTGCGCAATTTCAGACTGTTCCAACACTGCAAAGTACATCAACATGGGCAGTCTAGTACGCGTTTGCGAGACCTGTGTCTATCCAAGAGTTTGGTGGATTATCAAGTCATTCGCATCCAACTACTACTGTGCCCAGAAAGTGCGAACGAGCGAGCATACGGAAGAGAACGAGAAACCACTGGAGAAAGAAGTGACAGCATACAAGGTACAGATGGATGAACGCATCGACTTCGTCGAAGTTGGTGTTTTGGAGAGGAGAGGTAGAGGTATTGAAGGAGTTCTGGGAAAGGGGATCAACGACGGAGACTTGGACAGACGGTGGGCTGGTGGCTCGGCTTAGGAGTAATACACGCAAACACTATACAAGGCAAGACTTAGCGTCAGCCTATGGGCATCAGATATTGTGACTTCGTCTTGGATATTTGGGAATACAGAGAACTTGCTCTACTATGTTGTCTTGAATTTTGTAAAAGATGGTCATTTCAGCCATGATAATCAGTCGTGAATCAGATGGTGGTAGTAGATCTAAGGGACATTTACAAGGTTGTTAGGGCCCCGGCTCGCCACCAGATCCCTGCGAACCACATGTAAAGCTTCGTATGCGATGTATGTTTAGGTGGTATGACACATGCGGAGGGCAGTTATGCGATGAGCGACCGGAGAGTATGCACGAACACGATGGTTTGGTGTACCTACCTGTGTGGGGCGGGGTCGCGGATCCTGTCAGGCTCGCAGTCCACCTACACAAAGTCTTCTCTCGATATTACACCGCCACGTCCTTAATCATCCTGGCAAACATCCCGTATAGCGCATTAGTCCTATATGCTGTGTTTTTTATACTGGTATTGGTGTGATATGCGAGAAAGACCTTGTGACGCTTGTGTTCGTGTCACTCGGTCCATACCGCTGAACTAAGCTTGCGTTTGCTCATCCTTACCAACACAACTTCCCAGACTGCATCCACGTATGCAACATGGTAAACGTTTGCTGATGATTGTGACTAACTCGGTAGGTTGTTGATGTCATGCTTGGGGCTTTAGGCGACATGTAGTAGGCATAATTAGAGGCGGAGCTTCCACCCATTTCATTATGACGACACGATGCGCGACGCGTCGGGCGACGTGATATGAGCCTATTTCCCGCCTGAATGAAGATGACATCCTACCCTTTAGATACCAAAGACACTGAGGAAGACTAATTATCCAGCTAACGCTTCATCATCATGGACACAATCAAGAAAGCCATCGGCAGCGCCTTCGACCCTAACACAGACATCCCTGATCTCAGCGGGAAGGTAAATTGATACTCTCTCATCTACATGATCAAATTACTGACCACGATTACAGGTCTACGTTGTTACTGGCGGCTCTGCCGGCATTGGATACGGCATCGTCGCACATCTCCTTCAGCACAACCCGTCGAAAATTTACCTCCTGTCGAACAAGGAAGAGCACGCCGATGAAGCTCAAGAAGCGCTCAAGGAATGGGGTGATATAAGTAAAGTGGAGTGGCGCAAGTGCAACCTCGAAGACCTAAAGCAGGTGGACGAGGTAGCCAAGTCGCTGGCAAAAGAGCTGGACAGACTTGACGCTTTGGTATGCAATGCTGGGCTGGGTGTCGGCGTATACAATGAGACGCGTGATGGTCTGGACAGCCACATGCAGGTCAACGTCTTCTCGCAGGCACATCTTACGCTCACGCTCTTGCCTATACTGCAGAAGACGCCTGACTCGCGCATTGTACACCAATCCTCTGATCTGCATAAGGGCGCTGACTCGAGCATGAAATTCGAATCGGTCCAAGAGATGAACCAAGACATTGGCGCAATGAAGCTCTACAACCGCACCAAGCTAGCACAGATCCTCTTCCTACGTGAGCTGTACTCTCGTATCAAGGTTGGCGAATTCGGTCAAGTCACAGAGAGCAGCGGCTTGCCGTGGATCAATGCGACACACCCGGGCGGCGTGTTAACGGACCAGCAAGACCAGGCAGTTGAGGCTTATGGTACCATGGGAAAGGTTGGAGTCAAAGCGGTTAGGCCGTTCATGAAAGATCCCGTAGCTGAAGGATGTCGCCCGGCCCTGTTTGCTGCCGTGTCACCTGATATTGTAAAGGATCAGATTCAGGTAAGAAGAGATCTCTCGTACTTCTCGTTCAGAATCTTAAGCTGACTTCTGACAGAACTCATATATTGTTCCTGATAAGAAGGTCCAAGAAGCGTCCAAGCAGGCCAGAGATGAAAAGTTGCAAAGAAATCTGTGGAGGCTGACCAAGGAAGTCTTGGAGTCGAAACTTGGTAGTCTGCCGTACGAGATGAGAACTGGTGTTGTCAACACAGCGTAGGCCGAGGGTAAATGCCGGTCCGATTACAAATGAACATTACTCGAATAAAACTCGGATTCTTGTAGATGCGCTTCGTGATTGTTCGCCCTCGACTCTTCCATAGATGGCTTGATATGCTCTACTTGGCGGAGAAAAGCACGACCCACGCGTCAGCTGCATGCATGTTCCCCTTCGTAAGGTACGGCCCACCTATACAACAATACCAGATCGCATAGTGAAGCGTATGTAGCGTCTAGGTTAAGACTCAAATTTAGCTATCACGTCTCGGCCGTCGCAAATGCTAGCATGTACTTTGTAGGGCGCGTTATCATGCCCCGCCAACGTCATAGTATCAAGTGGGGTTCCAAGAGGCCTCTGGGCAGCGACAACTGTACAGTCATGAGACAACATATAATAATCGGCAACACGCTCGCAGTCCGTTCACCAATACAGAGCTCAAACACAAGAGGTTTTCCAAACTTATAAATACATCATTTTTGTCACAATACGCACATAACCGCCATCATGTCCAAACTTACAGACTTTAAACTCCTCTCCTTCGACGTATACGGTACGCTGATCGACTGGGAGGCTGGCGCTCTCATCGCTCTCCAACCACATCTCAAAAAGTCTGGTCAAGAAAACATGGATCGCAAGCACATCATGCAGGTCATGCACAAGATTGAAGCAAGAGTTGAGAGAGAACACGGCCATCTTAAGTACTCTGAAGTACTTACTATGGTGCTCCCAGAATTGTGTGAGCAACTTGGTTTGGAGAAGCCCAGTGAAGAGGAGAGCAAGGAATTTGGAGCGAGTATTGGGCACTGGCCCGGATTTTCCGACATACCCTCTGCATTGGAGAGGCTGTCCAAGTACTTCAAGCTTGTCGTGCTCTCGAACGTCGACCATGATTCGTTCAAGCTTGGAAATGCGAATGGGCTCAAGGGATATAAGTTCGACGCGGTCTACACTGCTCAAGACATTGGTTCCTACAAGCCTGACTTGAGAAACTTTGAGTACATGTTGGCAAAAGTGAAGGAGCAATTCGGTATCGAGAAGCACGAGGTGCTGCAAACCGCGCAATCTCAATACCACGACCACCACCCAGCAAAGGATATGGGGATCAAGAGTTCCTGGATCTATAGGCCTGGAGCGGTTATGGGGAACCGTGATGATCCAGTGTACAACTGGAAATTCGATACATTGGCGGATATGGCGGATGCTGTGGAGAAGGAGGCGGCAGAGCAGGGAAAGTAGGCTCAGATGAGAGATTGTGTGGATATGTATGTTAATCCTGGGTAGCCAACAACGCTAGCGATACACCAATTTTTGTTCTGTACTTGACAAGGAAGGTGTCAGTCGCACAGCGCTGGCTAGCGTTGATTACTTTTCGGTGCCAGAACATCCACCGGTCGAGGCCTATGCTTTTATTGTGCTGCGTTAGCTTGCGGGGTGCAGCAGATGGCTTCTACTTCTCCGGACGCCACCGACTATCACCCCTCACCAAAATCTAGAATCCGTTTATCGTCTGAAGTCGCTTTTTCCTTACTATTGAATATCGGCGATCGCACCCAAGATTGGTGTGAGCGATGAGCTTCTTCACCGATGCGATACTTGGCTTCAGCCAAGCACCGAGCTAACATAGTATCTTGGTATAATCCATTCATTCATGGATACGTCCGTTGGGCGGGAGATGAAAGAGAAAAACTGCTTCCTCGGACGTGTCGTGAAGCGGCTTGGAGAAGGAAGGTATCCTTTATGAGGGCAAGCCTCGGAGGTAATTCATCGTGCAAGTTCACAGAAAGGCTCCAAACATCCTTGCACGACCGATATCTTGACTCGGTAGTGTCTCGGCAACGTCATTATTCGCCAGCCACGTGCCCTATCTCACCTTCAACACCAACATCGTCCCCATCACAACGTCAAACTAGCGCGAACAAGAGTAAGCGCGTGATAGATTATCCGTAGGAATAGTTACATCGCTTTCTATCCCCGCAGTCACTCCGCTCTCCGTTGCCGGTAGCGCCTACCGGTACCTATGGCGGACCGACTCCCTGCGCCGCCATCGGCAGAAGCCCGGGAGCAACAGAATACTATGAAAGCAACCCATTTCTCCTCACGATGGCTGAAGAGAAGGTTAGCCATCATCATGATTTTCTCCGGGAGCACTGTCCTGCTGTTCTGGTACTTTGGCGCTTTTACCTATGCCAGACCATATCAGCCTGGCACGCCACAACGACCAAGTCCTCCGAACCATGAGACGCCAGATGGATCGCTTCTTGTCAGCTTACCGGATTATGGATCATTCCAGGGCACTCAGATGCTCATGAACTTGAAGAAGACTGAGACCTTCAGTCGACCAGTGGATGCATGGATGAATGTTGAGTATTCCACGCAACCAGTTGGTCAGGGGAGGTTCATGCCGGTAACATGGCCTGAACCTTTTGATGGTGTCAAGGATGCGACATCTACTGGGCCGGCATGTTTCCAGAACATGTACAGCTCGCTCGGACAGTCTGAAGCTTGTCTTACCATCAACGTGTACCGACCCTCAGGTATTCCTATGGACCAGAAACTGCCATCCATGGTCTACTTGCACGGAGGATCATTCGTATCGGGCTCTCATCGCAGTTTCGACGGAGCGCTGTTTGTGGAGAAGAGCACGGAACCCCTCATGGTTGTTACTGTTCAGTATCGACTTGGTGCGCTCGGTAGCTTGCCAGGCAAGTTTATGGAAGAAGAGGGCCTTCTGAACCTGGGTATCCGCGACCAGAAAATGGCTCTGGAATTCTTGCAAAAGTACATCGGCGATTTCGGAGGCGACAAAGACCAGATCACCCTCGGTGGTCAAAGTGCTGGTGGCCATTCGGTTGGCATCCACCTGTTCCACAACTACAACGAGGATGCCGGAAAGCCTTTGTTCAGCAAGGTCATCATGTCTTCTGGTTCGCCAACCGCACGTGCCTTCCCGGGTGTTGACTACCCTATCTACCAACGCCAAGTTTCAGACATTATGGATTATCTGAATTGTCCTTTGTCACCCAGCTCTGCTGCTCTGGAGTGCCTCCGCGCCGCCGAAGCCGATGACATCCAATTCATGTCCTCTTCGCTGTATAACGCCCACAACTACAACATTACTTGGCCGTGGCAACCTGTCTCTCCTGGTCCCCTCCTTGAGAAGCGTGGTTCGACCTCCGGCGAAGACGGCACCTTTTTCAACATTCCCATGTTGATTTCCTCCACAACCGACGAAGGTAAAGCCTTTGCGCCACAAGATCTACGTACCAACACCGAGTATCTCAACTTCTGGAAGACTCTTGTTCCAGGTCTAACAGCTGACGATCTTTCCGATCTTGAGACCCTCTACCCTGATGTAAAGCCAGAGGCTGGCACACTGGGCTACGTCTCGGACCAGTTCGAGCGAGTATCGGAGGCTTACGGAGACTATTCTTATATCTGCCCGGTTCAAGACACGGCTTCCGTTCTTTCCTCAACCTCTGCTCCAGTCTACAAAGCGCGCTGGAACACACCAAATTGGGCGGCCACGTACCTGGGCGTGCCGCACGCTAGCGATTCCTCATACTTTAACGGTCAAGCAAACACACAATACCCAGTGATCGCGGATATGTACAGCGCTTACTGGGCAAGTTTTATTGTCAGTGGAGATCCGAACACTTATGCCTTGTCGGGCAGCGCAACCTGGGAGCAGTACGAGGGAACTGGAAGCAGGCAACTAGTGGTCAATCCCCCGACTATGGGTGGCGCGATGATGGAGGACGAGGGCACAGCTATCAGGATGGAGCAGTGTGCTTGGTGGAGAGATCCCGAGAGGGCTGCGCGACTCAACAAGTGAGCTCGGTCTCTTCTCAATATAGCTAATAATTTCATGAATTACCACCACTGCTTGTGCAATATCCCCTAGAGACCAATAGGGCTTTTTGGTCTTGAGTGATACCGGGGCGCTATAGCAACCCTACTCTCTATCGTCAAATTGCTTGGATACCTCCATACTCTACAAGGGTATACTACTTGCTTCGTCATTATCTACTTTTGTTCAACCACAGCAACTCGCGACTCGTCTATCACTTCTGCAATGGACGTTCAACTTCTGGTACGAGACGTTTTCCTGGCTGGCTTGTTCAAGATACTTGCAACCGCCGTTGAGCTACGAAAATAGCAACTAATATGCAATGATTTAGTATGGAAATGGGTTGGGAACACCAAGGAAAGACGGCAACTGCTACCTCGGAGGCTAAGCCAAAGGCTGGTGCGTTCTTATTGGATGGGAATAGCACTGCCCCAGACAGGGGTATTGTGACGAGCACATCTTTGCGCGTACCCTTGACACTTTATCAACGAACTCAAAGATCCGGATAATAGGTGAGGCCTTACATGTACCTTGCCTCACTTGAGCTGTCACCTTGCACGATATACTTCCAGGCAGGTATGATTTTGACCGGTGAGAAGTTCTGGCCCCCATTTCTTGGACGCCTTGCGCATTGACAATTACAGCCTCCATTGGTGACCGGCAATATACTGCGTCGCTTCGAGATGGTGACGACTTGTTTTGCTGTGTGTGAGGTGTGATAAAAAATAGGGATGGTGGGGTCTGAAGCTCAATACCCCTTAGGATGGATGTTATCGTAGCAATGGTATGTACAACAGCAGCACATTGCTTCGATTGCGGCCTCTACTATGAGTCACAGATGTGCCTTTAGATTTCACCGGTAAAAAGAGATACGATGGCAGTCTAGCCTCATGACTACCTACCCTTCCAAAGCTGGCAGAACCCTGAAAAATGATCCAGGCAACCATACCGTATTTGCAGATCCCTTCACAATAATAGGATTAGCACCAAAAAACCAGGATATCGGGATGAACACAAGGCGCTGCCAACAATGTGTCTGCCTTGGACGCCGCACGGTAACATGAAACTGCTCCTGCCAGACATGAAGGTGACACAGGCGAGGAAAGCCAATAGGTATATGCCGTGCATGTACGGACAGGCGCACAAGCGTAAATAGCGATGTGATACCCATTTCGCCTACGTTTTTTTCACGTTCCACTCTCATCTCAACTCACACGCGACGGAAAGGGTTTTTTGTCGCAATCACATTGATACCACTGTTGTCGCGCTGACTGGATATTCATCAACGCAAACACACGCACACACCTCATTGTACGCGCAAAGTAACAACATGGCTATCGCAAACCCAATTCTCAACTTCGTCGTTCGCGGTTTCCAAGCTCTTTTCGGTGTTGTCGTACTTGGGATCTCCGTCTCTTTGATACGCGGTCACCACTGGGGTAGCCTCCCAGCCAGTTTGGGCTTCTCCGCTTTCGTGGGCGGCGTCACGATCTTGGGAGCTGCTTTGGGGGTCGCTGCTCTATTCTTGACCTTCCTAGATGGCATGGTTGGCTTGATCATTGACGCCTTAGTTGCTCTCATCAATGCGGCAGGTGGAATCGTAAGTGCCAGTTTGGCCCGAAACGGTCTTGACTTTTCGATTGAACGTTTCGACTGACAACGACACAGGTACTCGCTATCAAGATCTCTGGTGTGGACTGCAACGGTGACATAGACTACCACAGTGCTGCCAAGATAGTCTTCAACGACATCTTCAATGGTGGTTGCCGCCGCGATGATCAGTGCTGGTACTGGTTCACCGACCCTGAAGCTATGGTATCGAGGTGTAGGTCGACCCAAGCCGATTGCGTCTTTATGTTCCTTGCAGTTCTTGTCCTCGCAGTATCCGCCATGCTGGCTTTCTTGCGAATGAAGAAGGGCTACTAGACACATAGTCGTACAAGAGTGAGTGTTTCCAAACGAATCTAGGATTAATGACCTGACTAATTGTACAAAGTCATGATGAGACATGCGTTTGGCAACTCGATTTCCTAGGGGTTAAGAGTGTTCTACGCATGCTCCTGAAGAACTTCACGTCGGCCTCTTTCCAAGGTTGTTTTACCACGATACCTATCATCAGAGCACTTTCTTTACGACGGTGGACGTAATATAGTTTGGGCCTAATTGCCAGCACTGGCATACGTCATTAATGAACACGAAGTGATGACATAAGACGCTGCACCTATCTGCTTCCAGTTTCGTGCGACTTTACTCGATGATCTGACTGACAGTGTCATGTTGCATCCGCCCTGTCTTAGACAGCAAACAATGGCGAACTAACTCCGGGCTGTGCAAAACGCACCCTTCTGACAGACAACTTCAAGCGAGACTGGATTCCTTTCTCTCCAATGCCTCATTTGTTGATCTACCCTTATGTTTGAAACCCTTGCGCTGAAAATCACCTATCCAACGAGATGCGCATCTCTCCCTCAGTCCCCGTGCTTATCGCCCGTGGATTCCAAGCCATCTTCAGTGCCACTGTCTTCATTATCACCATGCTCTTAATCACTGGAAACAAATTCGGCCCTCTTCCACATATTCTAGAGTTTTCGGCTGGAGTGAGCCTAGCAACCTTGATCGCTGCGCTCTCAACGTCTATCTTCCGTACTTCTTTGCATCCCTGGATCAGAAACAGTATCGACGGCGGCATCTTGTCGCTCAATATGGCCGTTGGTACTGTAAGTTTACATCTACCCAATGCGACCTTGAACCATAGGCGAGGCCACTTTATGACTCTTTGGCTTTAGATGATGGCGTCTGAACTACAAGGCTATTCGTGTAGTTCAACTCCTCCATACTACAGTGAGGTTGTCTGCGGGGGATATCATTCAAAAATTCTGGAACCTGAAGGGTGCTATTACGGGTACTCGCTCACAGTTGGCTCTTTAGATACATGGAGTCGATGTGTCCTTTATTCATGTAACACTGCCGTCATGCTTTCAAATGTGCCGGTAATATTGGCCATTTGGACATTGGTATATCTGAGGACGGAGAGAGGATGGAGAGTTGGTGGGTGGACGATCGAGAGAGTACGTAATCCGTACGAGCCTATTGCCATAGACAGTATGATACCCATGGTATCGATTCCAGTCAGAGCACGTCTGTCTTGATATGTCAAAGCGTACTATATATGGCAAGTCATCAGTACCACAAAGGAAATTATCGTACGGAACAATTTGACTGATGTGCGTACCTGAGATGCGCTCGTCCATGGTGTGGTTGTGCGACGTCTTTTCTACTAGACATGTCTGCTAAGCCTCCCAGAGGGATGTACGGGAAACAGGTATAGCACATATCATAAGATTCAGTCAGGAGAAATGAGAGACAGATATACCACGATAAACAGCTTCATTCGATCACTCACTAGGCATGCCAACTGCTGTCCAAGCTCCTCTTCTCGTAATCTGAAACAGCATCGCCTCCCACATCAACACCGTGCATGTCCAGCCTTTGGGTATCCCCTGTATCCAGCCTCACAACCTATGCCGACCCACTCAAGAACATCATCGATCTAGACTGGGCAAGACTGCGATGGTGGTTAGCGATATTCTAGTCGTGAAGACTCCTTCAAGCGTCTTACGCTGCCGCAAGATCCACAGGTCTTGGCGTCGCCGCTGATGCCGGCGCCGCACTTTGGGCAGTCGCCGTGGAAGTTGACAAGGACGGTTGTGGACTGCATATTGGCCTTTAAATTCCGGGTTTGCTTGGTATCGTAGGAGAGTGCAATGTTGGTAGTATCGTGGAATGCGCTGATAGCCGTTCGAAGTTGGAGGGGTAAAGTGGGGTTGATATAGAGAGCTCAGGTAGCTACAGGCAGCTACGACAGGCCTAAGCAGCTAGTGCATAAGCCGTCAGATGACTGGGACGCGGTAAGTGCGGTGGGTCTTGCGATTGGAGGTAAGTGGAAAGCGTGGGATGAGTGTAACGTAGACGTGCGGGGCCAAGTACTAAGGATCTTGTCCGATAGGAAGGTACGAGGCGCGAGGCGAAAAGAATGACCGAGAGGAAGGACAATACAGGTGCCTGATTACCTATAAACCCTGCCTAACGTGGCATATGATCTGTCCGTTGATAACGGCGAACCAGCCATCTTCCTTTTTCTCCATCTCTCTCCACGTCGCTGCAATATCTTCCAGATCCTGCTCCGTCGCGTATCCGCTGTCTAGAGCCCTTTGTTTATAGTCGCTCTTAACAGTCCTATCGGCCCAGAGTCCGCACCAGAACTCCCTCTCTTCCGGCGTGCTGAACGTCCAGGCCGATACGCTAGCCTCGATATCGCCTCTTGGAAACCCTGCTTGCATGGCTATCGCATGCAGATACTTGCCCATGTTGGGATGTGCCTTCAATCCAAATGCTATCTTGATGTATAAATCTTTCCACTTCTGCATACCTGGATGCTCTGGGTACCAGTCCATAGCGCTGTAGTTGCAATCTCGAACTGCAACGACGCCGCCTGACTTGGTCAACCGCTTCATCTCCTTCATCGCACCCAGCGGATTTTGTAGGTGTTGCAGCACTTGATGTGCGTGCACGATATCGAAGCCCCCCTCCTCTACGCCGTCAAGTTTGTCCCATTCAAAGATATCTCCAGCCTCAAATCGTATGTTTGTGACGCCCCTTTCTTCTGCGTGTTTTCGTGCCTTTTCGATCACTTCTGCGGAGGGATCGATGGCATAGACGAAGCCTTGTGGGACGCGGGTAGCAAGATCAACGCTGATGGTGCCTGGCCCGCAGCCTACATCGAGGATCTTGAGCGAAGGGCTGTTGAGGTAAGGGAGGAGGTGAGGACAGGAGTTCTCGACTGTACGCCAGCTATGAGAACGGAGTACGGAGGCATGATGGCCGTGGAGGTATGGTCCAGACATTATCGGAAACTAGAACAATCGTAGCGAAGGTTGGTTGCCGGTCTAATGAGTATGAAATGGACAGGTCCAGCAACTGAGGGCAAGCGTGTTCGTATATGTCCAGTCGTAGCTGCAGCCTAGGTTAGTTGCGGAGTTAGCTGGACATAACAGTCGCTTTATTTCGGCAATAGCATATATGACATTCTTGAATGCGCCGAAATCGCTGTTGAGCTATCCAGGGATCGCGCGATCTAGCGATATGGGACAGTTGGGAGGAGGTCGCTCTTGACGGGATGGATAGGGCAGCCTGCATCTTCAAGTCCGAGCATCGGCCATCTCGGTACCATCGCTTAGTCATTCACCTGTCTATTCGATTACCTTGCACCGACTGTGTGCTTGATGAATCTTCGACACGGAATTGACGTTGGTAGATGAGATATGAGATTATCAATGCGTGGTCTTTGTGCTGCTCTTCAATTTCGCGGTGGAGCCGTTCACGCGTTTGTAGAGCATGCAAGCAAACCACACATGCGCCGCCTGCAAGCTTACTTTTGAGATGATATTAGGCTGAGATAGGCATAGCATTGGTGCTCACATGACCTAGGTCGGTATTGTTCGTAGAGCAGCTGTTGAACTCATTTGTCTTGGCTTTCAACAAGCGATGTGGACTGCAGCCATTGTGTTGCGTCAAGCAAGCCCAGCGGCTTCCCCCGAACCGTCCTGATTGGCTGGCCCGGCCTATTCCGTCACAATCATCAACCCGGCCTTCCTTCCACAAGCAACTTCATCTTCTGCAAGCTTTAGACTTGGCTCGCATACCACGACGACAGGGCACACGTCTCACAGCATAACTTTGCATTGTCAGCCAACAGCATGCCATCTCCGGCCGCCACCCCAGCCACTGGAGCCGCCCGCTAGTCCTAGAACAGACAATGGTAAAATCCATGGATACATGAACCTTGGAACGGGCCCACGCATCACACGGAAGCGACTCACGACATATATCCACAAAAACCTCACCCTCGGGTTCTGGGTCCTCCTCCATCTCATCGTGGGTTACTGCATCGAGCAGTTCTCTTGAAACCATTGATTGCTGGCATTGGGCATTGTCCGTTTTAGATTTGGTCGGCATCGATAGCTTGCATGCGAGCTACATTACATTATGCAGGTCTTGATTCGAATACCCTGCGGCACGGTCACTGACACGCGACCACTGATCTAGATGACCCGACTACATCTATCTATACGCAAATCTTTCGCAATCAATGCCATCTTCACAACTGCCATTACTGACACAACTCAACTCGTATCTGCCTGTGACTTCTGGAGCAATCTACAGGATTCAGCACCGAATCGAGCCACCACCGTCTGAGACCATCAGCGGCTGGGCATTATTCTTTTCCGAGCTTTGACCCCACTATCTTCGCTACCACGAGCCTTGATCATGCTTTCTCTTTCGTTCAGCGCCGACTCCGCACCAGGGGTGTTTCCCTCCAGTATCACTAATCTAGGGTTTTCACGATTTCATTGAACAGAGGGGTTCAGAGCATTATTCCTTTCTGCTCAAACTTCACAATCAAGCGCTCGTACATCCATGGAGTTTTATGTTCCTGTTATCTGGCACAAACCATTTTGGCATATTGCTTGGGATTTTGGTACGGGTGCGATGTCTCGTCTGAGAGGACCTTCTTGTTTCCATGTCTTTGGGATTGCGGTGAATATGAGTGATTCATCACGTCGGTTTGTCGCGAAACAAAGATATGACAGTGTTAGATATGCGGAGTGTTTTCTGGACTCAACTCTGTTAGAGCAGACCAAGTTATCAAAGAAGATAAACCCAGGAGAAAGTACGAGGTGAGAGTTAACAGGCACGATTAGAGATCGAGTGAAAGAACTAAAAACTGAGCTATTACCCAAATCGCGATCAATAGCGCCTCACGGAGGGACTCTTCTTACGTGGCTGCTCCGTCCGCTCACACATCACGCACCTGGAATATACACGTAATATCATTATGTCCTCGACTCCGGCCGCTACCCACTCTCTTCACTGCACCACTGCTCCGGGCCGACCCCTCACCTCCACCAGGGCTGCTCTTGGAATCTTTGGTCCGAAACTTTACCCACTTTACATCAATTGGCAAACCAGTATCGGGAATCCCGACCAAGCAGCGCTTTACCCGTCAAAAGTAGTATGGAGAAGAATAGTACAAGCGGTGCGAAACCAGGAAGTGGGAGGAATACCCAGTGCGCTTATATTCAAGGCCTTCATGAACACGAAACAGGTCAAGGAACAGCTGTATATGCAAGACGTAGAAGATTGTTCGACTGTCGAAGACGGCGAAGACGAGGCGGAAAAGGAAGAGAAACCTCTAGATCTACTTACCACACGCTTCTGCAAGCACAATGTCTATCCTGGCAACCCTTGGATGGGCGATGTCTGCCCGGGGTGCCTCATTACTCAATGTATTGCCTCCCTTGACCGGATTGCACATGTCTGGCGCCTTGCCGGCGGGCTCTTGAAGCCTTGTAGATCTGGAGACCCAGAATTATCTTATATCTACCATGCAGCTAAGCGAATTTGGCATGTTGAGAAAGTTCGATGGGCTAATCTGGTGGACGTGTACGAGCGGTGAGCAAAAGAAGAGGTATCATGGGAGGAAGACTCTCTGCAAACCGGCTTGGCGATTCCAGCATCAGTGATGGGATCTAGTGGCTGCATGAAAGCGCTGAATCTCGCGATACTAATCCCATTCCTTGCGGAAGGATGGGGCGAGTTCTTTGTTCCAAAGAGGCGCTCAACAAGGCGTTGCGTGGGAGGCGAGTCGCAAGGAACCTCTGTTACTGGGGATAAGGACGAAATCCCGCATTCTCCACCTAGTTTGCCTAAGCTGGAACAAGAAACATCGTGGTACCTGAGTGGGATCTCTGATGGGTTAGAGTCAGATGAACAGAATGAGAATGGTACCAACGGAGCGAATATAACCTTGTCTCCCCCCAACAAGTCGACCCTTACACAACGCTCCCCATCAGCCTCCTCAGATTCGAGCATCTACGCTCTACCACCATCATCGATAACACCATGCTCCCCACTTCAAACTCCGTCCCAGCTTCATCTACATTCTCCTATGTTTGGAGTATACTTCCCCGACGACCTTCCGTCGCCTTCATCTCGGGGATCAATATACTACCAGCGATCCTCTACTTCGTATACACCGGGTGAACATGCCAGTCCATCAGATAACGTATGGGTCGACACAAGCTTCATGAGCGATTGCAACTACGATCGTCCCGGTGGCACACAAGATGAAGACGAAGAAGCGGAAGAACATAGAAAGGAGTGGAACGATTATGCTAATAGAATGCTTCAACTACGAGGAAACGACTCCATAGATGATGGTATAAACATGGTCTTTGGGGAAGAGGTAGAGGGGATGGAGGATGACTGGAGTGACGAAAGCGACTCCGATGACGAAGAAGACGGCCTCATACACACAGACAGGAAGATCTTGAGCCATACGAGATTACCTGGTCAAGTCCCAGGGTTGAGTATCCAGCGACCAGTGTTCTCGCTTAGTTGGCAGAAGCAAACAGAAGCAAGGGAAACAGACGAGACGAAGGGCGACGCTACATCACATGAGTTTGAAGACGAAGAGGTGGAACAAGCAATGCGAGAGATGACTCCCGAAGCGATGGAGCTTTCTGTAAAGTCAGCAGCAAATATTGATATGCCAACGGTTGCCAGTAGCAGAGCGGAGGAGATGGGAGTGGTGCCGCCGGCCGAACCGGAGACCCAAGTATCTCCTCGTCGCAGGAGTCACGAAGAGTTCAATGAATTTGGAGAGATAAAGGAAGAGGATAGTGTGAAGGGATACTGTCACTAGATATGATCTCGTTAACTGTCTCGATATTGCGTGTTGGAGACTTGAATGGGAAAGCTATTTACAAACAAGTATTCATAGGCAGCGTAGGCCGAGATGATGTTGTACCTTCCGGTATTGTGACATGTGGAAAGCGAAGCGTACTGCTCTTCCATGCAGCCAACACATATACCTTTTGCCAGCTTCCTCATTTGGCGCTCAAATAGTCCTCCTGCGCTTATCCCATCGATCAGTACACTTACATATACGTGCCTCACGAAACAAAAAAATGAGCTGCCAAGATTCAGGTAAATAATGACCATGTATCGAGAGAATGAAAGAAGTTGACGGCATGCAGCATCAGCGTGCAACGCACTTACAAATGCGAACGCAGTCGAGTTCAACACCTACAGTAATTTTGCCGGCTATATCTTTGACAGAAAATGCCAAAATTGCAACTTCAAATTCATACAAAATAGCGGCGCCATAGTTACACTGTTCCAGAGCTGGCTCAGTGGACAAGGTAATCTCGAAGGCCTCCATAACCAGATGTTAGAAATTGACGGTCACAGCAACGATCAGTTCGCAGGTCAAGTGCAGTAAGTGCTCGAGAGCTTGTTGCATCGCCTGCTTCAACAAGTCCATGGCACTAGAAATACCAGTCAATGGCACCAAGATAGTATGTTGCTGCAGCCGCGGGCGACTTTTCACCATTTGGGTGATGCTATGTGGATTCGATCGGGAATACTGCCAGGCCAAGAGGAGTGATGCAACAACGAAGCCCAAGGTCAAGAGAACGGTCGATAGGGGTACAGGCTACGACCAGAGTCACTTGAGCATGCAGGAGATGTTTGGTAGCAGGGAATTTGAAGGCCGAGGTAGACATCGAGCTTTGGACACGGAAAGGCAAAGAGACAGGTTTTACGAGAATCTGTTCACCTTCCTCGCAGTGTTGTGTCCCAGTCCCGATCACAACAAGCCAGACACCACGCGTTTCGATGTCGACCCACCCAAGGCCGTCTTATCGATGTTGATTAACAGCAAAGTTCTCGATAAAGCCGCGGAGCTACTCCGAAACGACAGTTTGGACAATGTGACCAAGAGAAAGAGCCTTTACATGGCTTTCTTTGGCTTCCTCCGCAATGTCGGAGTCCACAAACTATCAAAACAGGCTGTCATGTTCAATGAGCGTATTGTATTCCCGGACGATATCGATCTCCTGACGCTGTCTTTCAAAGGTCTTACAGGAAACTTGTCTGGCCAAAACGCCTCTGCACTCGCCGTGAATCTTCGCAATCTGAACATCCAGAGCCATGTCATGCTAAACGGTGCTCAGAGGTCACGAAATGAGTTTCATGATGAGCAAAGTATGGACCTCTTGTGGCTTTGTCGCGAGATATCCGACCTTTCCCAGTACCTCGAGATTGGGGAAGGCAATGCAGGGCCGGTGGATCATGGTATCGTCGAAGTGCCAGATGATCAGATCTGGCCATGTTTCCATTTTGCGAGAGAAGCGCAGATGATTACTCAATCGCCGAGGGGTCGTGTCAAACGACTCATCACAGAGATAACGACCTTGAAGACAGGGCTGTCTTCTGGTATATATGTCAAACATGGCATGTCCAGACTTGATGTGATGAAGTAAGTGGTTTGATAAGTGGTTGCCGCCTAAGCCAGTTACTAATCCTTGTAGAATTCTTATTGCAGGCCCTGAAGGCACGCCATATGAGAACGGTCTTTTTGAGTTCGATCTTTGGTGTACAGCCGAGTTCCCTTACAAACCTCCACAAATGTTCTTTCGAGGTACACAAGGCGGCCAACTCATAATCAATCCAAATCTCCACAAGAATGGAAAAGGTAAGCTTGCTGCGACTTACAATCCCGGTCATGTATTAATCTCATTGTAGTGTGTCTATCCCTGCTTGGTACTTGGCCAGGCGAAAAATGGCGTCCAGGCGAATCGACCATCCTCCAGGTCCTAATCAGTATCCAAGCTATGATCTTTGTTGCTGATCCCCTCGACAACGTCCCAGCGGATCACTCAAAGGCAGGCGTCGAAAATCTTTACAGTGTCAAATTTATTAGTGGCTTGACGACGAAGTACGCAGTACTGAATTGGGCCCATGATCCACCTATTTTCTGGAAAGATGTTGTAAACCTTCACTTTCACAAGCATGCAGACACGATTCTGCGTACAGTTGAGCGTTGGGCAGTTAGCGCTAGTCGTACCTGCACCCACTATCCCAATCAGCAAATATCCTTGTTCTTGCCACGTGTGCGACAGCATCCAGTGGATTTCGCAACAATACTACCACAACTACAGGTAACTCTCCAAAGATACGGTGCAACGTACGTTCCGCAAAAGATAGCCCCTTCGCATAGCCAGCAGAACATAGCCAGCGACGGGACCGGACATGAATTCCAGATGCCGCCATATGCCCGAGGAGGCCGATCCAGTGGTCCTGGTAGTATGAGGGGTTATGGAGGTCCTGGATTTCAATTCGGGCGTGGATTCTAATAGGTGGGGGCATCCGAACACTGCAATAAGCTTCGGCGATGCGAAGTATTCATGGTGACAGGTAATTGCAATTCGTAGCACATGCAGATGTTGACAACAAGAATGCAAGATTGTAATGTTGTAGAGATGTGCATTGTGAAAGCGCAATATGGTCCAGCGCGCTAGCGCCTTGGCATACATTTTCCGCGGCGACACCATCAACCTTCCACTGGTATCATACCCACGCCAGAACGCACAACCGCCTCCATCGCACGCCCTCTTCAGCCGACCGCGGTGATTTTTGGATTCTCAAGTCTCCATCATGCTGTCTCGCGCCCTCACCACCGCGTTCCGACGTCCATGTTCAACCCAAACCCTCCGCACCACCCTCCGCACCCGCACCCAACACATCCACACACCAACATGCTCCTGCGTACGACCCACCCTCTCCACCTTCCGCGCGCAAGCCTCACAACAATCGAACTACGGTATCCGAGACCTCGTCTCCGGCTTCAATGGCCTGAGCATGGGTGGACGGATACAAACGCGCGGCATGAAGGTGCGGAGTTCGGTCAAGAAGCTGTGTGATGGATGTAAGAGCGTAAGGAGGAAGAAGGGGCGATATGTGTACATCATCTGTTCAAAGAATCCTAAGCATAAGCAGAGGTGAGTTTGGTTCAGGGTGAACACGGTGGGAGAGTGGGGATTGGAGCATGCTAACACCACGTAGGCAAGGATAGATACGCTTGTGGATACTTGCGAGGGTGGGAGAGGAATTTGGGAATATCTTGAGTGATGGGTTGATGGAGGGTGACAACCCCGAAAGGAGGAGGAGCTGTATCATATGTATGCATACAAAGGCATCACAGGCGTTTAGACGGGTACAACAGCAATTTGGAGCAAACACTCAGCTACTGCAGCAAATGAAATCTACTCACGACATCGAAGCTGTGTCAGTCGTGCATGCCATTACATTGTGATCGATACCATTATGGCCACTTATCCCATACTGCCTCCACTCCTGTCACCAGAGATGATGCCCGCCATCTTCAACAACTCTCGATCCATTTCTGCATCTCCAGTCCCAAGATTGACCCTCCTTCTAGCCTCCGCCTCGCGCTCCTGCCACGCCCACTCCTTCCTTTGTTGTTCTGCAACCTCGTCCCCACCACAGCCCCAAACCTCCAAACTCTCAATCTCGAAGCGATCCTGCCAATCCTTCTTCTTCCTTCCAGGTTGCTTGCTTGGATGGAAGGAGCCGCCACCCTCGGAAAGATGCGTGAAGATACCAAACTCAAGCGCATCGTCAAGATGCAACGAAACCGGACCAAGACGGAAGGGAGAGTGAGAAAACTGCGACGAGGAAGCTGATTGTGTAGGGATAGGGGTACCTAGACCGACACCGGCGGGGTAAGTTGGTGATTTGGAGAAGTAAGTGTAGTCTTTGCTAAAGGTTGAGGCTGTAAAGACATCGTGCGTAGGCGAGAGCTGAAAAAGTTCTGTCGAGGAGTCGCCAAAACAGGTCTTGCCAGTGTGTTTCCATTGCGAAGAGACGTAGGCGCCGTAGATAAGGGTTTGATTAGGAGAGGTGGAAGTTACGCTGTCTGGTAGGCGTTTGGGTGGTAGCATGTCCTGCAGTGCGCGTTCGCGAGTGCTGGAGGGTGTTGCGGGGAGAAGACGGCCTTTTACGAGAAGGATGGTGGGCGCACGCCAATTGAAAACTTGCTTTTCAAAAGATCCCATGCTGAAGCCATGTGTGTTACCGCTATACAGAGGCCGCAACCGCCGAAAGAGATCGCTGCCTTTAATAAAGAACGACAATTGGCTCAGTGTCGTCAGATTCAAGATCTCTCCCGGTTCTCGGAGCACTGGTTCTAATTCTGCCTTTGGTGGAGGTATTACAGGCTTGCTCTCTTGGGTGGGAGATTCAGGGCCTGACTTCCGTTTGGAGAGGTCAAAGTCTTTCGCGAAGAGGAAATGCTCGAAGAGTGGGTTGAGACCATTAAACAGGTATGGTAAGGATGTCGAGACGACAGTATTGAACGTGCGATACGAGACACCAGGATGATTGTCCACACCAAAAGACGACAGTATAACATTCGCGGCCTGCCGCAGCTCCGCTACTCTTTTGTCTGAGAGGTCTGGTGCCAGTGACGAGACGCTTTGCTGCGCATCGATCGGCGCGATGAGCAGCAGCAGTTCGACCAGCTTGAGGAAGTTGTCGGTCGGTATGATCGAATGATGTACGTTCGTTTGTTCTCCGTGTTTGAATGCATCGATGGCATCCATAGAGTCCAACGCAGCCAGCACCAACTCATCGTCGTCCTCGTCCTCCCCTGCTTCTCCCTCTTCAGGCGCATCGATCGCAAAACCCACACTACTGCTCCCCTCTTTCCATTGCTTCGGCTGATGGTCCATCTCTTCTTTTTCCTTGTCTTCCAGACTTGAGCGTATACCCTTGTCGTATATGGCCAAACTCCGGTAAAGCTCTCTTAGCCAGATCTCCTTCCCTCTCCTCTTGAGCACAGCTCCATATCTCTCTGTAAGTATAGTGACAACCTTAAGCAGCGCCTCGTGCGTAAGTATAGCTGGCGCTTGACTAGGGAGTGGGAATGCTCCAAGATAACTGGCCATCTGAAAGACGACAGAGCCCACGCCCAGCGCATCTGGTAGCTCGAGGAAGCGACATAGTGTGCTCTCACTCCAGTATTTCACACCGGATTCAGTATCGGCGAGGGATCGGAAGACGGAGTTGAAGCAGTAGAGCTCGAGAGGGGAGAAGCTTTTCTGTGCGAATCGTTGGGCTATGGTTTGTGAGAGCTGCTCTGGAAATTGGTTAGTCAAGATGCTTAGGCGGCAGCTTGGAAGCGGCAATCAAGGATCGAGAGGTTGTAGATTGCGCACACGTACCTAGTGTCAATTGCGGGGTATCGTGCGATGCTCCTTGACCCATTATCGCGGTAACTCAGCGGCTTCAGTTCGGTGAGACATGGATGAGGGAGTAGTCGCGTCGCGATGCGAGTGGTTCGATGAACGATGACGGAATGCGGGCTATCTCCGATAACACCGAACGACTTATGGCTGGGCGCCATGCTTCGAGTGGCACCTCTCTACTTCACATGCACATGAACCTATCCACATTGCATACAATGTTCTATAGTCAGCCTTTTCCAATCAGGTCTGTGTCCACAGTTATTTTCTTTTCCAAAATATGAAGTTTGGTAGCGACTCGTCACATGGTCACCTCAATCGGTCTCAGCCGCGCTGTCGCCTTGTGTTGCCTTGAGGTTCTATTGGGTAGGTGCGACTCTGTGCATATCCGTAGTTAGGCATTACCCGTCGTTCTCATTTCCTGTGAGCCTTCTTGGAGCACAGCTTGGAAATTGTCAGTCTATTTCTTCGTCACTTCGCCATTCACTACGCATAAGGGCTATCAGCGTTCACCGGCCGCAGCACGTGCTTAAGGTGACTGCGCCTCAGCCTCACCTGACTTGGTCGTTCGTACACCACACTGAAACTAGGTATACACGCTTACACCACATTCCCTGGTCGCACTTATTGCCAGCGCTCAACCACCTCGCTGGGTCGTATTCACGATTAACGATCAGCACTAATGCAATAACATATCTCCAAGGCCTACATCATCGATCTAACTTTACGGAGCCTTGAGATAGCATCTTATTGCTAGTGCAAGAAGTGAGTCAAGCATGGAAACACGAGAGGAACCGATGGACGGCCCTAAGAAAGGACAAGCAAAGGGGCAGTTTTCTGCCTCTGAGCCCACCCACGATAACTCGGCTGCAACTGCCAGCGGGTCAGACTGGAGACCTGTCAAGGATGATGGAAGAGTCGCACACTACCAGGAAGAAACGCCAACGAACTACGTCACCCTTAATACTTTTGAGGACCTCACGGCTCACCTTAAGACGACGAAATGTCGCATCTGCAAGGAACCGTTCTTTACTTCGGAGCTTGACATTCGTCGTTTGTTCCAGGATTGGGCGGATGGCGCGGTAGATGAACTGTCCTGCAACGTTCGATGCAGTAACTGCAACACGCGCTCATGCATTGCATGCGAGCCAGAACCCTTCACAAGACCTTCTAGGATCGTGTCTCAATCTAGCAAACAATGCGTCTCGTGGTGCTGCGTTGGCGGTCGGTTATTTCTTATATGGGCACTCCTTTGTGGATTCGACCGGCACATCTGGGAATCTAGGGATGTCGGAAAGATTTCGAAGCAATCCAAGCTGGAGCCAAAGGCGCGTAAGACGGCTAGCAAGCCCACCCGCGGTGGTGCTGTAGGCCTAGGGGGTGGTCATGGAACTCCGGCGGGCCACATGCCTCGTGGTATGGGGTATGGAGGACATGGTTACGACATGCACGAAGAAACCGACTATGATTACGACACCGGTGAACTTGAGGAAGGCGACGACAGCGGCAACTTTGATGGTCCGGAGTTTGTGACAAGCGAAGCTAAGGGCTCCGAGCACAACTTAGGACACGTCTTGAACTCGAAAGAACCGGCGTCTCCAAAGCCCAAGAAGGAGACCAAGATTTCAAGAGCCCGAAAGACACAGATACGCGAAGATGTCTTCTGTGAAATGGTTCTGGGCTTCTTAACAGATCTGCTTCCGAGCCTCGAGCGAGAAACCTGCTTTGATTTCGATCCTCCTGAGGCTGTTCTGGAAATGCTCCGCAACAGCAAGATTCTTCAATACTGTGCAGAGTTACTCCGCAACGACTCATTGGCCGACATTATGAAGCGCAGAACTCTCTACCAGACTCTGTTCACCTTCTTGATGAACGTGGGGTCACATAGCGAAACGAGTGCGGCTCTCTTTGGCCCTCGTTTTGTGCGTCCCGAGATGGTAGATCTTCTCACATTATCGTTCTGCGCTGCTGCACCCGATTTGAGAGAAAGCGTTTCTGTTCTCGCAGAATGCCTACGTAATCTCACTACTCAGAGTGCTATGATCCTCCTGAGCGCTAAGAACAATGAGGAGGACTTCAACAATCAAGAAGGCCAGCAAATGCTGTGGATCTGTAGTAATATTTCAGCCCTTTCACAATTTATCAAGGATAACACCCCCGCAGAAGCTGGTGGCGAAAAGGGCAAGGAGGCTGCAGTAGTCCTTGAGGACCTTGCTATGGGAGAAGTGGAGGAGAACTTGATCAAACAGACTCATCATTATTACAAACAGGCGAAGAAACTTGACTTTTCCCGTCCGGGGAGGTTCAAGCGACTAGTTACGGAGATGACAACGCTGCAAACGGGCCTTCCGCCAGGTATCTTTGTACGCTATTGTGAGAACAGGCCAGACATTCTCAAGTGCGTCATCACTGGACCTGTTGGAACGCCGTATGAAAACGGCCTTTTTGAATTCGACTTCTTCTGTACCACGGATTTCCCCCATACTCCTCCACTAGTCAACTTCAAAGGAACAGCAGGCGGTCGTATATCCATCAATCCAAATCTCTACGCCGATGGCAAGGTCTGCTTGTCCCTTCTCGGTACATGGTCTGGTGAGCCCTGGAGTGCTAGCGAGTCAACGTTACTGCAAGTCTTGATATCGATACAGGCAATGATACTGTGTGAGGAGCCGTGGTACAACGAGCCAGGAAGAGAGGCCGGCTACACTCGCAGTCTCAATAGTCCTTCGGCATTGTACAACGAGAAGATTCGCGAGCATACTGTACGTACTGCGATTCTAGCTTGGCTCGACAAACCGCCGCCACTATGGGAGGACGTAGTCGATCATCACTTTAGGAAACATGGCAATGCCATCCTCAAGACAGTGGAAGAGTGGACCAAGAACAAGATGAGTGGTACGAAGAAGCCCCGCCCTGAAACCAATCCTATCGACGATGAACTATACGACTATGATGAGATCTTTGCTGTTGCCCGAGGCCGAACTGTCACTTCAGAAGATATGGGTACTATGCTGCCCAAGCTACACACTGCTTTGAAGGAGCAGTATGGGGCCACATTCGAAGTCACGTATGTGCCACCTGTAGAAAAGTCGACTCCACCGCCACCAACTTCAAGGAGACCAAAACCCTCGTCATCGTTGTGGCCGACAGCCGGATCTCTACAATTTGATGTTGGGCTGAGTGCCTCGGGAGCGCCGCTTCCAGGGTCCACACCGCCGGCATTGGCTCCACCATCATCACTCAGCCCGTCACTTGGTGTGGCTAGTTCGATAGAATCAGATCAGCATCAGCTTGCTGCCGCTGCCGCTGCTGGACGTGGTGGCTACACTCAAGGCATGGGCCGCGGAGCATTCTCGGATGGGGACTCCGTTCTCGGCTACACCCTATACAACTGGGATGGAGGCGTGGCGACGCCGAACACGCAGAGTGAATCTTCTATGGGAAACTCTTCCGGTGCTCCTAGGTATGACACCAGGTCGACTACCCGTGGGCGCGGCGAGTACGGTAGCAATTCGAGCGCCCGCGGGGGGCGGGGAGGTTCCCCCCTCGGTCCTTCACTGCTTTCATCTGGCGCCGACATCGATGTGGGTAGTGGTCGAGGTCGAGGTCATACAATGCTGGGTTATGGAGGCTTTGGTCGTGGTCATGGGCCTGGGGAGGGACATGCGCAGGGTGGTCAGGCGCCTTCATCTGCTCCCTTCTCTCCCCCAACTCCCGCCCACTTCGGTCGTGGACGAGGTGCAGCTCCTCCGGACGACTATTTGACCATGGGAGATACGATGCATGTGACTCGTGGTCGGGGCTTCACCAATGGTCGTGGCGGACGAGGCGGCCGCGGTGGACGCGGGCGGGGTAGAGGTCGTGGCGGTCGAGGAGAGGGCGGATCTTAGAGAGGAGCTGATGTGGAATGGCATGATTGCTACTTGAGATGAGGGGTTGTATCTGCCTATCAATAGGGTCGCAAGGCATAAGCCATAGCACTCTTCACATCACGTAGATGGGACCACTAGTAATCGGTAGTAAGCATGGTGCAATGTAGGTAGTAATTGATGCGTTCAGAAAGATATCGGCAGGCCTTGCACAACGGTGTGTGCTCATACCAACATACCCGGATACACACATCCATCCCATAGCAAAAGCACTATCCAAACACCGCAGCAGATGCACGCTGGAAAAACCCACGATTACAACATGACCAAGCCAATACCACCCATGTGGTCCTTGCTTGACTGGTTCCGGCCATCAATGCCACCCGGTATCGGCGCAGCACGGTAGTTGTACAGATAGTAGTGCAGCGAGCCGTCTCCGGCGCCGAAGCGTTGTTCCTCGAGGAACAGCGGGTTGTCAAGGAGTGTGAGAGCGTTGAAGACGTCAAAGTCGGCCTGGTCACAGCATGTCAGTAGAGGTTTGGGTTATCGGACAGCAACGAGGTGGAGTGCTTTACCTTCTTGGCCAAGATCAACGCGTCCTTCATCAACAGGTTCAGTCGCTGCTTGAGCTTCGTCTTGTCCTTGTCCTCCTTCTCAAACGCGACTTCTGTGCCATAGTAGAACAAGTACGCTGCCTTGATGGTGTTGTGCTTCTTGTTACCGATGACCGTACTCTCCAGGTTGTAGAAAGAGAAGTAGTCGGTGATCTTATGAGTGTCGGGATCCTCGACAACATAGCTCCATACAACCTGTTCCTTGGGCTTCTCCTTTGGCGCCATCCAGTGCTCGAACTCGGTCTTGTTGAAGACTTGTGCCATATCCATGCGCGCTAGGTATCGCTTAAGAAGATCGACAGCTGCGTCCACATCCTTGGCCTCCATCTCGCGGAGTCCAGGGGTAGCTGTGGTATCTGGGAGCTTGTATCGTACAATTTGACGTGTCTTGGTGCTACCATGGGGGAGAGGGGAGAAACCGACATCATATAGCTTCTCCCAGTCGATGGCGCGGTGGAAGTAGCGAGCTGTCGATACGGGAGTAGGTAGCAGAGACCCAACGGTATATACCGCTTGGAATGTGCCCTCGACGTAACAGCGGCGGGTGATCTCCTTGATGAGGACGGGTGCTAATCGCTTAGAGCGGAGCTTCTTGTGGACACAGAGGAAGTTGACTTCAGAGCAGTTGAGAACTTTGTCGCGTACTCGCATCTGTATTGGGATACCGGAGATGAATGCGACGAGCTTGCCTGAGGCGGTTGCGCGGACACCGACGTGCCATTCCTTCTTCCAGCCTGGTGCTTTCAGGGCCCTGCTTGCGTTAGCGGAAGTCGTCCATGGCAGCACGCGATTGCCTACCAGTTCAAGAATGATGGCGAGTATTTGAATCGGAAGGTCGCGTCCTTGTCTTCAACGTAGTGGTTTGTGAGTAGCTCATAGACCTCCTCGAGCTGCTTTTCGTCTTCCAGGTCCATCGTCACCCACTCAAAACCGGGGTACATGGGACTTGGGTTCTTGTCCACCTCGTCGATCTTGATCTCCTTGATGGGTCCGTCCTTGATCTTTTCCTTGTTGGCCATCTCCTCGAAGCTGGGCACGGGCTGCGTCTTCCAGAAGGCGTGACTGGCCATGTCCTTTTGGCTGCCTTGTGGCGCCAGACCTGTCAGCATCTCGTTGATGTTGAGCTTCTTGATCAATTGCGCCAGTTCCTCCTTGCTGTTTGCCTTGCCCTGCAACTCGTTCGCCAGGCCGGGATTGTTGGCGAGCAACATGTTCAGCGCTTCCTTTGGTAGGACGTTTCCTGCGGGCGCATTCAAGTCTGTGACGTCGCCGGCCTTGCCCTTGCCGCTGATGGCATCCTTCATCTTGCGCTTCCTGCTCTTCTTCTTCTTTTCTGACGCCCCCTCTGCGCCTTCTACTGTCTCGGTCGCGTCATCGCCGCTCTCGTCTGCCGATTCCGCTTCTGCCTGCTTGCTCGATTCGGCGACAACCTCGGCGGCCGCTTGCGACGTCGCGTCCGGGTCTGACACCTTTGAGTTTTCCTGAGGCATAGTGGAGAGGTATAGGTGGTGTCGGCGGTTATGCGGCGAGGTGTGGCTGTTGAGTGTTGACTGCCAGCTCAGGAACAGGTAATTGAGAGCACTGCGAGCTGCTTGAGTGGGGCACATGGAGGGGCTGTCGCGTCGCACTTGCCCTGCACCCTCATCATCACCACAACCTCATTTGCATTCTGCTGAGAGGCGCAGACGTCAATTTACACTTGGAGAAACATGTAGTTCAAAGTCTGATTCCACAAAGCAAAAAGGACAAGTAATTGGGTATCTTTCCAGCCAAACTCCAAAACACCCCTCGAGCATCCAGTTACATCTGAAAAGCAACATACGCCAAACTCGTAAAAACTCAAAAGGTATCATACAGAAGAAAGGTAGATCAATAGATCTGGGAAACATCGTGCAGAACAAACTCAAAAGATACCATCGCATCCAAAATCTTCAACACCGACTCCACCTCTTTCCCCCCTTGCGCTATTCCACTCAAGCACCCCTGCTTGCACCCACCCTCCCAGCCTCCGTCACTTGCTTCTCACTTTTCATCCCACAAAGCACCACGCACCTATCCGACCACCGAACACAGATAAAACGTGAACAAGTCTACCCTCAAACCCCTCAATCCTTCAGAACGGGACTTTTCAGTCGCTCAGGCACCGCGGACGGACTATACCTGCTGCATGGGATTGGTGAGAAGCTGTTTGAAAGACATTTGTGTGCACTACAACTACACTGTCTCGGCTTCAGTAAAGGGTTGGGCTAGGCTTGTCTATGTTCAATCATGGTTCAAGTGGAAGGGGAAGGGGTAGTGGTGAGATGGTCCGCGAGAATCGGTGATGGATGATGGTAACAGTAGGTATTTTTTGGAGTGTTCGAGTGGCGTTGGCGCGCGGTGGGAATTCCGTCTTGTTGATGCTGTTCCTCTCTTCTCCGTCTGTATCTTTAGTTGGAGTGTTCACATTTCTACCAGTGCCTAGGCAAAGTTCCTTGTGAGCGGGAGGTAGATCGACCGGGGCGCAGGCTCATCAGTCAGGAATGGATCAGCCGTCCACTCGCTCATCCTTGGGAACGAAGCCGCTTTGTGCTGACGAAGTGGCGAAGCACCAAACTGCATTCCAGCGACGAACTTGACGATCTCGTCCCGTTCGAAAGGAACAAACTTGGCTTCCATAGCCGCGGCGACATCATCAACCTTGGGTCCCCATATATCCAAAGTGCGGACGTTGACCTGGGCGCACTTGGCGAGGATGCTGAGGGAACTGCGGTAATCCTTGTAAACAGTCATGTTACCTCGATCGAGGACCTGAAGAAACTCTGGGCTCCGGATGGTTTGGCTGACGGCGCTGTAGAATGCGATGACGTCTTCGGTATGTGAGCGTGACGCATCTTTGTCTTCCAAGGCTGCTTGATATGCAAGAAGCAGCATAGCGGTCTGGGTCCAGTCGTAGGTCGCTGTTTTGCAATAAGCCTCGTGGACTTTGTTTCCATAGGCCTCCGCCTCGTCTTTCGTCAAATCGTCAGGTAGTGGTGTGTTCAAATAACGGAGGCAAGAACGATTGAGGGCGGCTTTGCCCATTGCGAGCACGACCCAAACCATACCGAGAAATGTCTTGAGAAGCTCCAAGGCCACGGAGCAGATGGTACAAACGCCCTTCAAAAAGGTCACATAGCCTGCTTTCCAGATTTTCCAAGAGACATCTTCATTTTCAAGGCCGAAACAAACTTGCGCCGTGACTCGCAAAGCGTCCAGCGTGTGTGGTATGATTTGCTTCCATGATCGGATACGGAGCTTGATCACGACAATGATCAAGTTCCAAAAGAAGAATAGGAGGTCTGTCCCGATGGCCTTGAATATCTGGGACCAGGTCACCGGGTTTGGGTAAGTATCGTAAAGGTCCGGGAAAAGACATTCTCCGATGGTGATTACGGATATATGTCGTTCAAATATCTTGTCGATGTGACGCTTGCTTGTTCGGCCTTCGTACCAGTCGTGTGCTTGTCTAGTGAACCACTGTCCTACACCATTCACGACCGTCTTGACAAACCTCCAACAAAGGAGAGGGATGCTCTTAACGGGTGGTAGTTGCGTGTGAACGATGAGAATAAGTGGGTACGACAGGAAGGTACTGAAGATTCTTGGCCATACGATGTATCCTTCTGACCATCTGAACCAGTAGTCGGTGAGCAAACAAAACCAACCCAGGAGCAAACCTGCATATCCAATGCGGCATCCAGTGTGCTGGAAGGAAGCATTAATAACTGGGAGGACCTGGCCGAGGCTCCGCATGGCGCGGCCTTTGCCCATGGCGAAGACAGTGGCCCACCAAGCCATGATGGTGACAGCAAAGATGGTGGCGAGGAATACAACGAAGTCAAGCTTGGAGTAATGGGGTACTACCATCGCGTGCGCAGTGGACACGCGATTCTGAGCGCTGTAGCGGGACTCACTGTGGTCAGGCGAGGAGGACTTGTAGGGATTGAGCCTAGGACGACTAGACTTAGGGACGGGAGTGGAGGAGATAGTGGGAATAGCGTGAGTGATGGCAGTGGCGGGGATACCGACTGTCTCGGTGACAGTGACAGTTGGCAAGATGAAAGGCGCTTCGAGCACTAGATGAGTGACGACGACAGCCTCGATGTTGGAGGTAGGAACCGTGGATTTGAACCACGGAACCACACCGAACAAGGCGGGTAAGACTTTGAACGCCCACATAGTGTTGACGGTTGTCGCGATGCACTATCAGGGCGAATGGAACGGCGAGAGCCGAATTGGCGAAGTGGATGGACTTGTCGCAGTTGCAAAGTAAAGAGGTGTAAGATAGACAGACCCAGTGGCGATTGATTGAGTGTGATGTGTTGTCGATGTGTGTGATTCTGTCAGTCGCTGTGCGTGGAAGGAGGATCGCAGAGTTAGAGGGGCGTGGATTTAATGTGTAGACGCGACAGTTTAGCGCGATTAGGTCTGCAGCGTGACCAATTTTTGGACCCTTTTTGGATCGTGAAGGTGGGAGGTGGGGGACCTTAAGCGGGAGTGCAAGGTTCTGATGGGTAGAGCGTCGGCAGGCTCCATGTTGGGGAGGTTTGGGTTGAGGTGAAAGGGGAAAGTCGCGGAAGGCCGACGAAGAGATATCAGGGGAACACGACAACACCTAATAGCGACCATAGTATAGCGGAGAGAGCATCAGCACACTTACCGCGATTTAGCTGTACATCAGCGATGGAAATCGGAGCCTGATACGTTGTTGGTATCTTACATAGGTCTGCGGTCGTTACCCGTATTTATCAGTCACCCAGCATCTTCACTGTTCACATGTATCAAGACGCCTGGAGGCTTGGACTAGCTTTGTAGTTTTGTCACATCAATCTAAGTGCTATGGTATTTGTGCTATGCTACTCACTATCCTTTTCGCTAATAGATCAAGACTGCCGTTTATATCCAACTCCACCATCGGGTATTTTCCACCAACCATAACAAAACAAACATTAGATCCAGTCCATCGGTCATGACAATGCGTCCACGGGACGGGTATAAGAGGAAAACATTGTGTTAATGATAGTGAACGAAAGGAAAAAGAGACACGCCAGCGCTGTGCTGATCCACGGGCACACACCAGCCCTTTGATATCGTACAAAGATATTGAACAAGATCTGAATGTAATGAAAACGGAGATACTACCTGGTTTGATGAAAAATGTAAAAAGGGTATCGCTATGCTGGGAAAGGCAAAATTCCAAATCTAACCGATGTCGCGAAACGATAGATGATGCTTAAGAGGATGAAGGCGGCGCACGTATCGTGGTGCCGTTCTGAAACTTGATCGTGAAGTTGACAAGGTCCAAATCGAAAGGACCAACATCAACACTACCACCGTCTGCATTCCCGTTGCGATCGTTTGTGAGCAGTGTTTGAATTGACTCCTGTGCGTTCGCGGCAACGTCCAGGTCCTTGCTTTCCTGGAGCGCAAGGAGTACAGCTACACGAGCAAAGTCGAGAGCACTGATGTTGCTTGAGATAGGTTGTGTTATGATGGTTTCAGCTTTGGATGTGCTCTCGTCACTCGAAGCCCCAGCTTGGCTAACCTGGCCCACGGTCTGGCGCTTGGCTTGTTGACCAGGAGCTTGCGCAGGATGGGGATGGTGAAGTACTGGTAATGTACGTGACGGGTGGAGCGTAGACTTCAGATCCATCGAGTGGAGACGATGCGGAACAGAACGAGAGGCAAGCCCATTGAATGTGATGAGGGCATTTTCGGCAGCGCAACTCAGAGACAGTTGAGAGAACAGCGCCAGCACGCGTGTGCCGTCCAAAGGGATATTGAACTTGGGAGCGGTGGCCTCAAGAAGGCGAGGAATGCCGGAGCCCATGGTCGCGTTGTTAGCAGTGCCGGCAAGGTTAGTTGTGGTGCACCCGGTCGCATCATCGTTCGTGCATGTACTTCCCGTGAAGCCATTGATGCATACGCAATTGCATGATCGGTCAGAATTCAGGATCGCGATACCGCCATTCTGACAGGTGATGAGACCGTTGCATTGCTCGTTGCCTTGGCCCGGACCAGACGTGGGAAGTGGTTGAGCAGGAGAGTTGGTGTTGCTCATGTTGTTGTTGCCTCCGGTGTTGGGGCCTTGGGTTTCTTGAGCGGCAGGAGTGTTGTTGACTCCTTTGTTCATGTTTGGTATGACGACTAGGACTACTGGGATGACGACTGCAGCAGCGATGATAACCAGTAAGACTATCAGGAGCGTAATGAATGTCCATAACGGCATACCACAGCATCGTCGGCGAGGCTTTTGTTTTTCGTTACTCAATCCAGAGTCTGTGACACCATTGCGCGAATAGCCACCTGATGGCCATTTGGATAGACTGCCGTTCCCAAAGTTTGGAGTACCACGGCCCGAACGGTTGGGTGTTTCTTGGCCAGGCGGCGGAAATGCAGCAAGCATCTCAGACAATCCGGATTGTCGGACTTGGTTCCTATCGGGAGCGCCGGTTTCCCAGAAGTCTAGACCAAGTCGACTCGCTGTGCGTCCCCGATCGAGATTTGCTGCTAGTCGTGTGGCTCTTCGGATGAGATCTGGCAAGCTTGTCAAGCTACCGCGCGCCTCGGCGTCCCGGACCGCATCCATATCGAGCCTTGCAGGCCTTCGCATACCAGCACGCTCGGCTAGTCCAGTCGGACGTAATTCCTGTTGGAGTGGTGACGCTGTTCCTGTGTAGTTTTTGCCTTTGAACATCTCCATAGTGTCCACAGAGTCTGCAGAGACGCCTCTGCTGAGAGGTGACCTCGGCATGCCTGACGGACTACCATCCCTTGCGAGAGCTGCAGCTCCTAGCCCCATGGCCCCTAAACCGATACCAACGCCATCTTTCTTTGCATCCGCTCCGTTCTTCTTGTTTCCAAAGCTGTCAATTGACTTGATGGTCATCAGCGATGGCTTAGTCCGCCTGCCCAAGCTCGCTTGCCTTACGAGTGCCGGTGATTGCTGAACGAGGCCGCTTCGGTCGTCGTGATCGGTCGGAGTCGGTGAGATGGTGCCGCGATCGCTGGTGATAGTCTCACCATCGTCCGAGTATAGGTCGTCATCAGGGTAAAAGGCCTTGTCGTCTGTGGGAAACACGTTGCTAGAGGCAAAGGATCCACGTTGTGATTGTATTCTCGAAGAGTTGTTCTCCGACTCCTCAACGATGGGTGATACATACGACATCTGTGTATAGTACGACGACGGACCTCTTCGGGAGGAAGGCGGCGGGCCTAGACTCGGAAATCGTCGGGCTTGTTGTATACTTGGCATAGGTGGTTGAGGCACAGGAAAGTCGGGTATGGATCCTATTGAAGAGTCCGAGGCTATAGATGAAGTAGTTATTGGGCGCGAGGAATGGAAAGAGCCAGGAGAGAAGGTATCGCCATTGGGATGTAGGTATCCCGGGGAGGCTGGTGAAGGGAGTTCAGGGGACAGCTGTTGGATGGGAAACTCGTCGGACACAGGTCGTGCAAACTGTGGCGGTGGTTGTAGTCTTTTTGGAGAGCGCGGTGGGATATCAGGACTGGAGTCTACCAATTCCTTGGTGATGTTCGGCAGTGGCCATTGTGGTGACGGCGAGTCTGCCTCAACATCATCTCTGCTTCCCGAGGGCGCAAGTCTTTGTGGTTTCTCGACTTGCTCTTGAGACCGCTGCGAAACAAGTTGGTTCGGTCGTCGAGGAAGACCTATTATCTTCGATGTGTCTGGGAGCTGGGTCTTCTTCTGTGCAGCCTGCATCCTCTCACGGGCCGCCCGTACTGAGCCCTTCTTCGCGTCTCCATCGTTGCTCGCATCTGTTGCACCGTATACTCCGGCGCCCAGTCTCTGGTCGTAACTCATGAATTAGATTTCGGAATGTTGACGGTAGATGTGCCACTTGACACAGGTTTGATGATGGAAGGGTATCGTGCGACGTAAGGTTCACGCCCTCGATGCGCGAAGCTGTTGATGTTGACGAGTATGCTCCAGGCAGCCTGCGGAGTGTGAGAGCGTTGACTGTGGGTCCGACTGTGCAACTACTGACGCATATGCACTTGTTGCAACACAGCTGATGGCCAATGCGAACATGTATGAAAGGCAGGCCTTGAAGTGCTCAAATCCCGGAAAGCTGGTCCAGGTACCTGAAGCAGATTGCAGGCACAGAAGTGAGTGGAGGATAGACACCAGGAACAGGACAGAATGATTTGGTACGCGTCGGTAGACAGCGGAAAGCAGCGATTCCTTGCGTGAGAGAAGCCCGATTGCCTCAGGTTTCAGGGAGTCAGGAACCAGGAGGTGAGTGATACGGCGTATCAGATGATGAGTGGCCTACAATCTCACAGATCAGAATGAGTGCCTCGCATGATCGGTGGTGCTCAAGTGGGACAACAAGGGCTCTCCCAACGAAGAGTCTACAGTAATGCAGAGTAGAACCGGACTGCTATAGTCCAAGAGCCTATGCAGCCCAGCAACAACAAGCCAAATACGACAAGAGCAGACGCAGAAGGGAGGCAGAGGGGAAGGTGTGACGTTGCCTGTTGCAGCACCGTGACGGTGATCCCAATGGGGTTTCAAAGGAAATCCATGTACGTACAGTAAGAGGTTCTCGGCCAAGTCAGACGAGGGTTGTCGGAAAGACGGGTTATCGATAGGAAGCGATGCTGGATGAATGGAGGCGGTTGAATTGATTGACAGCCGTTGGCCAAGTATATGGAATATTTACAGCGAGTAAATGCGGGGACTAAGCTACGCGGAGGTACCGAAAGTAATAAAAGAAAGTATGATAGTTAGAATGCGGCAAATCGACGTCGCTGGAGGAGCTTCGAGCTCGCGATATGGACTCAGGCCAGGATGAAATGGGAACAGTGAGGATGAGCAGAAGGCAGTCGAGGCAGCGACCACATGTCTCGCAAATACAGAGACTTTGGAGTGGCAGGCAGGGCAGATTGTGGAACACGCAAGGTTGGCATGGTTCAGAGTTTAGAAGCACAGACTAGAAGGTGTAGTGCAGGAAGCGAAGACGCCACGACATGCGCGGTCGACTCAGGGGCCTCGTACTGGTCACTTTTTAGTGAAAGCAGCATGGTGCGACAGTCGCGGGCAGCGCACACACTCCCGCCCCAGCACGAGGTGAGGAGAAGGTCCCGAGGATGCGCCCAACGTGCGACGGTGCGAGAGCGTGCGCCTTTTCGAAAACGTCCGCTGCAATGGTGATGATGACTGCAATTATGTTATCAAGGTCGCGCCCGGCGCAGGTGAGCTATTCGTGGCTGTCAGCAATCTGAGATGGTCCGGCGACGTTGAAGGATGCTTCAGATGCATGCGGCCCTGGTGTGTTTTACATAGCATCACCTTGCGTAGACGAGGCGGGCCCACGAGTCGGTCTCGAGTGTCGTCCCGGCCAAGACAGCCCATTTTAGAATTCGCGTCCTGTTCCTGCATGCATAACGCCTCATTGGGTCCAGACAATACTTCCATAGCGACTCCTACATAGGGTAGCTGCAGGAGCGCGAACCGTCGTCCTTGGGGAGGTTTTTTCAGCAGCGCGCACACACTGTCCAGACAATGCCGTCACAACCCATGTGATCGGAGAGAGGGCCGAGCCTGTAGATTGGATCAAGGGCCAAGATCGATGTCTCTTTTTGTGAGACTCAGCGAATGAGCGCAGGATTGAGATTAAATGACATACAGAACCGCAGTGTCCGTGAGGGCGGGATCAGAGTGGACAGAGCGGTGCCCGCTGGCTTGCAATCAACGTGAGGCGCCCCTAGATAGCGATCGACAAGCGAGATCCAGCGGCCTTGGTGTGCCGATTACGCCGTCCCGCGTATCGTGGTACTGAACCTGAACCTTGAAGAAATTCGTGGAGTATCGTAAGGCTGACTTTATCCAGCAATTACCGTTAAAGTTTTTACAAAGTTTGGTACTTGGCCGTTGGGCAGGCACGCGGCTCGTCTCAACACGTGAAGCCAGCCTGCCGGAGATGATGAGCAAAAAAAGAAACATCCCGCAAACGCCTCTTATCGACTTGATTCGAGCGAGGTGCTCTGTGCATACGGAATCGCGGTCATCGCTACCAGATACTGCGAAGACCCTCTGTAGCCTCCACCTGTACCTGCGTCCTCCCGAGGTGCCTGTTCTGCATGCGTCATCCTCTCGCGACTCGCGACTCCACTAGCAGTCAATGTGTTCTGACTATTGAATCCTCCGGAAAAATGATCACACCCCACACATGTGCGATTCATTGTTGTCGTAGTTGTGTCTGCAATCTTGCTATGCGCTTGTGCTACAACAACATGGTGGGGAAGCAACTACTAGTGCACAGTTGACAGGCATGACGGGTGACTGCAGCAAATGGGAGCGTTGGTGTAGCTCCTGCACGTCTCCCATAAAAACGCCAGCCACAAGGTCGTGTACTACTGCTGAAGCCATCCTCGAGTCATCTTTGTGCAACCTCTCGGACCCACGCGGAATCTGGACTCAAGCATGCCGAGACGTCTCGAATAGCCATGAGAGACAATAGGGAAACCGCGCAGCCGATCAATATGGCCTCTCCTCAGCAAGTTCGTGGAGGGTTGATGAGTCGGACATCGTTTACTTGTTACTTAACTATATTGTAGGGGATTGTCAAAGGACGCAGTTCCACAACCCGCGATCCTGTCACACCTAGTCCGGGCTCCATACGTCTGCTCCTGCATGTCGACAGCGTGAAGGGCTCTCCAGATGGTGGCATAGCTCTTGAACCGTCAGATGGCGCACACACCAGTTTGACTACAAACAACATCTTCACCGACCATGGTTTTGCACAGCCAATACGGGTTGCCCCAAAGCTACTAGGGCCAGATGACTTTCTGAATTCGCCTACCAAACAGGCAAACATTCGGGTCCGGCGAGCGAACAATGGTTCAACACTGCTGCAATCCCCAGCTCGTGCGGAACATGCTGCACGGATGAGACAGATCTTCGAGGACGCCAGTCGTGACCGCATATCGCCTCAGAGTGGGCAGAGTGTATTATACCCCCAATTGCCAAATATCTCAAGGAAAGCGTCACCAACAAGGGAGTACGACGGAGATGAACGACACTGTACTCTCACATCATCTCCGAAACGTCCTTCGGAGTCTTTGTGCTTATCGACAAGCTCATCTCGGATAGTACAACATAAGCTACAGCTAAAGAGCCCTCATATATCCGAGCAGAGTTCAGAGTCGTGGTCCGATGACTCAGGTTACTTCATTGCGGGCTCTCGAAGCCGCACTTTCAGTCTCACTGGCCCGCCTAGGGACCGAATCAACGACTGGCTAACAAACGTAGCTGAAAGCGAATGGAATACACCCACTGTGAAAGATGAGATGGAATGCCAGTCCAGCAGTTTCTTATCACTACTACCACCACCCCCTAAACTCACTGACATCGATCTCCTCCATAAGAGTGCCGAACAGTTGCCCACTCCAATCTGCGACGCAACTATACAAGACCCGTTCCTTGATTTCGACACTAATCCACGTACCCCCTCACTATTCAAGTCTCTTCCCGCACGGCGGTTTCCTAACACATCTTCGTCCAAACCTCTCACAACTCAAACTCAAGCTCAGTCTACGGAAACCGTCACTGTCCGCTCCCGCAACTCCCCAGCAAGACAGTCAATCATCGAAGACGGCGGCGTCCAACTCAGCCTTCTTAGTCCCAACGTGTGCATCGAACGCGGTCCCACGCGCTATCATTCTGCGCGTACATCACCAATAAAGGAAAGGCGAGTCAGGCGGTACAACGAGAATAGGAATGAGGATGGCGGCATCGAGCTGGCACAGACAGAGGCAGGAGTACAGGACAGTCCGCTTGCGCCATGCAAGATCGGTGCCGGGACTAGGTTCCAACATCCTAGACATGGTGTACGAGGTTTTGGGGGGGTTGGTCGATATCTGGAGCAGTAAGGAGTTCCAGACGGCGATTTTCCAGTAAGTTCTGAATAATGGCAGAAGGGTGTTGAGGACTAGGAGGAATCAATACTGGTGCAGGCATCGCTTTTACATTTCGCCAGAGAAAATCATCAACGCTGCAGAAGAGTTGGATAACATAATAGAATAGAGTGGAGCATATGAACTAGCATTCGTCCTTTTGTTCCACCAGCAGTGAATCCTCCTCCGACTTCTCATGAGTCTTGGTGCTCCGTCTCCTCTGCTTTCTTCTCAAGCTTATCATCCCTAACTACTCTACAGATCTGAATCTTCGTCTTTCCGGATCTCAAGACTAGTGCCTCCCAGTCCACAAGATAGTGGTTGGGATCCACATCTTTCTCCGGCTTGATTCTTGACCACTTCAGCGCAGTGGGATTTTCAGACGGGCCAGAGTTCGGTACTACAACGTAGGCGCCATTGTTTGCAATCATGCGGTTGGCTTCAGACTTGGAGCTCGCAAGACCGGCGGCGTGGAGGATTTGTGGGAAGGAACCTGGTTGAAGCATCGAAAGAGGCAGCGTGACGATGTTGTCATTGACGTGTTTTTGTTGTTCTGATGTAGTGTCGGGTACCAATTGCGTGGTTGAAGAGGCGGCATAGGCCTTCTTGTACTCGAACAATTCGAACAACTCTTTATCCATCTTCCCCATGCCTTCCTTTGCTGCAACAACCGTACCTTTGTGCTCGGCAATCGAGTTTCTCAGCAAGAGTAACGAAAAGGTGTGGGCGCCCTGACCGAAGGCGTCCTTGTGTGCGGTAATGGCCTGCTGTGCTGCCCAGGCTCCGTGTGCCAGCTCGACGATCTCGCGGGCGAGAATGTGTTGGGCGAGGCGTTTTGAGGGATCTTGGGCTTGCCGCGCCATTAGGAGGGCGATGGAGTCAAGAGGGAGGAAGGTGAAGAGTTTGAGGTAGCGTTCTACGTCTGCATCGGCGGTGCGGAGGAAGTACTGTGTCAGTCTGTCAGTAGTAGATCTCTAGTAAAGTGCGAAAAGCATACTTGGTACAAGTCGAACGAGTTCAGCATTTGACCATCAAGCCAGACTGCGTTGCCCGCGCTCTTGCCGAACTTCTCGCCCGACGCGGTGGTAAGCAGTGGTGTAGTGAGACCATAGGTTGCAGCCCGTGGGTCTTCTTCACCTTCTGCACCGTCTTCCATGGGATATATCTTCCGCATATGGCTGACGGCGCCCATGCCCGCAATGATGTTTCCGTACTGGTCAGATCCGCCGATTTGGAGTTGAACGCCCCGGTTTCGGTACATGCTCCACCAGTCGTAGGCTTGGAAGAGAGGGTAGCTGAATTCAGATATGGCCATGCCTTCGCCGCTCTCCATTCGTAGCTTAACTCTGCAAGTGTGTAAGAAGAGGAAGCCTACGCAAGGTTTGGAGGACTTACGAGTCGCGACCAAGCATGGCACCCAGGCGCATGCCAGACCCAAGATCCCTCATCAATTCTATCGCACTCAGGTTCTGCAACCATTTCTTGTTGTTGAGGATATCTCGTTTTCGACTGACGAACTGCGGGTACTGGTGCTTAATCCCTAAGCATTTCACGTTGGTCCACAGCTTCTCAAGCTGGTGTTGTATGCTCTTCACGTTCATGGACTGCACATCTTCGCCCTGCCGCGAGCGAGCTGTTGTCCTGCCAGATGGGTCGCCAATTTGCACTGTGCCTCCACCTAACTATCCATGATTAACTCCCGCTTTGTGTATACCGAATCGTGGGCGGCTCACCAAGCTGACGGTGTAGTAGCCATGAAGGTACATCCAATAAAGCGCCATGAGGGGAAGAAGGTGTCCGACGTGTAACGAGGGGGCTGTTGGGTCTACGCCAACATACACGCCTATGCGCTTCTCGGTGAGTAGCCAGTCAAGCGTTTGGCGTCCACTGCCAATGTTCAGTATGATTGAGATTAATGTCTGGCATCGTGCTCACCCAGCGACGTCCTTTACAAATCCTCGCTCTTCAAGTATACTCAGCATACTTTGCTGCATGCCTGATCGCACCTTCCCCGCCTGGTCCTCCCACTGCGCCTGTCTCGCTGCTGCATCTGGTTCTTCGGCAGCCCATCTCTTTTCCGGCCGCTCACCGCGCGCGAGGCTATGCTGCTGTCGTGTACATTGCCGACAAACAAATTGCCGGGGCCTTGACAGGTGTCTCAAGGCTGACATGGCTGCCAACTGAGCGGCATGGAAACTTTGGCCCGTGTCAAAATGTCCCAGATGCCAAGATGGGACCCCGATGACGCCGATTGGCTGGTTTTGAGCTCACCTCGCAGCTACCCCGACCTCCGTGTCGCTTCCGCACACGTCACCTGCACCTCCCTCGGGCATCCTAGTGCTTGCATATGCATCATTGTGCTTCTTATACTTTAGCTGTTGGGTCAATACAAGATCAATACACCCTTCTCCTTCATCTTGTCCATTGTGTCTTTGCTTGTGTTGCTCTCAATCCATTATCCTGACCATCCAGTTCGCCACTGACATCCAACCTTGACCGCTAACATGTACGCTGCACTAAGCTGCCATCCTCCGTTGGGACAGACGACTACTATTTCCTCTGATCGAGAATCCGTCAGATTCACTGTAGTCATTGAGAGCTCCGCCGGCTCAGCAAAGACATGGGAGGTTGCTCTGTGGCACAACTTTGATACTCTGGACCAATGGACAAGCACCAGTTTGCAGTCGAGTAACGAGGCATCAGTGGTCAGCATCAGTCATACAGTATGGACGCGTCGGGAAACTAACTGCTCAAAGACAGCCGTCAGGCCCGATAAAGCAGATGTACAACGTCAGTACTATACAATCGACTTGCCTGGACGTCCAAAGCACGGGTCTTCTCTGTCGTACACCATCACCTTCAGAGCTTCAGAGGTAAGTGCTAGACGCCGTACTTATAATGGGCTTCAATTTGTTCCAGTCTCTTAGTTTCTTGTCATTGGGTCGATGGTCGCAGACGGGCGCGTGAACCCCTCCACTGACATGCGCAGAACGAGCCCTGGAAATGGGCCAATGAACAGTTCTCAACTTCAGACGGTCGCATCATATACCAGTCGCCAGATCCGCTAAAAGAAGACTTGACATATTACCTTGAAGGTCTTCCACCATTTCTCAACATTTCCAAAGAACAGAGCGATACGCCCAATACGGTCCTATGGGACCTGACCTACCCCGTGAGCGCAGCGTCAGGCAAGACATCCGGTCACTCGAGCGAAAGGCTTGGCAAGCCGACAAATCTTTCACGTTGGTTCGCTGAAGTCCGATTATGGGCTCCATGGCTCGCTCCGAGACAGGGCAAGGACCGATTCCAGCCGGACAAGGATGCTATGTTGGCAGCATTCGAGCGCCATGACGGCTCTCATCTGGTTCTTCTCGCAGTGAGTGGATTAGACGAGGTACTAACACTTCTCAATCACGATAGTGACGGCAGAGTCGTCATGAACGCCAAGAATGACAGCGAAAAAGATGGCACTGTACGCATCGTTGCTGCAGTAGGCAGAAAGTTGGACGACGCAGTAGCAGCCTCCATGTACTATGCTCGCAAGCTCGTAATGGCATATGAAGCATCGACGGGTCAAACCAATGAAGAAGAGAAGGCTTTGGTTGACGACTTCAAACCGCAATGGCTAGAGAACTGGTACGACGGCTTGACGTACTGCACCTGGAACGGTCTTGGCCAAAAGCTCACCGAAGATAAGGTTTTCGATGCCTTGGAGTCACTTCGCAAGAACGAGATCAATATCAGTAATCTGATTATAGACGACAATTGGCAGTCACTCAACACTGAAGGCGGGGACCAGTTTAACAACGCTTGGATGGAGTTTGAAGCAACCAAAACTGGGTTTCCCCGTGGTCTGAAAGCAACAGTGAGCGATATCCGAGAGAAGTATAGTCATATCCGACACATCGCTGTCTGGCACGCAATCTTTGGATATTGGGGCGGTATAGCTCCCGAGGGGAAGATAGCCAAAGACTACAAGACCACCAAGGTACAACTGAAAGACGGTGTTTCCGGCGGAAAAATCACCGTCGTAGCTGAGGAAGATGTGGACCGTTTCTACAAGGACTTCTACGAGTTCTTGTCCTCGTGCGGTATCGATTCCGTGAAAACTGACGCGCAATTCTTCCTCGATGAACTCCACGATGCAGACGACCGCCGCAAACTAATGAAGTCTTATCAGGACGCCTGGTCCATCGCCCAACTGCGCTCCTTTTCCGCCCGCGCAATATCCTGCATGTCACAAGCACCCCCTCTAATCTTTCACTCCCAACTTCCCTCCAACAAACCACGCATGCTACTTCGCAACTCGGACGACTTCTTCCCCGAAGTGCCCGCCAGCCACCCCTGGCACATATTCTGCAACGCCCACAACTCCATCATAACACAATACCTCAACATCCTCCCAGACTGGGACATGTTCCAAACAAGCCATGACTATGCTGCCTTCCATGCCGCTGCGCGTTGCGTATCGGGCGGACCAATTTACATTACCGACGTGCCCGGCCAACACGACATCGACCTCATCCACCAGATGACAGGAAAGACGCCCCGAGGCGACACTGTCATTCTACGTCCCCACACCGTAGGCAAGACAACACAAGCCTACAACGCCTATGATGATACGGTCCTCCTCAAAGTAACGACCTACGTCGGCATGGCACACACTGGCGTCTCAATCCTCGGTGTCTTCAACTGCACGCCCAAGCCAGTCTCTGAACTCATTGCTCTGGACGCTTTCCCTGGTGCAGAAAAGGGTACGTACATCATTCGTTCGCATACTGACGGTCAGGTTACGGAACCGACCAGTGTGGCGACGAACAAGGCCTTTGTACACCTTGATTTGCCAATTAGGGGCTGGGAGATTCTCTCTGCGTATCCATTATTGAATGTCGAACTTAAGAGGGGAGAAGATAGTGAGGCGAAAGGTCCAAGTAAGATTAGCGTGGCGAATCTGGGTATTGTGGGGAAGATGACGGGTGCGGCAGCGATTATTAGTGCAGATGCGTATGTGGATAGGAACTCGGGAAGACTGAGGGTTTGGACGAGTTGTAAGGTTTTGGGCACTTTCGGTGAGTTTCTATTCTTTATTTCCCTCCCTCTCTCTCTCTTCGCTATTGACATCCTGGCTAACAACACACAGCACTTTACGTCTCGGATTTGCCCAAGCGCTCGATTGAGAATGACTTCTTCGCTGTGCTCTTCGGCCGCCCTGTCCCAGCCCACTGCGTCAGTGTTAGCAAGGAATGCGAGAATGTGATTGAAATTGATACCGTTCGAGCGTGGAAAGAAACTGATTCAAAGGCTGGATGGAGCAACGAGGTTGTCGTTGAAGTTGTTATTCGATGAACATACGCTGGTTATGGAAAGAAAATATGAAGAGGCTGAATAGTATGGAAAGAAGTCATCTCAAGCAAACACGAATAGCGTAGCGCAAAATCGCAATATAGAAGACAGAATCTTGCACTTTCAGGTATCTTGGATATGCATCAAACCCGCCGCAACGCCTTTGAACTATTGTGCTCAAAAAGTAGTACCAAAAGCTATGCACTTTTCCTCCTTGCCATCCCGTCTTGCAAAGAAAGGCGTCAGATCGTACATGGGCATTTTATGTCGTCTCCCAGAGTGTACCCAGTCCCTAACAGCGAGATAACGGTACGTTCATCATAACTTGACGCCCCAAACTCCACGTCCGCCGGCGACACCAACCCACTCGCCCCCTTGCCCTGTCAATGCGCTCTGAGGTGCCCAGCTAATGTTGCCGACTTCGTAGTCGCACCTCCAGCTGGCATAAGGTCCTTTCTGACCCACGGGTACATTCTGCGCACCTGCAGCCCCATTGGCGGAATGTGTAGTCGCTGGCTGTACGACTGGAGGCTGTGCTGAAGCATGTTCTCCGCTGATAGTCGCGCCATTGTTTGCATGAAGCAGATCCCATATGAGAACCAGTGAGTCGTCACCGCCAGATGCGAGCATGCCTCTTCGTGACGGGTTCCACTCTATGCTGTTGACAGATGCAGAATGGCCGCGAAGTTCGAGGAGGGCCTGGCCCGGTTGTCGCACATCGAGGATGCGGATGAGGTTTGAGTCGGCGGCGAAGGTAGCGAGGAGATGGGAGTCATGTGGTGATGCGGCGAGCCGGAGGAGCGGAGGCGCGTACGACATGGTCTGTTGGGCTTTGGTCGGAGACATGCGACCTGTTGGCGAGCCTGTACTCTGTTAGTGATTGACGTGGAAAGTAAATACACCAAGACTCACCCTTGTCTTTGTCATTGCCCTTGTCTGAGGGCTCGTAGATGATGGTGCTGTGCTCGAGACTGCGGAGATCGAACATGCGAACACTACCGTCGGCTCCACAACTGACAAAGACATCAACGCTCCCTGCGCAGAAGCGTACATCGAAGACCTCTTTGTCGTGGGCAATCAATTGTGTCTTGGCGGTGAGGGAGGGTATGTCCCAAATGGTACAGGTCGTGTCTATGCTTGAGGTGATGATGAGCTTCGGTGACATGGTGTTCCAGTCGAGCGAGGTGAGGGGCGCAGTGTGTTCAGGGGTCTTTGAGTTGGAGAGAAGCGCGAGTGGTGTGAGCTTAGGGAGCTGTGGCTCTCGAGTGTTTACAGAAGATGAGCGGGTGATTGTGTTGCTCATGTTGTTGCCAGAGGCTTGAGGTAATGACCATAACCGCAGATGATCACCAGACGTTGCGAGGAGGTCGGTCGACTGCTTCTGCGAAGATGGCGGCTCCCACAGTATTCTCGTGACAGGGAAAGAACATGTGGCTTCAGCGATGGCATTGTATTCGAGGCCGTAGGGTGTGGCGCCGGGGACAGACGTGTCTTGAGGTGCTATTTGGGTGTCGAGGATGCGAATCTAGAAGTCGCGTCAGCATGGCGCATGTGGAGGTCGCTCTCGTACTCACGAAGTTGTGGTTGTCTTCGAGATAGCTGCCCACGGCCATCTTGCCGGCGCTGTTGCCGCCGGGGACGTTCCATTTGCACCAGTCGTAGGCGTATATGCTCCAGGGCGCGAGGTAGTTGCTGTTAGAGGGCACCTTGTTTCCGTCGGTGACCATGGTGTTGCCGTGTCCCATGCCGCCCTCTTGGTCCATGGTCGAGTTTGCGCGCGGCCTGATATCAGCCAGGCCCAGGGGCGATTGCGATGCAGCGCCGGAGGGAGTGGTAGGATAGTACTTTTGCGCAGGCGTGCCGGCGGCGTACTTGGACTGCTCGGGCGTGCTGGAAAAGGGAATGTATTTCTGGTCAGGCCCCAGGCCAGCTGGGCTCGAGCGCGAGTAGGAATGCGACCCTGAGTGGGGAGAGTGCTGTGCTTGGCTGATGGTGTTGGAGCGCGTGGGCAGCGTGTATTGCTGGGCGTTGCTCGCTATCTGGGTCTGGGTAGGCACGACGGGCGCGGTGTAAGCGGCGTTGGGTGCCGGTCGCTGCTGCTGCTGCTGCTGCTGTTGCTGCTGCTGTTGTGGCTGTTGTGATTGTTGCTGCGGCGGCGGCTGTTGTTGTTGTTGCTGTTGCTGCCCTGAACCGCCGGCGGGCTGGAGGCTACCGGGGACGGCCGGGGAGCCATACTGGCTGTTCTGAGGGGTTCCATGGTCGATGTTGATGTTGGGCGCCGATCGATAGTTGTCAGGCGAGTTGTACATTGCCTGCTGCTGCGCCGGTACGGACGAGGGTACTGGGACATGCTGGCCTACCGCCGTCGATATGTGCAGCTCCTCGTTGGTGCGTCCGCCTGTAGTCGGGGCTCTGTGTCGCGGGGCGTCGAAGCTCGAGTTGGCTGCTGGCGGCGCCGTCGAGGCCATGTAGCCTTCGCTCTGTCCTTGGGCATTCCCGCTGCTCTGCGGCATAAAGGCGTCGGTGCCGGCCCGCGTGGTGCCCTGGGTTGCTCCTCGCAGATTGCCTCCAGGCGCTCCTATGCCTAGTATCGCAGAACACACATCAGCCCAAGTTCAACGGTAGATGCCCCCCCCCAAGAAGTGAGCCTACATACTCCCTAGCGCCGAAGCCGCTGCGAAGATGCCCTGCGCCGGGTCGTTCTGCGCATTGTGGTGGTGGTTTCCGAAGGGCATGGCGCCTGCAATTACTACTGCGCTGGCTCAGGCAGATAAAAGAGAGACTGTGGTTTGTCGCAGCGCCTAATCAATCGTCCAGGAGCTGCAAGTGCGGTTGGCGTCGACTTGCTGGGCAGCGGCGGCTCTATCTCGGTAAAAGTTCCCCACCACCCCTCCGAACCCTCCCTTCACGCCTCCCTAGGGCTCAGAGTACAGGTGATTCCAGCTCGCTTCCAGGCTATGGTTCATGACCCAGGGTCACAGTTTCTACCAACCGCAGCTTCCTTGACCAAATCTTACAGCCATGCCTCCATCACGCAAGCCTGTCCATCGTGCACTGCTGTTGCTGCCGCCTGCGCCCTCACCACCGTCATATGCTGCGCTCAAGGCCGCCTACAACTCCCCCTTGTTCACTGTCTTGAGAGAGCTGGCCACATCTCCTCGCGTATCAAAAGAACCCACCGTTTTAGAAATTGCACTGCCATGCCCGCATCTGTACCGACATCTAGATGCGCCCCGGGGCGTACATTATGCGACTACTCAACAATTGGTCGCCGACCTCTACAAGCTCATCTGCATCACGGCTAGTAGAGAATCTATCGATACAGAAGACTCTGAGGGCGTTGATGCTCGCGTCATATTAGTCGCATATCCTCGGCATGGCCAGTTGACGACGCCGCTGCCCGATTCAACTCCTGAGCAGGAACTCCAAGGGCCTGCTATCGATATCCATACGCTAGCCCGGAGTTCTCGGTCATGGGATACTATCTACTCGGTCGAGAGCGAGGAAGGGGAGCGCGTACTAAAAAGCTTTCTTTCTTTATCCCAAACTCAGACACCCATATCTAAAGTTCGCGGTGGCATTGTCAGTGTAGAAAGCCCAGAATCATCTTCGTCTACCGGTAACGCAGACAACCCAATCAACCACATGTCCGTTGCCGTCGGAGGCACTTTTGATCACCTCCACATTGGTCACAAACTACTGCTCACCATGTTTGCCTTCATGTTGGGAAGACGACAAGCATCTCCTTCTGACACAACTTCCAGCGTGCTTACCGTTGGAATTACTGGAGATGCTTTGCTAGTAAATAAAAAGTTTGCAGAGCACCTCGAGAGCTGGAAAGAGCGTCAAGAATCGACACACAACTTTCTTTCATCTATTGTCTACTTTGGCCCCCCAGGCGACGAGCGTATCCACGTTGAAGAGATCAAGGAACCCGGGCCGAACGGACATGCCGTCCACGTCAGCTATCCTTTTGGGCTCACTATCAGATACGTCGAGATCTGGGATCCTTTCGGCCCAACCATCACTGACAAAGAAATTTCTGCCCTGGTGCTCTCTCTTGAAACAAGGGGCGGAGGTGCTGCTGTGAACAACAAGCGCAGTGAGCAGGGATGGAATCCCCTCGATATTTTTGAAGTTGCCGTCCTCGATGCCAGCGAGGAAGGCAATGTAGACGAGACGTTCCAGAGCAAGCTGAGCAGCACCGAGATTCGTCGTAAACGGAGCGAACGTGTTCAATCCAGGGCGAAAGCGTGAACCATGTTAATCAGGGTCTGAGCAGGGAGATGAAAGAGACACGTCTCGGAGTGTTTGTTGGCAGACAATATGTGAGCAGAGGCGTTGTCGACTTACCATGTCGACAAGTTGACGAAGCAGGAGGTTGTCTAGTGTCATTTCTTGTGCGACATTGCACGACAGTTGCGTGCGCCAAAGCCACACGACCGCGCAGGTCCGCATGACATTACCAGGGCCGGCATAGGGCTTGTGAAGCAACACGTCGCCATAGTCGACAGTCTGAATGCATTAGAGCGTCATCATGTGCGAGCTGACTTACGGATGTAGACTCTCCGTAACGAATGTCTTTGACGCATGCGAAACAGGAGAGAATGACGCGCTTCTACAGCATAATTATATTGCACTTTTGACCACCCGTTTCAGCCCACTATGAGGCTCCCAAGCTCTGTGTCGTCATAAGACGCTCCATTGTTTCGCATAGCGCAAACGCCATCCCAAGTACACGGCAGTGGTATCGGTCGGATGACGCTTTTTCTGCGGCTGATTGGCGTCACAAGCGCTTCTGATGCATGCTGTGTTGGCAACGCCATGGAAATTTGCAGCCCCACCCCAGTGACTTCTATCACATGACCGAGTTTACGATGCGGTCGCCCGCCATCAGCGAGACGGGAACATGGCTCCTCCCGAGCTAAAAGAGTCGATTTGTCGCTATGGACTGCTGCAGCACACTATTCCTGTTGCAGTCTAATTCGCCGCGTGCCATTGGAGATTTTGAAGCGGGCGTACCGGGATTGTCGCTGCAAGGCCAGGCTTCGTGTCCAGTCGTCTTCGCAACTCCAGCGACGCTTAGCTGACTGCTGGCAAAGAGGTCATGCATTTCTTCCCCCTACCGCGCCCCTCTGGCTGTTCTTCGCTTGCTATCCCACAGAACGGTGCCGTCGGATAACACCACGTCAGTTGATGACCCTCTCCCGCTGTCGCTATCCAACTACCACCACCCGTCAGACGACTATCCCGACCCGGCCCGAACTCTGCTGCCCTGCATCCAGAGTATATCCGCTGTGCGGTGCGCTCCTAAATCGCTCGGGAGCTTAAGCTTCGTGGTTGAGCTCCTCCTCCGCGGTCGTCATGAATGGTCCCACTTAAAATGGGTATCCTCGATCTTGCCGACGAGCTTCTTCGCATCATCCTCGAATATGTTGCCTCTGAACCAGAAAAACCAATCAGCCTGGAGCGCCGTGCCTATCTCTCACAGGAGAGCTTTAAGCTACCTCTGCCTCTAGAGCCTGACGACGCCGACACCGTTGCGAAATTTCGCCTCACATGCAGAAAGTTCGCCTTGCTCGGGGTGATTCATCAAGTTAAGTTGTGCCTGTACGAAATGCATGAGAGACGTACACTGACTTCGTATCTTCACGTCTGCAGTTCTCTCGCGTTACCACACGCTTCTCGCGGAAAGGACTTGAACGCCTAGAGAAGATTGCAAACCAGCCGCACATTGCGGGCCGCGTAAAGAAGTTCAGTTACATGGTACCGTTCTTCTATGATCAAGGTATCATCACAGATCGTGCTTCTGCCATCTTTAGAACTGACCAAGTTACAGGACGGGAGCGCATTCAGGAGCTTTTACGCACACGGCCTGAAAGTTTCGGCTTCCTTGATGTCGGTCACTTCCAAGAAAAAGTAAACGAGCAAAGGGACATCCTACGGACAAGAAAAGATGCTCTTATTTTGCACTTTGCGCTCCAGCGATTCACTTCACTCCAGCATGTTCAGATCCTGCGACTGCAGGACCAGCAAGATGCGGTGTTGATTTCGTATATGCGGGGTCACAACGAACTGAACAGTCTAGTGCCGACATGGCCACCAGCATGCCTGCATAGCGCGAAAACGATCGGTCAAGCTCTCCTTGAGTCCGAATCACCATGCTCAAGGTTCTCATCACCCATGTTAAGTCCTCAGAGTGTTCTAGGTGCCGCCAATAACCCCCCCTCAACGTTGGGAATTCTGGCCGAACGCCTTACTTGTCTAGAGTTACATTTCGATGATAGCACAGACCTGGACGTACGGATGCGGCACCTATCCTCATTGTCCAAGGCACTATTCACTGCGGCTAAGAACATCGAAGCAGTGCATATCGGTTTCCCTTCATATCGGCCACTCACGTTACGACTAGAAGAGCTTTTCCACAATGTCAAATGGGAAAAGTTGCAGGGTATGTTTTGAAGGTATGAAACGCACTGCGACATAGACTAACTTTATCCTGCAGCCTTTGGAATCCAAGCCTGGCGTCTTAACGCAGATGAAATCCTGGGTATCGCTCAGCGGCACAAAGACACACTGCGTGGTTTGCGCCTTCGAGATGTGCTCTTAAAAGATGGCAGTATGTGGAGGGATGTGCTCCCCTGTCTACGTGACGACCTTACAAGACTCGACTGGGTCAGTCTTCGGCGAATCGGATACGAAAAACATTTCGACGAGCAGTTTGTCATGGGAGCCGAAGTCCCCGATGATCCTCTAGGAAGTGATAGCAGCGATGAAAGCGACGATGACAGCCACTACGAATACGATGGTGAACACGACGATCCATCCGATGACCACAGTGGTAGTGGAAATGATGCTGACGGTAGCTCGATAGCTGGCACCGAATCCGATGCAGAGACGGATGAACCTGAACAAGGCGGTACTCTGCACTTTCCACCAATGCCAGACACACCGGCTTCAATAACATGGTGCAACTGCAATGGCCACATGGATAGCGTGGACGCTCTAGGGGATGATGGAGTCATGGTGACCAATCAGCAACGCAAATTCTGGGAGAAGTGGGTTGTGAGGAAGATCTGCACCGAGCAGCACGGTCATAAATGAGCGAACATCAGTCCGTCAGATATGGAAAGCCATGCGCATAGTGTTGTTGGTGGTGACCTGGGCGTAAGAAGCAATTTACTATCGAACCGGTTGTAGCTTGTCTGCAGGTGCGATCACGTTCTAGGTCCCGCATGCGGTCCATGAACCGCATATGCGTGTTCGCAGCAGCCACAGCACTACTCGGGCGCTTATGCAAACCCAACAACCCGTCACCAGGTTACATCAACACTTCGGTACGAACGCGCACTGCGCCACAGAGTCGCAGTTTTCATGTGGACCTGACCAGACGACCCCACGCATCCGCATCCTCCAAACACACGGACCGGTAGACGACAACGTCTTCAAACATCCGTTTTCTCGGTTGTTCCTACTTCATGGATATCTATCGAAGCATTGCACAGGCGCTTCCGGCTCTTTGCATACCATATGTTCTCGAAAGGCGGACTGTTCATACCTATGCTTCGTCTCTGACGCCAAAAGTTACGCGCTTGCATCCTATTTCACTTTTCAACATCTCAACACTGAGTAACGAATGTAACGTAGCGTGGGAAGGTATCTGCTTTTCATCTCATCAGTCCGATTAGACACATCATCTTTCTTTTCCGATCTATCGCCCTTCTCCTCAACAATGTCATCACGAGGCTTAAGGTGAGACACACATTCGGAGGCTGTCTGTAATCAGTGCAACTTTTACATGTTCAATACGGCTACTAGGCTTCACTGTTCTATCTGTTCCTATCAACTTTTACTCTTCCGTACAGTCTAGTAAAGTCAAGACAGTAGCATGGGCAGTAAGACAACTGTCGATAGAGCTAGTCTATCTTACTTCACAATCTAACCTTCCTCTTTCCTTCTCTACATGATTCAAACGATTCTACTAGTAAGGCTGCTTTATCTTCAGTCAGCAGCTTTGTTTATCGTACTGGAAAGTGAGAGCGTCAGGAACAGCATGCTGGCGAACTTCATCACTAATAACTTACGCAGAGTAACGGAACTTTACTGCTACCTTCAACTCTCAGTTCATATCTCAGGTGTCTTCTATGATACCACCTAGACGTTATGATTACTAGGTATAAGATAACCTCTACTGCGCAGTCACTGCCTTGACGCAAGTGAACACCCTGACTCATTGTCCTGGACAGTATGACCGAAGAAGCCATCTCTGTTCCCTCATCACACGTAACGCGCTCATGACACGTCAGACGCGTTCTCACACGCCTTCTTGGCGTGCCAACATGATGGTAACAGTTCAACGCGCCCCGATTTGGCTGTCTGATCCACGAAAACTCTTCAAGCAGCTTCTCACTTACAACATCGCAATGACAAGACACACCTGGAAGGTTGCAGATGCCGGCGTAATGCTGTGGGAGCCGGCCGTAGAAGCTGCGACAGCTACAGCACTGCCCGAAGCGCATGCTCTAGAGCAACCAGACAACGTGGCAGAAACTGATATTCAAGGTAAGTGGTCACCAATTATTCTTGCCTACATTGTTACAGGGCAAGGGCTAACAGTCTGCGAACAACGTTAGCTGGTAGTCACGATGACTGCGAACACAGCAATAGGCAGGACTTGGTGCTACCTTCTTTAGAAGGCTTCTTCGGGTCGTATACAAAGGATGAGCCTGGCGAAGATCTTAGATCAGAAACTCCTCTGGACACGTCACAGTACGCATCAGGGACTACCGAGTCGTTCTCAAGTCCCTGCCCACTATTTTCAAGCAAAGTTGCCTCTACTAAGCTACACAATTCTTCGAAGACAAGCCGTCGTCTCGAAGTTTCTAATATTAAACGAACACCACCGGTACGTCGAACTCTTAACTTCGGGATGACAAACGTCCGCAAGACACTCGATGCCGTACCAAAATATGGTGAGCCTAGTGGCTTCGATTCATTAGCAGCATTGAAACGCCTCGAACGTGACCCACCCCACCAGTGGGATGAAGATGAGCGGGAGCTACTGACGATCCTTTACCGATGGTACAATGACAAAGACGCAACGACGCTTCCGAGGACTTTCAATGCTGTTACCGACCAAGATCTACGACTTTCAGTTATTCGCTATCAGTTCGACAGCCACCTGGTCTTGTACGGCCCACGTGCTTACCCAGAATTCGGTCGCGTCATGGCTGTACCTTTTCATGATCCTATGCAGAAGTATGGTGGAATACATGCGATCATCGAAGAGAAGGCGACTGAATATGGCATCAACTTGTCGCGGCGGAGAATTGAGGTTAAACGAAAGTCTGGTTTAGCTCAATACGCGAAATCTCCAACTACAAGGAAGTATTGGAAGTCCCTAGTCCGGCGCGCGGCAGAGAGGGAGAGGAAGATGCGTTGTGTACCTCTAGCGCCAAATGTTCAAGGATCATCAGCACAGGTTCCTCCGCTTGGAGGAGTAACACTAGCAGCGGACGTCAAATATGAAGATGAAGAGAACTGGTCGGATGTTGAGGACCTTAACATATCCGCAGTTACATTCACGCAACTAAGCCCTAGTTCCTTGCCTACCACCAATTCCATTGGGTTCAGGGTGTGGGATGCAAACAGCAGGACGATGTTCGACGAAGAGACTGGCTTCGTGAGCCAAGCGTTCTCAATCTGGAGGGGAGAGTTGCCACCGCCTTTCTCCCCTGATGGTCAAGGACGACAGGCGATCATGTTTCTCTCAAACTTGCACCTCTCAATGAGCGGTGGCGCATCCGCCTTTGTATCTGTCTCAACAAGTCTTCTACAGGCGCTCGTAAAGGCTTCTACAATGGAAGACCCCAGAATAGCTGTCGGTATGTTTCATTCACCAATGAAGTCGTTGATTCTGGCCATTTATTAATCTTACATGTAGTTGCACTCGACCACGCTTTGCTCCAACAGCCACACAAGACCTTGCCGGCGGCAGACATCTTGCGCATGTTAAAAGCAGAAGGCCAAGCTTGGTGGGCGAGATATAAAGGACATGCAGGTAATACAACAAGACGCGATATATGCTGTGTTTATACTAACATCTGTCAGAGCGGATGGTATGGGCTTCTGTGCCTGCTGCAGCCATCATCTCTCACTTCCCGCTCTCAAAATTGCGCCAACTCTCCAATCAAGAAAAAACATGCGAAGATATACTAAGTCTCAACGAGATAGAGTCTGGGCGCAGGACGCAACATGTCTCTTCGCAATTACGAGACAAGAACAACGCCATCAGCGTTAGCACATCACGAGCTATGGCTATGGTGTCTCGCATATTTGGCATGCATCGCTGTAGCGTAAGCTTAACTCACATCAAAGGGCTCGTATCGTCCCTGGTCGACTCGTTCCAGTTGGAACAGGTCTCATCACAAAGCAACTATACCTCAAGAATGATCTCTAGAGCATTCGCTGTAACACTTAGATCGCGGGCGCATTGCATCCAAGACATCGAAGTTGCATTCAAGGACGGCGTGGAGCAAGGGACAGCGACCATCGCATTCTACGCCCGCCGCCGGCGCACTATAAAGACATGACTTTCTCAGCCGTACAAGAGATACAGTGGACTGTATCATTGCAAACGCTACGACAAGGTGTAGAGTATTCAGAACTACATTGCGTGTAGGAAACATGATAGTATGTGGTAGAGCATAGAGATATAGGAAAGCACTCAAAGGTCTCCAAAGACCGACATTTTCCCGTCGTTGCATCATCTACCTGGAAATGTCTGCACTTGAAGCACCTCAGAACGATTTCATGAGCCTAGAATATCACGAGATAAGGTGAATACAGACCGCAGGCTTACTACACGACAGAATCAAGTCACTACCGTGCAGTTTTCCTGTTAGTCAAGACTTTTGCTTAGACACCTACCCACTAGCAGGCCTTCTTGCCTCCCCCAACAAGCCGCCAGATGACTCGTTACTTCCCTCGCTCTCACCGCCATTCGTTCCAACACGATGTGTCTGCTCTGCCTGCATCGCGCGCTCTCGACTAAGCACATGCTGCATCATCTCCACCTCCATGCTATCCCTCCCCCGGTGTCGTAGACCCCACCACGCATCCCCCGCCTCTGCTACATCAACATTCCCATCCTCCTCGTTCATCATCGCGTTGCCTCTCTCCGCATGTGCATTCTGTCTAGCAGTCCTCCTTATATTGCTAACAGCTCGGCGTCGTCGCACACTAGCAGCGGGTGTCTCATAGGCATTATTCCGATAGATCTCATCGTTCCCCAATGGCGCACCATCTATGTCACCATTGGGAACTACTGCATCATCATCGTCATGATCGATGCTAAGACTCGCAACTGAGTCAACCAGGGTAGTCCCACTCAGCGACGCGCTGCGCGACGACGGTGTGGAAGAGTTCGGTGTTGTCGATTCCACGACATGCGCAGTATACGTGCTCGGATGGATAATCTGAGTAGCTGTCGCGTATCCATTCGTCCTGTTCTCACCGTTTTGCCGGCTGTCCGCACGTTGCCGAAGATGGAATTCATGGCCTTCCTCCCCATAGATGCGCAGAACTGGACCTTCAGGTGTGTTCACTACGTTACCCCAATCTCTAATGGCTTCATTGAGCTCGGGCGTAGAAAGGCGAGGACGGGGACGGATATCTTCTGCGCGTGCAGTAACACGCTCGGCGGAATCCTCATGGGTAGAAGACGCAGGTGGATAATCGTGGATGACAATTGGCTGATATCCAATGGAGGAGGGCGTTCCAGTATGTCCATAGATCAAAACTGGTTGAAGACGTAGAGAGAAGCCGTTTTCTTCATTTCCAACATGGAGTACTAGTTGCGGAAGGATATCTGCTGTACCATTCATAGGTGAAGGTTCATGCTCAGGGGTGGGCGGTAACTCTGTAGCAGTCGCTGTCTCAAGCGCGTCGTCATCGTCCAGCAAAGAGCCAGATCCACCGCGTATACCTACTATCGGCTCACTGTCTCTGAGACCACTCTGCAGCCTCCTCGTCCTTTTCTTCTCGTAAATGATTACTCTTCTTAGATCCCTAATGTGTTCAACTATCTCCGGTATGATATCCCAAAGTTCCTCGAGGTTCTCCACACGAGCTCTCGTTCCTGGATGTGCTCTTGGGGGTAGAAAGTATGTTGCTAGCGAGAAGAGAAAGGATAGTATCGCGAGAGTAGGGAAGGTGACTGTTAGCAGAATGATAAAAGTGCCGCTATTCATGTAGTATGCCTGATGTTACCGTTGTTGTTAGGAAGATAGAGTTGAGGGCAAGTACATAGATTAGGGCCTTTAAGGATAAGAAAGCTTACTGTAATACATGTTTTGTGACATGTTCGGCTTCCAGAGCCCTTGAAATCCCGATCTTGAATAAGCCTACAATCGTTGCTTACTATTCTCTATGTACGGCTCTGATAGCATTTCATTCACAAGGTGATGTGAAGATACACTGGCGACACGAGGTTCGGTATATGACTGTCCTGAATCCCTCGATTCTTTGTACATTTCACTACTTTCTAAGATCTGTGGCACACGGCGTTCATGGTCAGTAGCCTGTCGAGATTTGGTGAGTCCAAGTTGATAATTATATTACTTGTGAAGTGGTATAGAACAGTATGTACAAAAGGTGTTTGGTTATCCTTTAGGTGTAGAGGATATTTAACCAGAGGCAGTAATGACCATAGTGTAAGCGTTGGTCTGCTGGCAGACAAAGTCATTGATACCGTTACCACCAGCGTGGCAGTAGGTGGGAACTTCGCCCTCGCCCCAGAAGCCGAAACTATTCAGATTCGTTAGCTTGTTGTTCATGAAAGTAGATGCTCGGGATACGTACGCAGTGCCAAGCTCGTGGTAGACGCGGATAGCGAAGGTGTCGGTGCTGTTCTCAGGCTGGTACATGCCAAAGCGGTACTTGGAGTCACCACAAGTCTCAACCTCAGAAGGAAGGACAGGGTAAGGACCACCAGAGCACTCGAGGTCGGTGGCGTTCTTGCCGGTGAGCTTGAACGAAACGGATTGGATAGTGTCGTTGTTCTTGCGGAGAGTGTAGTCGGTGAAGTCGATGTTCTCGTAAGTGTTTGGGTCGGGTGGGCTACCACCGCAGTGAGCTGGGTTGGGGCACTCGGGGGTCTGAGGAGCGGGTGCTGCCATGGCGGCGGCACCGAAGAGGGCGGCGATAGTGAAGAACTGCATGATGTCGGGTTTGGAGTTTGTTGGAGTTTTTGGTTGAAATGAGCTTGTTGGAGTTTGGTTGGAGTGTGTGTAGTTGAAATAGGGAAGGATGAGGCCGTACTTATATCTCTGTGAAGATCTTCATAACCATTTCAACGTCACTTGGCCCTAACACTCGACCAACGTCCATCCAAGCTCATGTATTCGGTCATACCTCGTATTCCACAGTCGGCTGGGTCGCACGCAGGCAATGATGTCGCCTCCCCGGACGGACGTGGGCCGACGTGGGTACAAATCTCCGAGTCTAGCAGTTAGACCCTTGACCGCTAGCATTTTTCTGGGATCTAAGTGGCAGTGATCGTCGAACAACAAGGTACGCACCTCGTATGTCGTGGTTGCGCATTTTGTGATGTTATCGCAGCTTGATGCATTGTTCTGCATTTCAGTGATTCATCCGCTTTGGTTGCAACAACTATGGTGGCATAGTCCGAATACGACAAGAGCATTCAACCGCTGCTGTGAACAGCCGCCACGTTGACGTCGACACTGCTTAGCACAAGTGGTTCCATGAACGCCTGCGAGCGGTGCCATTTTTGGTGACTGCAAGGCTGCGCAGCCTCAAATCTTGACATGCAGGGTGCCAGAGCCGCACGCCACATCCACCAACGCCACAGACTGTGATGTAGCGTGGCAGTCGATGTAACGTGAACGTGCATCCCGACCAACGGGTAGGTCAGCTGTGTGCATTCGCACTCGCAAACAGGATGGATCGGATCTTGCAAGGCGCGAGCGGATAAGCCCGGCCAAAAATAGCAGCAAACGCGTTGCGCCTAGCGACGATATGCATGTCCGCGAAAGAAACACCTCATGTGTTTCGCATTAGGTGGTGTCTGTGGAGCGCATGTTTGTTGAGGCTTTCGATAGTGCGACAAGCTTGCGGGCCCCTAGTGGGAAATCGGCATGATGTCATTGGGTCCTCTGCAAGACTCGAATCTTCGGTGTCAATGCCCATGGGAAAGCCACCGAGCATGTGGAAACATACGCGTGGAATGTTCCATTGCTTTGTTGGCACCCGTTACCGCCGTTCTAGAATGGAGTGTCTTGCACAGCACTTCTGTCAACGTGATTGTTGGTAGGGATGGGACTTTGCGCAGCTGTGAAGATGTCAGGTGTGTCCCAAGTGCAAATTCGCGCTTTGCAGGGACGCAGCCTAGTACAGCCGTTTGCAATCGCTACCGCACAATTTGCACTGCTATTGCGCAACTGGAAGAGAGCTCACCAGGAGACATGAACGCTAGTACAAGTGCAAGTGAGTCGCCCGATGAGGCTGCGATACAGCGAGCTTCGAAAAGTAGCACCGAAGCAATCACTGGTGATCGTAATTTCGTATACGATGATAACGCTCCTTCCTCGCAGGAATCATCGACTTCTTTCAACAGCCTCACGGAAGACTTTCTCTACGAGATTGAAGGATCTATCTGCGCTAGCCCTATTGACTCCAGTATTACTTTAAGCAGCTTCGAGCTCGACAGTGTCGACATAGGGGACGTCGTTGTCTAGGCAAATAGTGTAGAGTGGTTAGTTCGAACATGTTTCTGTGACAGCGCTAGCTGTTGCGGAAAGACTGTTGCACGATTGGAAAGCGGGGATAGGAACCTAGTGAGGAAGTCGGCATGGCGAAAACGTGTACATGCGGGAGATCATGTGGCAGATCATGAGGAAGATTGTATCGTTCAGTCGTGACATAACTAATATACTCCTAAAATGAGAGGTGGATACTTTAACGCTTGAAAGGGTATATAACATGCTTGTTCTGTACGCCGGAACACCATGCATGAGATTCGTTGTAGCAGGGAGATAGAAGAAAAACCAGAAAACAGTACGGAGTGGCTGTTATCCAACGATCAGTGTCGCCATAGAGTGGAAAGCCTGCGCTCTCTCTTAACGCCACGATCTTCGTCGTTACGAGGACCGATGCGCGAAAAGGATGCCTTGAGCACTGTAGGCATCTTCACAATAGAAGATGGAGTAGATCCGTTGGAGGACACGGTCTTTGATCGCGCTCTTTGTTGTGTGAGAGTGGCTTTATACTGTTCCCAGTAGCCACTTGGAGTCGTGGTTGTAGACAATGGAGTTGCTGAGCCTTGCTTAGACGAAGTGTCCAGGGTTGATGGAGTAGAAATGCTTCGAGGAAGAGAAGGCCTCCTCTCAGCAATGAGAGAACGTGCCTGTTCAGTGGCGACAGCATGCTGCGTATCTGGGAAGAGCTTCAAGCTAGATCTTCTGGCCGGCACTGATGGAGTAGAAACAGCCATGCCAATCATCATATTGCCATTAGAATGTTCATGGACATCGTAAGTGACTTCTGGCTCTGTTTTTCCGAAGCCAAACTCAAAGTCGGTTTGTGGAGAGTGTTGTCGTAGTAAGGGGTGTATTTCGCTTTGTGGCAGGGTTGGTGCCGTGGCTCTGGGTGTCTCAAAAGACACAAGCCCGCCTAGAAGCCCACTCTCTTCTGCGGGGCTAACCTTGTGAACAGGGCCTTCTCCCGATGTACTCGACTTAGACGAGGCGGCACTTGCGGCACCTTCACTCCACAGTGAGCTTGCTGTAGAGCTTGTACTATCTGATCGGCTGGGTGGCTCCCCGGTGGCTTTTGAGAAAGTTGGAAACGTAGCACGCTCAAGCTGTACGGAATCAAGTAGGGGCGTACGGGGGCGTGTGGCCGTGCTACCTGTAGAGGTCTGTCTGCTACGGGAAGCAGAAGGCGACGGCGATCTGAGCCATGAGGTTTCGGGATTAGCTCCGCTGTCGGCTGTGGGTGTCGTCGAGTGCTCTGAGTAAACAGATTCCGAGTAAGTGGACGACACCTGACGAGAACTGGCTTGCGAAACTGACGCTGTGTCTTTCGATCGATCGCTAAATTCTTGACTCATGCCAACAGATCTTCGTATGGGTGTCGAGAGACTATTCCTTCGCGAACCTCGAGCTGATAATGATCGACGTGCGAACGAGCGAACCGAAGACGAGCGAAGGGGTTGAGATATCTTAAGCGGTGCGACTTCCATGGATCCACGCCGACTTAGATTTCGCGGCGTGAAATAATCCTCCCTTTGGCAGTCGGGCTCTATCGAGTAAGGGCTGCTTTGAGATTCCGCAAGATAGTCGTCGATCGCCAACGGTACATTGACCGAAGGTGTGGCCAAAGGTGTCGTAGCACCGCTGTTGGTAGTTGAAGCGATGGGCTCCGCGACGTAACACAGAGCGTATTCTGGGCTGTCCGAATCGCGAACCTCTTTCGGTGCGCGAAGAGCGGACACCAGATATTGCAGTGTCCCGTAGATTACAAGCCATCTTACTTTACGCGCATCTGTCGATGATATCTTCCCCTCACGTTGACTAGCGTTGATAGCGTGTGCCTTCTCGAAGTGGACATAGGCTTGTACAATGCTCGATTCCATCGCGCTCGAATCCAAGGTATTGGTTGCCGCTGCCAAAGCACCATGCATGGTATCTTGTAGATGTGACTTGTTGTGTTGCGATGCCAGGATGAGCTGCCTCAGAGCTTTCTGCGAACTTGTTTTCTGAGAGTTCGTTCTCTTCGGCGACGATGCATATACTGGTAGGAGAGGTAAAGGATGGGGCTGGGACTTGAATCCATGTCGTTGGTCGAAGGTCATAACATTCTGTAAGACGCAGATGCCGCCGCTAGCAGGTCTTTGAGATGAAAAATCGGCGGTCGACTCGGTGTCTACGAGGTAGTCGTAAAGATTCTGAAAATCGTAATACATTGACTTGTAAAGCGCTTTAGGAAAGGTAGCGCCCCGTGGTGGTGGCCAATATCCAAACTTCCCGACGTAAAAGGTATGTAGGAAACGGCGAAAGCGATCAAGGTGGCTTCTGGCGCCATCCGTCAGCCCAAGATAAGTTGGCGAGAGGTCCTCTTGCAGGAACCTGCTCAGTGCGATAGATACGCGGCCGAGGTGCCCGTCGACTTCGAGATGAGCTCGGGTAATCAATGCTTTCGTAAGCTTCGAAGTCAGCTATAAGAATGTGTCAGTAAGTTATCCTCAATCAGATGATAGAATACATACCACATATTCCGGGCTGAGGACAAGGCTTTCACTCATACCAACACAGTGGGCGAAAGCATCAACCCAGGTATCTCTAAGCTTATAGTGTTCTGCATAGAAGAGACTTGCAAGGGCATAGTCCGTGCACTCTACCAGATCTCGGTACCCTTGGTTTTCTGCGTAGTCGAGAAAGTCTTGATGGTTGTTCGCATGGCTTGGTCGGAAGTGCTGCAGCCGTTCTTGGAGGTCTACAAATGCTTGGCCCATATGATCGCCGACCAGTGGTTTACCTAGCAGGAACGCAAAGAAGTTGCGAGTTGTAATGTGTTGCCTGAAAGAGTCCTGAGATGAATCTTCTGAAGCAGGGATGAAAAGCTCAACGACGTTTGATTCCCGACTGGTGCTGTTGAGGGAGCTGGGCATTCGCCTCAATCGCTCGGAGGCAGATCCTGGCGCAGGTGCGATTTGGGCGTCGCATAAACTCAACATGGCGTCACACTTCTTCTGCCGTAACAGTCTGAAGGGAACGCAAAAGGACGGCCCACGACGCGAGGCCCCTTTTGCGTGTAGGTGGACGAAACAATCTCCTCCTTCATACCACAACTCAGGGTCCTTTCTTGCTGTTAGCCTAGCTTCAATGACGAAGTGCTCAAACATACTCTGCGTAGTCCATGATCCCAGTCGCTCACAGTACGGGTCAGGCCGACCCATCGTTGTACTTTGGTAGGATGCATCGGCTTAGATGTCGTCGCAAGGCAAGTGGCCGACCTTGGTCGCGTTTCGATGGTCTTAAGATGTCTCGTGTCGATACTGGTCTCCAGTAATGTAGCGGCAACGCGATCGCCAATCGTTAAGCTATGACGTCGAGTTGTAGGTAGGTTGGTGTGGTGAGGTAGTGTAGATCCGCTTGTCGGTGCCGCGGAGACTACTTGATTCAAGGCCCTAGGGTCACCCATACGAAGGTTGCAAGAAGTGAACGAAATGCGCGTGGGATTCAGTTGTTGATGAGGCTCCTCCCCAGAGCTAGTCTGACAAGACGGGTTGTCTTCCGAAGCCATGCTGATCTAAATAAGAGTGTGCATGAGTACCACAGAATGAGAAGCTCATGGAGCACGGGCAGGGATTCCTGGTCTGCCGTGTTGAAATCAAAACTAAGCAGAAGTCTGTCGCGGTGGGACGTGGGACAAAGCAACTATTGTATGTACGTCGACAGACCCTTGTTGCGCCTTCACCTATCTCGACAGCTAAGACGCGACGCAGTTCGGTCCATGATGGCGTCTTTTGGTTGGTGAGGCTACGTCTGGCGGATCCGATAGAACGAACTGGTGAGACGATCTTTCCCAGATGAGGGATCGGCAGTCAGTGGCTTGCGCGGGCTACTTCCATAGCGCCAAATATGTAGCTGTCGGGGAATCGTTCTACGATCCAGATCGTACCATCATGGTGATGAGTTGTGTTCGAGACCTAAGAATCTGCATTCAATGCTCAGCCGCAAGTTGCCAACGCTTAGAGCTGAGATACATCCCAGCCTAAAGCTCACAAGCCTCAGTACGGCAAAGCGCATGCGGGGAAATAGCTACTCTAAGGATTTGACAAGATTGCAGGGTAAGTGGCACGGCATTGGGCGTCTCCGGGCTGTTTTTTGGCGATCTCGCCAGCTGAGGGGTGGCGTCGCTCTGAGCATAGCAAAGACAGCTCACCCATCGCCGACCGACTCGTCACAGGGATCTGCCAACAGGAATGCGTAATGTCGGAGGGTGTGGGGACCAGATATCGCGTTCGACATGTACGAGGGTGTGGTTCATGCTGTCGTGCAAAAACCAACGAATAACACGACTCTCTGGAGAGGTTGGGTGGGGACGCCGTGGCGGCTGCCATGATCGCCGGCCAAGGGTGCTCGGCTCTCCTCATTGCGCTGGCATCATACTGTACGTCCATACATCACCAAAACTCGGCCCACAAGCCCTCTGTTCATGCTCGCCTATCGATCTGCCGCGATATCTCAATCCTCGTCGTTCTACAGGTGCCCAAACAGCCCGATGTCGACGTATACTTGCGTTCCCCAAACCGCTAAACCTTATACACCACTTTCCACAGCCCGTCAAGGGTCTAAATGCTCTTCTTGTTATGTAACAAACATTTTGCACTTTGCAGTAGACAATCAGATTTTGGATCATCTATCGCTGATTGCGAAACAGAGTACCTAGAACACGGCATCGGCGTATGCTGGCGTCCTGATGATATTGGCCCATCATGCTGATTATGGTGCCACCTCAGGATACAATATCTGAATTCCAAGCGTCAAACTACTGCAAGCACGCGTTGGTTGACACCCTTACGCCGTCCCGAATACACAGCATGCAGCAACGACACCCGGGCCTCTACCACAGTTTTGACGCCATACAATGCCGTACAAGGCGCATTACCATTCTAATATCTTTAGAGAGCATATCTCGAGATTCACGAACATTACACCTACTGTTGACGTCTCGCAGAAGGGTCTGGTTTAGGTATGCAGGATTCAGGCAAGGCAAACAAGCAGCCCACGTCGCGTATGCACACAGCCAAATCTCTGGTGTCGAGCCATAGACTAACGACCAGATAATCGATGACAGTAACACCAGACAGGGGATGCAGGTGGCCCTGGAATGCATACATGACCGTATCCGCGCGTCCTTTTGGTCTCCACATGTAAGCATACCGCGTCCGAGGACGCGACGCGTTCTTGATGGATCATGCCGCACCATACTGGCCCGTTGTGAGTTGGGGACCACAAACTCTCCATGACAGCGTTCTGGGTTGATTACCTCGGACTAGAGGTGGCTGCATTGTTCATGTCCTGAGAATAGGCAATCGATCATTCACCTACACTGACTGCAGCAGCATTACGCAGCTTCTTAGCATTCATGCGCCTCAAAGACATTCGTCTTCTTTCATATGACGATAATACAGGCTTGAAGGGGCGCAAGCTCGGCGGTCGAGTGTCTATGTCTGAACCGTGGACTTCCTCACGGTTTGTTTTCGTTCTAATGCCATTCCCGCCACTCTCTTTGTCTGCCCAAGGCAAGCCACCACTTCCTGCTACTGTTTTCAATTGCCCTCTCGAACGTCCTTCCTGTGAACTACGTCATGTTATTTGATGACTTCCAACCTTGACCATCTGCGCAATCTCGATTGCCTTCCAGAATGTATGCTTTCCCTTCATACTGCTCAAACAGGAAATTGCGCTAGTGTGTTGCGCAAATTTGACCAATCAACACTGAGCGCAAATCACGCCCACCTCGACTTCACTCCTCCCCAGTCAGTCTGCGCGCACCTCGAGCTTATCAACATTGTAATACCCCAAGCTGTGACAATCATCATTTCATATTGATTTCAACAACAAGTCAACTTGCACTATTAACATCGGATCCATCATCACCACAAACATGAGCATCGGCAGCGAGGCGAGCATGACCGAAATCACCGACAAGGACGACACAAGCGATGGCTTGTGGCAGCATTCCAACACGCAAACGGCAAATGATGACGAGCAAACAAAGAAAGATACATCCGGGGGCGACGGCGCTATTGCTGCTACGCCAACTCAGCCGCGCGCGCCAAACGTCACCGACGCTACCAATGCTGATGGCGAACCCAAGAAGGCTGAGTTTGTCAATCAGTTCCAGGAGAACCTCCGTCTCGAAGTAGAAGCCGAGAAGGAGGTAAGGGGAGCTACCGAGGAAGAGACCAAGGCCGCTGGTATCGAGAACGACACACCTGAAAAGAGTCCAGAAAACAGCGACATGGTCAATAGCGCGATTGTGACGCACAAAAGAAGGGTTGACTATGCCGATGGGAGAGCAAAAAAGTCCACTTCAGCAGTCAAAGTAAGTACGGGTTGTCCCGTGTCCCGGTGTCTGATTAACGCAATACCAGATTCAGCGGAACCGCGCGGATGAGGTTCTCGGCTCTATGAGCGACATCGAAAAGGCTATGTTTCAGCTTTATGAATACATCAAAGCTCAGAATGATAGCAAGAAGCCGCTCTACATGTGGGCTACATTTGGTGGCTACAGCTCGGTCAACGTTGCGCTCCTCGACCTCCACGATAAGGCCATCGAGTTTGAGGAAGCTCATCGTTTACCCGTTGCCAATGCTAGGATATTACTCAGCAGGGCCACCCAGATCTCCCTAGCGGTCAGTCAGATGGCTGTGTTCTGTATGGGCGTGATGGGAGATAAGGTTACTAGCTGTATCGACGAGGTTGAAGAGTCTGATCTCAGCGCTGAGGGCAAAGACAAAGCCAAAGCTCTCATCACAAAAGAGCTCAAGAAGCTTCTCAAAACTTGCGCGAAAGCCACAGATCGAGTCTATGTAGCGCTGGACCTGCTTCGGAGTTCACTACACATCGAGGAATCCTCTCAGAACCTTGATATCTCCATCGTCAAGGACCTGATTGCAGAGAGTACCCCACGCAAGAGCTGGTTGCGGAGTGTGACCGAGGTCGTTCTCAAAACAGTTATGGGTGCTGCTGCCAGTATCGCGGCGGTGCAGTTTTACAGCACTAGCGGCTTTGACCTGGCACTGCAGACCTACCCTTTCGGCACGCACTCTCAAGTCATTTCCCTCGTCCAGCGTGCCCAAGCTGTGACCAACCTTACAGGCGAGATCTATTCCATCAAGCTTGAGGATTTGGATCAGCGTTACAAGGAACTCGAAGCCGCCTCTGAATCACATAGTCTCCGAATTGACAACCTAGTTGAAGCACTTGGTGTTCCCAACGCAGAGGGCACCTACTATTCGTCAATACTAAAATCTGACTGCGAAGCTCTTAGCAATGTCCAGAAGATCTCTGCAGACGCCGATCGCCAGATTCAACAACTGCGTAGCGAACTGGCGACTATGCGCAAGAACATCCATCGCATGGATATTCGTCTCATGAAGCGTCTCGATAAGGTCGACCGACATGGTTTGTAGGAAGATATGAGTGATTCTGATTCTAGCCCATGGTAGTATAATCCGAAGCTACTGCCAGACCAAGACTCTCGGATGGGAGCAAAGAGCTACACTGCTCTTGTCTATTCCAGGAGCGCATAATCTCGATATGATGAACAGCTGAGCGCTCACGTTTCTCAAGGGTGTGGACTTTTTCCGCATTTCCATTGAAGGGTAATGAGCGGACGAAAGGTCATACGGTATTTAGTCTGTCGCAAAGCAAATGATATACTTTCGCGCAAATTTATTTACAGTCCTCGCAAATGGTTCCATCTGGATTTCTCTTGACTTCTGCACCCTCGTTTGTCTGACCCTGTTCTTTCTTTCCCTCTGAGTTCTGCCTCTTATCTTCTGTCTTATTTTCATTCTTCTTGCCATGTTTGTCCGAATGCCCTAGATCCCGATTAGGGTCTATGTGATCTCGTACTAGTTGCTTTAGGACTTTCGTCTCTGCAACATGTAAGCCACTCGTCTTGCCACTTTCATGTCGCTGGATTACGAACCTGGAAAACCTCCTTTAGCCTTTCTATCCCAAAGGAGCACTTTCTTTGCCTCGGCCTTTTGGCCTTCCTCAGATGGCGGCAAGTACGTCTATCAAACTTAGCATGGATTAATACAAACTTTCGTTCAAACATACCAACTCAACTGTGAAGAGACCACCCGTCGCGGGTACCAGTGCTATCTCTCCAATTTGCAGTCCGAATGTTGATAAGAGTTCTTGGCCGAACTGGTCACTCATTAGTGGACGTCGTATTAGCGGAGGATGTGGAGAAAGGTACATAGGCTGCTCGCAACATCCACTTACATTGCGTGCAATACGTTATTGCGACGCGCGGTAGAGCGACTGGAGCAGTTTGTGTCGATGCCATAATTTGAGTCTGAGGTGCGTATATGCTGGGTTGTTCTTGCCATTTCCGAATGAGTTGGAGGAAAGCATGAAGGGTCGCTTATCGATAATCTGCCCGTGGCGTCATCGCGTGGCGTAATTATTGACAGTGTCTGCCACTGCTTCACTGCCCGAAGATTGTGATTTTGTAGGTCAATTTGAATTGCACAGGGATTTCGAGCCTTAATGTTTGCTGAATGGGGAAGGTTTGGCTATGATGTTTGTTGTGCTATGGCGCAGACAAGCCGGATGTTGAACAGAGCGAAGATAGCCCCATCGACAAGCTGTCCTATGCCTGTCGTGTGCAACGAGTACGTCTGCAGAGCAACTCATCAATACACATTTTAGGGATTGAAAGGGATGCTAGTACACTCAGAGAGTTTGACTGATACCTAAGATGGGGGCAGTTATTCCAAGGAGATGGACTTGAAGCATGTTTGGAATTGAAATACCAACGGCAATGGAGTTGATCAGTCTGTCACCTCACGTACATACTGTTTGACCACTCATGTCCCTAGAACTAAGCGTAAAGGATACAACGGACTGCCGAACAGCAGTTTTCTCATGGGAACTGCATTGTAGGCACCAAGGCGGTTACATATTTGCTTGGCTCTATGAAGTGATCAGCTTAGTGCTCAGGCGCAAAGAGCTGGCTGCAATACGATAGTAACTATCTCCTACCGTCGCGTTTCGCACTAATCGCAACAGGGTCGTGCAGTACTCAGGAACGAAGATGCGAGTTTCGGTGTTTTCGGTGTTTCTCATCCCTGATCCGAGGGGGAGGTGCAGAAACGCGGGTTGCTAAGGCCGTGCGCTACAGGGTCCAATTGTTGCAATTTGCGGAGACGCTCCTAGACCTCACACTTGTCGCGCCCAAGAGACAGTTCAACCTGCCAGAGAAGTCGAGGTACTCGCTGTTTTCTCAATCCTGTCTTCTTTCGCCGAATTGGTCCGCGTCCTGCCATTATACCACCGATTTCAAGCGATCTGTTAATACCCCCTCTATCCAAGACTCCTTTAACTTGGCCCATCATGCCTAGCCCTCTGAGCATGCTCTACTACGTGGTCCACCCCAACGAACTGCGGTCAATCATTCAATGGTAGGTAAAGGCGCCATTGCGTGCAGCCAAAGTTTGCGCAAGCTGGAACACGGCTGATGCTTGGCTAGGAAAGTGTGGCATAACGCAGTACACGAGCGCGACGAATCGAAAGAATGCGAGTCCCTGAAACGATGCTTCCACTTCCTCAACAAGACCAGCCGAAGTTTCGCTGCCGTCATCCTCGAGCTGCACCCCGAGCTTCTGGTGCCTGTCACGCTGTTCTACCTAGTCCTGCGCGGTTTGGACACCATCGAGGACGACATGACGATACCCCTGGAGAAGAAGGAGCCTTTACTGCGCAACTTCCAGGACATTTTGGACAAGGATGGATGGAACTTCACAGAGAACGGCCCGAACGAGAAGGACAGGCAACTTCTGGTCGAGTTCAACGTGGTCATTGAGGAGTTCAAGAAGATCAAGCCTGTCTACCAGGACATCATCAAGGACATTACCAAGCGCATGGGCAACGGCATGGCAGACTACGCGAACAACGCCGAGTTCAATGCTGGCGTCAAGACCATCAAGGAATACGAGCTGTACTGCCATTACGTCGCCGGTCTGGTAGGCGAGGGTTGCACACGTCTGTTTGTTGAGGCTGGCTTAGCAAACGCTGCGCTGCTGAAGAGGCCGGAGCTGATGGAGTCCATGGGCCAGTTCCTCCAACAAGTCAACATCACCCGTGACATCAAGGAGGATATTGATGATGGACGGCGATTCTGGCCTAAGGAGATCTGGTCAAAGCACGTTAATGAGTTTGAAGACCTCTTCAAGCCCGAGAACAAGCAGAAGGCCCTAAACTGCAGCTCAGAGATGATTCTGACTGCGTTGACCCGAGCAGACGACTGCTTGTACTATCTCGCGGGTCTCCGAGAGCAGAGCGTGTTCAACTTCTGCGCTATCCCGCAAACCATGGCCATTGCGACGCTCGAGACTTGCTTCCAGAACTATGCCCTCTTCCAGAAGAACGTCAAGATCACCAAGGGTGAGGCGTGCCAACTGATGGTTGAGTCGACACAAAATCTGCAGCTCGTCTGCGAAGTCTTCAGGAGATACGCTCGCAAGATCGCGAAGAAGAACAACCCCCACGACCCCAACTTCCTTAAGATCAGCATCACCCTCGGAAGAGTGAGTCATATAGATCCTGTTGAAGCCGTTGTTGCTAACCATGTCAGATTGAGCAATTCATCGAGTCAATATTCCCGACGCAACAACCACCAGTCGACAAGAAGGCACCTGCCACCATCGAGGAGGCGGAGCGGAAACGGAAAGAGGACTCCGAGGCCAACTGGGATTTGGTCTACATTGTCGCCGCTGTTGTTGGTACAGTTCTGGTCATCACATTCATTATGGTATGTATCGCAACTACGTTGCCTCCAACAACTGCTAATAAAGTTCAGCTCTTTGTCGCCTGGCTCGCGGGTGCGCGTTTCGACATTGCCTACACTCAATTTAAGCTGGAGTTTGGCAAGCTGATGGGAGTGATGGGACTCGACAAGACACCCGAGGTGGTCACAGAAGTCCACGAGACTCTGAACAAGAGCGAGCTATGAGCGTCTCGCGTTTACATGTATTATGCAGGCGACATTCAGCCATTTGGGAAACTGGGCAGATAACAATTACTAATGTATACTTTTCGCGCCATGCTGCGGCACGATTAAATGTGAGCGTGATGTTTGTAGCACGGATGTCAAATTCCAACCCTGCTCTTTCATAGCTGAGGTCGGGCCGTAGATGTGCTTATATTGAAACGCGTTTTGCTCGGCGACGAGGCTGCTTGAGAGGAAGTTTGTCATGAGCTCCCTTGACCGCAGTAACGTGGACACGAAAAAAGTAGCTAGTTGTAAAGTTAGTTTTGCCATGACATCAACCGGTTGCTTCTTTATGCTCTCCGTGTTACAGTTTGAAACGGGACCTAGCGCGAGGTACGTGCCAAGCAAGCCTAGAGGGTCCCACGAATTGCCTTGCGACTGCACGCATATTCTTCCCCGACAGACACGCCCGCCGCAAACAGTCACCTCTCACTTGTCCTTTCTCCTATTCGACGCAAGAAAGGCAGCGCAACCCCGCGACTCCTCCCGTATAATCGCCTGGTGCGATTGCGACAGCCCCGCCTTCACCTGATCCCGCCCACCACCAACCGCCAAATTACCACACGACTGCAACCATCGCTTGTAGTCCCTCTCTTAGCAAAGGCACCCTCCATATCCACCCCCACAACACCCCACAAGCACATCGACAATGGCCGAAGTCGCATCAGCACCGCAGCCCAACCAGCAGGTTCCGCTGGACACGATCCCCATCTCGCCAACTGAGAACTCCGCCGAGGGCGAGGAACAGTCTTCCACCAACAATGCCGGAGGCGAGGGCGAGATCCGCACCGTCTTCCACGACCCCGAGAACTTCAACGTCAAGCACCCGCTCATGAACACATGGACGCTCTGGTTCACCAAGCCCCCGAGCGGCAAGGTACGACATTGCCCCCTCTTGGGCGTCGATTGTTCCATGCTAACAACTGTAGGGCGACAACTGGGCCGAGCTGTTGAAGGAGGTCATCTCATTTGACTCAGTCGAGGAGTTCTGGGGTATCTACGTAAGTCTTGTTCCAATATCAGCAACAACGGGCAAAGCTGACATCGCACACAGAACAACATCACCCCCACATCCGACCTTGCGCTCAAGTCCGACTACCATCTCTTCAAGAAGGGCGTACGACCCGAGTGGGAAGACGCGCAGAACAAGCACGGAGGTAAATGGGCTTTCCAGTTCAAGGACAAGAAGGTCATCAACATCGATGCGCTCTGGCTCCATGTTATGCTCGCGGCCATCGGAGAGAACCTCGAGGACGAGGACGACAATGAGGTCATGGGCGTCGTCGTCAACGTCAGGCGAGGCTTCTACCGTATCGGTCTGTGGACCCGCACAGTCGGCCGCGCTATCCCCGGCGACGCTGGAAAGGGCAGGACCCAGGAGAAGGGCAAGGAGGTTTTGTTGAAGAT